GGATGATTCGCACGGAGCTGTTGCTGCCGAAGTTGTAGACTAGCCAGTCGGGGTTGGGGTACGAGGTGTTGCCCGCCTTGGAGAGGAGGAGGATGGGGTGTCTATTCCCCATAAGCAAGTAATATGTTATGTTATGCAAGGCAGGCTGACTTACTCGTAGTTCGCGCGAAAGGTCTCGTTGTTGACGTACCACAGGAGGTTCCCGGTCTCGTTCGCCTGGAACCGGATGTCCAACTGCTGCGTCACGGCTGGTGTGGCCGGCGGGTCCATGGGATATACTGGAGTTGTCAAGTTGAGCGGGACCTGACCACCTTGAGTCAGTGTATGTGGGCAGTTGAAATAGAAGGAGAAGACTGACATCACCGCAGTGCGAGTCATCGTAGGGCTCTGCGGTTGTGTTGGGCAGCTGGGTCACGTCCGCATCTTCATAGTAGATGGCCGCTTTCGCATGGCCCTGGTAGCTGACGGCGCAGAGGGCGCTCACATCAGAGCGCATCCACACTGCGTCCGTCGACTCACCCGTGGCGTGAACGAGCACGTCGGCGCGCTGACCGATGCCGATGCTCAAGACGTCCGTCTCGTACGGCACAATCGGCACGAAGTCGTTGGCAATCACCGTCAGGCGCATGCCGTCGATGCGGAACCGCTGGAACCCCTGGCTGCTGACGTTCATGATCCGCAGGCGGTAGGTCTTGCCCTTGGTGAAGCGGAATTGGGAGTAGGTTGCATTGGGCGAGCAGGTGAGGTGGTTTTCGGTGATGTTGGGATTGTTGCAGTCGAACGGCATCCGGCCATTGATCAGGTTGTTGTCCGAGTAGGCCTGTGTCGTCGGCGCCGGCAGGCCCACGACGCTCTGCACCACCTCGAGGTAGTCGGCATGATACCAGTCGGACTAGATCAGTCAGTATCAATCCATGTTGCTCGGCTGTAAACAAACGTACCAGCAAGACCGGGCCCAAATCCACGTCGTAAGACGTATGTTGTGGCCTAAGAAACCGTTAGACAGAGACTAGCCAGAAGGGACTAAAGCAGCCGCGTCCTACTCACCCGTACACAATGATTGCGCCGAAGATGCCCGCCGAGTACTGGGCCCCGTAATGCGAGTGCCAGAACGTCGAGCCATAAGCATCCGCCCGGAACATGTAGGTAAACGACGATCCCGGGGCGATCGGACACTGCACCGTGGAGGGAACCCCGTCCATCCACTGTGTGTCGACCATGCGGAGCCCATGCCAGTGGATTGCGGTCCCCTCCGCCGGGTCGACGATGTGGTTATCGACGGTTACTTCGATCATATCGCCCCAGTTGGCCTCGATGGTCGGGCCAGGAAATTGCCCGTTGACCAGCAGCACCGGCCGATCGACGCCGTCCGGCGCAATCGTGCCTCGCGCAACCGAGAAGTGATAGCGCCGGACCACGCCCGTGTAGGGGATCTCCTTCGGGTTGACATGGTGTGCCGGCTGGTTGTTCCAGGGGTTGGGTGCAGTGGAACCCTGTGAGGCAGGTCAGGCATGTCGCATACACGCATGCACCATCTCCAGGAAGAGAGCAGCTTACTGGATGATTGAGGTACAGGGGCAGCGTGGGAGCAGCCAGGGTGCCAAGACTGGACAAATGCCCGGCCACATGGGTGACCAGAACTGCAGCTGCCGCGATCTGTCGGAGGATTGCCATTTTGCCTGTGCATGGCCATCTTGGTTTCCCCTTCCGGTATATATATACCGATCCTCCGTGAATGTGGTGCCTGAGCTGCGACGAGGTCGCCTCGTGTTGCCATCATCCTCAGTGACGGCTGAGATCGGAGCTGTAACTTTTAGGCGCCGTCTCACCCGTGTTCCCATGCACCTAGATCTTATCGGGTCCGTGGTGGCCGGGGTCTGCATCGGGCTGCCGTGTTAGTGCTTATCCGAAACCACCGCCAAGGCACAGACAAAGAAAGCTTCAACGCGGGATATCGACGGGGGAGTCAATCAAGAAATGCGCCGGTGAGATTCTAGTCCCTGGCCGGGTCCCTTCATTTATCCGGCGCCATCGTGTCTCTCGTCTTCTCAGCTCCCTACTTCTTTGCACTTGTTCAGTCGGCTGCCACCGTCCAGTCTTCCACTTCTTCTCACTGCCCAGATGACTTCAGCCAATCTCTCCCGCTGCTGTACCCTCGGCTCCCTGCATGACGGGGAGGCGACGGGCGAAATCAAGGACATTGGCACCAGTAACGGCTCTCGCCACGAAGCATGAAGTGTTGCCCGCTGACCACACACAGCCTCGACCTACTTCGCCTACCCGGCCGACAAGTCCACGGAGAACGCCATCCTAATTCTCACAGATGTCATCGGCCACCGCTTCATCAACGCACAGCTGCTTGCGGATCAGTTCGCGGCAGCCGGCTACTTTGTCGTGATGCCGGACCTGTTCAAGGGCGACACGGTGCCCTTGAACCGGCCCGAGGGCTTCAACATCATGGACTGGTTGAAGAACCACTGGCCTCCGCAGACGGACCCCATCATCGACGCCGTCTTGACGGACATGCGCGAGAACCTGGGCTGCAAGCACATCGGCGGCGTCGGCTACTGCTTCGGCGGCAAGTATGTCTGCCGGTTCTTGAAGCCGGGCAAGTTGGATGCCGGTTTCACGGCCCATCCCACCATGATGGAGCCCGACGAGCTGCGCGGAGTCGAGGGTCCACTCAGCATCGCGGCTGCCGGTACGTCGCGTGCTACTCTTTCCCCCAAACTGTTGTGTAGAATAGAGACTGACACGCCTGGTTAGTCCGTGACTTTGTCTTCACTACGGAGAAGCGCCACGAGAGCGAAAAGATCCTGGACACTATGGAGGTCCCCTACCAGATCAACATGTTCTCGGACGTCGAGCACGGCTTCGCGGTGCGGTGCGATCTGTCCAAGCCCCGGCAGAAATACGCCAAGGAGCAGGCCTTCATGCAGGCCGTGGCCTGGTTTGATGAATATGTCAAGAAACATTGAGCGAGACCGCCTTGCGGATGATCTAGCATTTGGCGGGAATGAGTCAAGTTGATAGGCCTGGTGTTGTAGATCAAAATGGACTCCTCCGTCGATCCAAAGTAGAAATCACTGAAGTATTTACTGTGCAGTCGTGCTAACGTAACGGTCTGGCTAAAGGTGAAACTGGCTAACCCAGAACACCCACTTAGGTAGCCAAGTAGTACCTGTAGGCAGAAGCTGGCCGGGGAAATCACGAAATACGATATCATGGACCCGTGGACGCTTTTGAAAAGCGCGAGGCGGATAAGAGGTCACTATGAGGCGAGGGAACCAAAGCCTTGAGGGGTATAAATAGGAGCGTGGAGCCCTCGGCTTGCTCCCACTGTCCGTCCTCCCATCAGCCGTACCCGTGCTCGATCTCTCACCATGAAAACTGCCTGGCAGCGCCTGATCCGCTTTGTGGCAACCGACGGCCGTCTCCTGTATGGCGAGCCTGTCCTTCCCCATCCCGATTTTGATCTAGGAGAGACAGTGGAAGGGACCGGACTGCAAGCGCAAGTGATCGTGGGCGATGATCTCTATGACACGACCGGAGCCACGCGAGTGACCGACGAGGTGGTGACGGTGAAGGAGCTCCTGGGGCCCTTGACTGCCAGGAATGTCCCCATAGTGAGATGCATTGGACTGAACTACTTGACACACAGTGAGAGCAATTTGATCTGCATACCGAGAATATTATAAGTATTGGTCAGGGTGCTGATGGCCGCATTTCATCCAGTCAACGAGACCGGCCAGAGCCCTCCCCCGTACCCAACCATGTTTATCAAACCATCCCATGCGGTCCACGACCACGGTCGGAATGTGGTCATCCCTAAGATTGCACAGGACGAACAAACCGATTACGAAGGAGAGCTGGTGCGAGTCCTTGAGCGATGTGTGGGAGAAAGCACTGACTGACTCGGCCCCGGACGCAGTGCGTCGTTCTCGGCAAGGACGCCAAAGACGTCGCGGAAGAAGACGCCCTCGAGTATGTGGCCGCCTACACGGTCGGAAATGACATCTCTGCAAGGAAGCTACAGCTACACGCCCACCTGGCTGGCCCCAAGCCTCAGGCCTGTTTTTCCAAAGGGTTCGACACGTACGCGCCACTGGGCCCGGCCCTGGTGGGAAAAAGCATCATTTCCGATCCGTCTACTTTGATACTGCAGACGCGGATTGATGGCGAGCTGCGCCAGGAGGGCAATCTAAACGATTTGGCATTCACAATTCCGTATTTGATCCACTATCTGTCGTCCGGGACGACGTTGGAGAAAGGCAGTGTGATCATGACTGGGACACCTGGAGGTGAGTCGCTCTTCGAATGGAGACGGGTAGAAAACGGCCGATTCTGACAAACCAGGCGTGGGATGGCACCTTACCCCTCCGAGGGCGTTGGTGCCCGGGACGAGAATGGAGGTTTCGGTGTCAAGCATTGGGACGTTGAGAAATGGCATTGAACACGACGCGTAGAGTTTAGAGTCTACACACATCGTACACCGTCCGTAGCTTTCTTCAGATATGACAGATGGGGGACAGCAGGTCGGAGATATTCGTAGATTCACAATTAAGTTCGTGAATTCCATATACTTTCTATCCAGTATATCGCTGCGAAATGGTTGGATAACCCCGAGCCGCTAAATGGAAGAGGAGAACACCCAATAATTCAGATTATCCGCTCGTATCGGCCTAGTGGCTGGCTAAAGCATTCCTTCAGCTGCAAACCTACTGCAGGGCTACTGCAAGGCTGCGGCTGATCCCATTAATTCTCCGTCAAAAAAGAAAAGAAAAAAGTCGCCGGCAGTAGCCGATCTCGTCAGCCGTCAGGCAGGGGTTGGGAGGACCACGGCGGAAAACTGGAAAATCCAAGCGAAACTCACGACGCCATACCTTAGGTTCTGTATTTCACATTCCATAGGGCGATGAAGTCCAGTATGGAGTATGTATATCGGTTATTACGCTGCCCTCCTCGCATACCGCTCTCCTCGTATACGGCCAGATCCCAGAATGCAGGAAAACAAGGCCATCGCGGACGTCCAAGTGGGCGAGAAAGCCCTAGCTGTGAAGGAGACTCGTGGCTCTGACGATTCCAGCACTCTGGTGGATCAATCGGCTGAGAAGAAACTGCTGTGGAAAATTGATCTTCTCATCCTCCCAATCCTATTCTTGTTCTATATGTTATCGTACCTGGACCGGATCAATATCGGCAATGCTCGGATCGCGGGAATGAGCGACGAGCTCGATCTGGACGTGGGAAACCGGTTCAATGTCGCCATCTTTGTGAGTACTCCCTCGCTGCAATGTTGAGGTGCAACATCAGGCCGCTAAGCGAGTTTTGTAGCTGTTCTACGCGCTATACATCCCCTTGGAGATACCGAGCAACATCTGGCTGAAGCATGCCCGGCCTTCATTATATCTACCTGCATTGATGTTCTGCTGGGGTATGTACTCGGTGAATGAAATTATGAATTCCCGCTGCCAGATCTGACCAGTTAATTAGGGATCATCACGATGTGCACCGGTTTCGTTCACTCGTATCAAGCTCTGTATGCACTTCGCGTGCTGCTGGGTCTGTTCGAGGCCGGCCTCGTCCCTGGCGTGGTCTATGTGACCTCCATGTATTACCGGCGGTATGAATACCAGAAGCGACTGAGTCTGATGTTTGTGGCCACCTCGGTGGGGGGTGCCTTCGGTGGAGTACGTGCGTCCAACCCTGTTTCTTAGAACTGAAGACTGACGCATGACGGAAACAGCTGCTGGCCTACGCTATTTCTGACCTCGGTGGACAACGTGGGTACCTGGGGTGGAGATGGTATGTGCCTTTCAACGGTCGTCTTTCCATGGTGAAGCGCTAATTCAAACAGGATCTTCATTATCGAGGGTGCAGTGACAGCCTTTATTGCCCTTCTGGCTCCCTTGATTGTGGTGGACTGGCCAGATCAATGCCGCTTCTTCACCCCGGCCGAGAAAGACCTCATCCGGATGAGATTTGTCGAGGATGGAGGGGAGTTTCGCATGGACACCCTCAACCGCGACTCCCTACGCCGCATTTTGCTGGACTGGAAGATCTATCTGGGGTGCGTGCGAGAGTGGAACGGTGTTCACGTTCCATGGCTAACTCTTTCCCAGATCCCTAACTTACATGGGCCTGACCACCAGCGGGCTGGCCCTGTCCTTCTTCCTCCCCACCATCCTGCTAGAGTATGGGTGGGAGTCCACCGAGGCACAGGTGCATACCATTCCCGTGTATGCATTCACGCTCGGCCTGACCCTGGTCATGTCCTGGGTATCAGATCGCCTGCAACATCGCTACGGATTCCTCATATTTTGCTGTCTCATGGCTACCATTGGCTACGGAATGCTCTTGAACATGGAAAATCTTTCCCGCAACGCCCGATACGCCGCCTGCTTCCTGATTGCCGCAGGAGGCATCTGTTCGGGCCCTATAGCCATTGGATTCCTCTCCAATAATCTGGCCGGCCACTGGAAGCGCGCGGTGGGTTCGGCCATGCAGGTCAGCTTTGCGGGCTTTGCTGGTATCATTGGATCGGTCATGTTCTTGCAACAGGAGGCCCCTTTCTACCGCACAGGGCTCCGAACGGGACTGGGTATGGCGTGGGTGTCGGGCACGGCGGCCACTCTTATTGCCGTCATCGTCTGGAGGGAAAATCGGAAGCGAGATCGAGGCGAGCGCGATGAGCGTTTGGGATGGCCGGAGGAAGTGGTGAACAACTTGGGAGATGACCATCCCCATTTTCGATTTACTCTGTAAGGGAAGTTCAAGACCGGGAGGATGAGTGGGTTGTACGGATCGATATTGCAGAGAGCAAGGCACTGCTAGTGAATCTAGATAAATGTTTCCAGAGCTGAACGACCTGCTCACAAGTATCAAGTCAGTATTGGCAAAAGATATGCCGCAACTTCTATATGAAGTATTGGTCGAAAAGTCGAAAAGTTCCTACCTTTGTTCACATAATCACCTGCATTTCGTGATCACAATGTTCGGCTCCGTTAAAGAAAAGCCAGGGACAGCGTCATCTCCTATTGATATACCATGAATGTATACATATATAGTGTTTGAATGTAAAGACCTTCCACAAAGAGGCAGAGAAAATATTCCAGTGAGCTCTAGAGGAGCGACAGGAAAACACGCTCTCTTCAGCACACATGCTTGGCCCCGCTCCGTGTCATCACAGGCGCTACAGGGAGGCAGAAATAATCATCCGACGAGCTCTGGAAGGCCAAGAGAAAACTTGGGCCATGACTGTGCAGTTGTGCTCTTTAAAACAGACACCCAAAGGGCAAAATTTCTGCCTGGACTTGGACTGCACTATTTGTGCAGCAAAGGCCTGGGCCTCCTAATCTCACTGCTCGGGTCCCAAAGAACGGCTAAAGCACAATGGCTATTTCGTTGTGTCGGCAGATCTCACGGCAACAATCGGCAATAATCGGCAATCTGTATTATTACGGTCTAATTCCATTCTCCCAATTCCGGGACATCAGCGGGTGGATCTCGGTTCGTATTCATCAGTGCTAGGAGGTGAGTGCCGACGCTTCCCCTGGACAACGAGGTAAACATCAACCGCGGTGTGGAGAGACCGACACCCGAGCGATGCTAACCGGATGGCTTAGACTATATACAAAGCTCCATGTATCTGTTGTGTCCAGTTTACTTTTGTCTTGTCCCTTTTGAGTGTTCAAAGCCCTTCCGGCAAGTTTTGAACGTCCATCGCCATGTCGAGCGCCGTCTACCGTTCTCCCTTCCCCGACGTGGCACTTCTCGAGGTTGATCTGATTTCGTACCTGTTTTCCAACCCGTACAACGTCTCCCGCGACCACAAGGTTTTTATAGATGCAGTTTCTGGGCGGTTTTACACCTATGACGACGTGCTTCATCGCACCAAGTCGTTAGCATCCGGTCTTCAGCAGCTAGGAGTTCAACCAGGCGACGTTGTTGCTATAATGAGCCCTAACTCCATTGACTACCCCATCATGTGCTACGGTATTATTGGAGCTGGCGCGATAGTCTCTCCGTCTAATGCCGCGTATACGCGTCAAGAGGTCTATCACCAATTGCAAACAACTGGGGCCAAGTATCTGATGGCCCACTCCTCTTTGGTCGAAGTCGCAACAGACGCCGCCAAGGGGACCTCAGTCCAAAAGATAATTATACAGGCTGCCAACCCTTCTATCCAAGATAGTAGAACGACCCCTACTATTGAGGACATGATGACTCAAAAGCCAACACGGGATCTGATCACCATTTCGACGGCGTTGTTAGATCAACGACCTGCATTTATATGCTTCTCATCGGGAACGACAGGACCGGCTAAAGGAGTTATTACAACGCATAGGAACATTGTGTCAAATCTTCAGCAATGGAATGAGCACTACTACCACGGGGAAGTCAAGCCGCCTACCGCTAGCGTCGCCTTCTTGCCCTTTTGCCATATTTACGGTATCAACTACTTTGTCTGCGGTGCAATTCTTCGGGGAATGATGACGGCCGTTATGGCAAGATTCGACCTAGACGTCTACCTAAACTGCATTCAGACAGTTAAGCCAGAGGAACTAGCTATGGTGCCACCGGTCATCCTCCTACTTGTGAAGGATCCCCGCGTTGAAAAGTACAACCTTAGCAGCGTAAGGAAGATCCTATCGGCAGCAGCACCTCTAAGTCGAGAGCTGGCTGAAGCCCTCGAGGCCCGCTTTCAGAAGCTATATGGGACGACCGTCTATTGTCATCAGTCCTGGGGCCTAACGGAGACGAGCCCTCTTGCCACTGGGGTTCCCCCAGAGCGAATGCCTGATAAAAGGCATACTGTTGGCTGTATCTCTCCGAATATGCAATTTCGTTTCATTGATCCTGAGACCATGCAAGATGTGGACATGACGATTAAGGATGGCCAGCTTCCATTAGCAGAGATTGTGTGTCAAGGACCAAATGTAACAAATGGGTATTTTGGAAACGAATCAGCCACGAAAGCTCTTTTTTATGTCGACAGCAATGGAGAGAAGTGGATGAGAACGGGCGATATTGCTACTATTGATCATGACGGTTACATTACAATCCATGACCGCATCAAGGAGATTATCAAATACAAAGGTCTCCAGGTTATTCCTAGCGAACTTGAGGGAAGACTACTAGAGCATCCTGATGTTGAGGACTGTGGTGTCACTTATGTTGAAGGCCAAGCAACAGAATTGCCGCTTGCATTCGTTGTTCTCACTCTACAAGCCCGGTCACAGCCACTGAATACTGTGGCCGCGAACCTGGACCGCTGGATTACTCAACGCGTTGCAAACCACAAGCGGCTCCGGGGGGGAATCCGGTTTATCGAAGCCATCCCTAAAAGTCCCAGTGGAAAGATTCTGAGGAGGAAACTCAAGGAATTGGTGACGCACGACGGCACAGCCTCGAAGCTATGAATAGGGTGTTGCTGGAATATGGAGGAGCAGGGATACCAGGAGATCGAGAAATTCTACAGACTTAGGCGCACCACCAAAATAGATCAGCAAAATAGCAAGAATATTCACGAATATCTACCAACCAATCAGGAGCCTTATCTGTCCCAGCATTGAGGCCCATGTACACTCGGCTGCTCGGCTGTCAGGGTTCCGATGTTTGCCGACGAGGAGCTAATGCGGGGAAAGGTAAAGCATCGTTTAACGGAGAACTTGAAATGTTAGAATTGACTGCTATCTTTTTTGCACTGAAATGTCGCTAGACATGGATTCGCCGTCTGCTGGCGGTGATCATCGCCAGCCCAGGAAGAGGGCAAAGCTGGCTTGCATTAGGTGCCATGAGAAAAAGGTTCATATTGGACGGGCGTCGGCAGGCTTCCTGCCTGATGACTGCCACAGTCTAACTAACATATTATTTATAGCTGAAATGCGATATTTCAACATCATCCCTGTCAGGCGGCCCCAGTGGTCCGACACAATGCAAGCGATGTCATGAAGCCGAATTGGAATGCCAGTAAGAAATAGCTAGCCAGGCTCCCTCCTCCCTTCTCTGTAAATTGGTCTAATCGTGTTAAACAAATAAGCCTGAGAGTATCAAAAAGACAACGCACCCAGGCACAAGGACCTCTGTCTGGTGGGAGCAATCATGTTTCTGTTACCTTGGGGTCGTTGTTGGCCCCGTCGCTCGCGACAGATTACCTGTCGTCCATACCCACCTCTCATGTTCAAGTTCCACGACCCAGTTGTATTCTGCGTACTCCAGCCAGCCTAGAGAATTCCCAACTGCCGACTGAATTCCTGTCGTATTCGACCTTTTCATCAACTAACCGTGCGCAGGATGTGGGAAATCCGGTTCTTGATCATGCTACCGAACCTGTCGCTTCTTCTCTATGTCCCTCGTCTACTAGAGAAGACCGCACTGCCGGTCAAGCGGAATTTAGTGATCGAGAAACAATGGCAAACATCATCCCTCCACCGTGCACTCGTCTATCTCTATTACTGAAGAAGACATTCAACGATACATATTCGGAGTACTGCTACACATGGGGCCCTATCCTAGAAGTACAGGATATCATGCAGAACCCACTCTTTTCAAACTCGTTGCTACTTGAGCAGGCCTTAGGAGTGCTGGGAACCCGTATCAAGCCCCCACTTGTGCCGTGCTCGAGTGCAAACACCTACTTCGAGACAACGAAGCAACTATTCTATGGAAATTACGAACGCAATCCCCTGGTTCGTATAATGGCAATAATGCTCTTGTACTGGTGGAGTGGTGGCGATCCTGAATCGGCCGGTATCGAGGCTCTGTTTTGGTGGAATACAGTAGCGATTAGGCTGGCACAGCAGCTCGGATTTCATCGAGAGCCCGCCAAAGATCATGATTCCCTACAATTTGGAGATATAGGCCTGAGACGACGCATCTGGTGGACACTTTACGTATGCTAACTGCACCCTATTCTTTTATCACGTTGCTCGGCGCTGACGATTCCCATCAGGCTCGAGAACGTCTGACATTTATATGCACCACCAAGCCATGTATGATTCATCCGGATGATTGCAATGTTCCTCGCCCATGTGTGGAAGATTTCCCACCTAATCAAGTACATCGCGCCGTCATCTTTATTCGCTGGGTCGCGATCTCCGACATTATGGAACGCGTCGGCAAATATATGTTCTACCAAATGGACAAAGACCCTCCATTTCCGGTCAGTCTTCAAAAAGAGCTTGTCAGCTGGGCACAGGATCTTCCGGAAGAACTCCAACTCCCTTTTAGCAATCGAACGCATAATGCCGCGTCGACATCGTTTGATCGGGATGTTCTTCAACTCCACATGCACTATCTCATGGCAACTACACTAGTTCATATGAGCGGTTCTGGACAACAACATCTGCGCAAAGCTGGTACTGTTGCCATACTTGCCGCATCGTGCACAGCTCGCATCTGTGAAGAGTTCCTTGCCAGTGGTTCTCTAGGATTTCTCCCTGGGGCGACAGGGAGGTATATCAGTGTTGCATTGCTCTCTCTCCTATATGCCCGGAAAATTGATATGCTCTCAGAAGCGGCGAATGAACAGATCGAAATTCTTTTCCTGGCTCTGAAGGAGATGGCCAAGCGATGGAGATCCTCCGAGAAACTGGTTCTCAGTCTTGAAAAGATTGTTCAGGGCGGGCAGGAGCAGGATCCTCACGATGATAGCTACCAACTGGGGCCGTCGGCCAATGGCCACGCAGAACAGTTGCCGGGAATGCTACCAGCCACTCCTTCGGCAATGAGCGGTCATTCCCCAAACGAGGGCAGCATCAGTGACATTGATTTCTTTCCCAGCGCTACATCTGAGACTACTCCCTTGTTCAAGTTGCTACTGGGCCAAAGCCCCAGAGCGAATGGATTCCCACATGACTACTCGGAATGGCCTGACATCAACATCCAACTAAACGGCCTATTTGACCAAATTTTTGATGATAACTATAGCAATTGGCCCAATCTATAGAGTCGACTTGACCAAAATAAATAAAAAATGTATAAAATGAGGAAATACCATGGCCAGTACCTCTCAGAGAGTATGTCGTCGAAGCAGCCGGTCGGTGCGATGTCTAACAATGGATGGTCTAACAGAGTGTACCTTTCCTCACTAACTGAATACTGTAACGAAAGACTAAGATGGGTATACTGAAGAAAATTAATCTCACGTTGCTCAGAACAGGCTATCAAAGTACAAAGTACGTTCTCCGCCTGATCCAATCAACTTGATGTTTGCTCATAGTCAATGACCCAGTTCACAACAAATCCGAGACCACAATCAACCATCTTCTGGATTTTTTGGTCCATTTTCCACGCTTATCTCGTAGTTCTCGGCATGCGACGTGCCTGTATAGGTCGAAGACATTGATCGGGCAATCCTTACCACCTCAAATGGGTCTTTGGCATTTCGAAAGATAGCATCAACATCTTCCAACGAGATTTTGCGCGTTTCAGGCAGAAAGAAGTATATAACTGGTGAGACAAGTCAGTGTGGGGTACAATGTCATATATCCTCAACCTGTATCGCTTACTCGGTAGCAGTAAACACAGATTAACGGCCGACCAAACAACGAAATATCGATAATGAAGCTGATTAAATCCGATTGGGGTCACTAATTTCACACGGATCATTAATAGCTTTTCTGGAAAGATGACGATAATTAGGATGGCAGTCAAGTCAATGGTAACGCACCTTCAACTACCAAAAAATTAAAGCTCCACAAGGTCGTAGTCGATAAGGCATAAACAGGAGCTCGATATGCCAGCGGAGCAACTTCAGTACCATATAGATAATTAACTCCCAGCGCACCAACCCCAAAGAAAGTTGCTAGCAGGAAGACAGCGATGGTGGCAATAATCGAACATGCCTTGTTATCTGGGTTGGAGACCATCCCAGCAAGTATAGCTGTCATTGTTCCGATTCCAGAGACCCCTATAATCATCAAAGCTCGGCGTCCCATTCGATCAATAGCGTGGAACGTCACGGAGCAGCAAAGCAACTGCCACACGTATAGTGAACCCGAGAGAATACGGGCTTGGATAGCACTCAAGCCGATGAACTGGATAAAGATATCCGCTGTATAAGAGCCAACAACCCCGATGCCATTGACTTGTTGAGAGAAAGTGCTAAAAAGAGCCAAAAGTGTACGGTTGAGTAGGCGGTCGTCTCCATTACGAAGGAGATCAGCGAATTTTCCCTGGCTCATTACGTCGAGCGAGCGTCGAATCTTGTAGATATCCTCTTCAATCACTGGCGATGAGATATCAACATCCGCTAAAACCGCCAGTAAATTCCGTGCCTCCTCAATGCGGCCGACTTTTACCAGCCAGCGCGGGGAATCTGGGAAGAAGGGCAGACATCCCAGGATCATAATCAGTGGGACGATAGGAAGGGCTAGGGGAAACCTCCAAGAGACAGATCCCTGAGCAAAAAATAACCCGAGATCTACAAACTGAGACACAAACAGTCCAACAGTGACAAAAGCTCCTTCTAGGACCATCAACGCACCCCTTCGCTCGGCGGGAGAGGATTCGGCTTGCCAAACAGGGACTGTTGCTGACATGAAGCCCATGCCACAGCCCAAAATGACACGCCCAACGATGAATTGGGCAAGAGAAAAGCTCGAGGAAAGAAGAATTGATCCAATAATGGAGAGGATTGCTCCTGCGGCAATGATTCGCAAGCGACCAAACCTGTCTCCAATTTTGTAGCAGCAAAGAGCCCCAATCATGCAACCAACTAGATATATGGCGACAATAGTACCCTAGGAGATGTTAACAGATAAGTCGGCCAGGTCAGAATAAACCCTCCAATTTTCGTTCATCCGCGTACCTGGATACGTGAATTATGGGCAATTTGTTTGCCCGAGGTGTTGAGGGTGTCGGCTTGAGGGAACTGAGTCGCGAATGACTCTAGACTGAGAAGACCTCCCATAACTGAGTTGTTGTATCCCAGTAGGAAGTAGGCAGGAAATACCTCCGTGGTGATCATGGCTATTATTAGCCTTTCACCACGAAGGCCCATATAGGTCTGTTTCGCCATGTTGTATTTGTGTATGATCAAGTCACTTAACAAGCCTCAAAATGACATTGCGATCTAGTCACGAATATGCGGGGCGGCGATCCAATCTTTATTAATTGATATTTTTTCAGGAGATGTTCCACCGGAGGGGCACATCGGCAGTACCGGCAATTGGAGCCGAACGAACAATGGAAATCCGAAATAATTCTTAATAGCTTGGCGGGCAACAGCATGCGGGGTTAGTACGTTACCCCGTGGGGTTTAGCCGGTGTAAGCGCAAATTGCTCTTAGGTATTCCTCGAACATGATTGGTGTCACATTTTCTCTTGTACGTGCGTTGCCTGATTAAACGCAGTGGCCAATTGAGCTTCGGCTACCCTACGACGACTGTGAACAATGATAATAGGCAACATATGAACTTTGCACGATAAATTTGAAATGTATTTCTTATTTGCCATTGTATGCCTGAAAATAGCGGTTCGCATTACTGTCCCTCATAATTTCTTCAACAAGAAAGGATTCCCCGCTGGGCATTGTCCGGCCCAAAAGATCTCCTTAGAGTCGTGTGAGCTGTTGGGTCAGATAGTCGGCGATGGTAAGCGTTATTACCCTGGGAATTTTTAAAAGTCAGATATGACTGCACTTCGAGGAAGAGAAGATGAAAGCGGTGCCTGGGTTAGGGGTTGCTAACGTGTGCGGTGCTAATCTGAGAAACCAAGTTGAATAACCTCGATAGAAGCGATATAGACCCTCTTCTCGAGCGGTTCGTAAGAAGCAGTCGATTGTACCTTTGTAGCGTACAGACGAGGGACCGACCAGAGATTGGTTCTGCAGTCTAGTCTTGACGAAGTCGAATGGCATACTGAGGAAACTGCCGACAAACCCTGCCACAGAAGCTGCAATCAGGGTGTGACAGCTCTCCGGAAATTCGTACAACTTTAAACGTGCCCTGGTTTCCGAAAAGAAAGCAAGCTGGCCGAAGTTGGTGGTCATTGCTCGTGCAGTATTGGGGAAGGTTCCATTCCACAGGGCCAGCACCCCTTCCTGTCGGACAATACGTGAAATGGTATCGAACACAGAGCGATAGTGCGCTTGTTGCGAATGGGGCTTCAATCCGTCGGCCTGCATGCGGATCAAAGCGGTTTCAACAGGGGTTCCAATCGAAGCAGCAAGCCCACCGGCACTAAGCCCAGCTACAGCACGTTCTCCGAAGCTTAGAGTGGTACCGTTTTGCTGCGCACGTTGATGCAACAATCTCTCAAAATTGAAAAATAGGCCCAGTCGGGTGGTGCCATACACAACCTGCCGCAAGAGACCTGCAGAAATACCTTGGTACAGGTCTAGGACGCTGCCTTTTTTGATGATGTCCCGCGCCACTGAAATCGGTCCCATTTTAGTCTCGAGCAGCTGTAGTCGCACTTTGATCATGTCAATCGGCTGAACACAGAACGTTCCAACCATTGCAGAGGCACATCCTGTGAGGAACGGTAGTGCTGCCTTGACCAGTGTCGTTTTCGGGTACCTCTCTTGAGGGGGAAAACATTGGTGGTTATCTGTCATGTTCGCCATAGTAGTAAAACGACGTTCAAATCTTTCGACGTGAAACTGAAAGGCTTCTCTAGCGGTAGACTCGTCGGCTGAGTATAGCCGAGGTGCTCTGAAACCCGTAAGGAGTAGTAGAGCCGAGAATGGTGATTGTTCCAATATTGATTCGGCAATTTTGATTTTGGAAGCCCCATTTCCTTTAATGATGGTCATATTTTCTTCCATCCCTTCCTTCTGATGCTGTCGACTGCCGAACATGGCCGACTTCCGAGAGTAGGAACTATCGGTCCGACGACTATTATCGACCAATCGACGTATTCTAGATGTACTTGATATATGAACGCTTTGTGCAAGGAATCAAAACAATCACTGACAATTGTTTCCTTTTTTTTCTTTGCCCTGTTCACTATCACACGGTCTGTTTCAACCATCCAAGATGTTGCCAGCAGTTCTCCGCCGGAGTGCTCGTTTCTCTGCCAATTCCAGCGCATTAGCGAGAGTTGCCTTCTCGCGACCACTTCACGTCCGAGCGACTGAATATCTTCCCACCAACCAGCCTGATTTCACCGAGTCCCAGCGAACGGTACGCGAAGGAATTGCCAAGATCATGCAAAATTACCCAGACGATTTTTGGCTCGAGAAGGACAACAAACATGAATTTCCGCATGAGTTGTCCTCTGACCTTGCAAAAAATGGATGGCTCGGCATATGCATGCCTTCCGAATATGGTGGATCCGAGATGGGCATTTCCGAAGCTACGGTCATGATGCAGACTATCGCCGAGTCTGGTGCTTGTATGACCGGCGCCTCTTCGGTCCATATGAATATTTTCGGTCTTGAACCGGTCGTCAAGTTTGGCACCGAAGAACAGAAGAAGAGATGGCTACCGCCGCTGATCAATGGTCAAGAGCGTGCGTGCTTTGGCGTCACTGAACCCAACACGGGGCTTGACACACTGAAGCTTCGATCGTTTGCTCGTCGAGAAGGCGACCACTACGTCCTTAGTGGCTCCAAGGTCTTCATCTCCACTGCGCAGCAAGCACATAAGATATTGATCCTTGTACGCACGACTGCCTTGGAACAGGTTGAGAAGCCTACCCAGGGTCTATCCCTCTTCTACACAGACCTTGATCGCTCAGCTATCCAAATTACTGAGATTGAGAAGCTTGGCCGTGCTGCAGTTGATACCAATATGCTCTTTTTTGAGAACTGGAAAGTTCCTGCGGCGGATCTTGTTGGAGAAGAAGGCAACGGATTCAAGACCATCCTGCATGGTATGAACGCTGAGCGTATCTTAAACGCAGGAGAGGCACTTGGAATTGGCTATGCCGGACTTCGCCGTGGTGCAATTTACGCCAACGAGCGCGAGGTCTTCGGTCGCCCTATTGGGAAGAACCAGGGAATTCAACATCCGCTAGCTAAGGCGTGGATGAATCTGGAAGCTGCTAGGGTTCTCACCTACCGAGCTGCCCAACTTTATGATGATGGATATACAGGCGGAGAGTATGCAAATGCAGCCAAGTATCTTGCCTCTGAAGCAGCCTTCAAGGCGTGTGAGACCGCGTTGTTGACTCACGGAGGTATGGGATACGCGAAAGAATATCACATCGAAAGATACTTCAGAGAGTCTTTACTGCCGAGGATTGCACCAGTGAGCCGGGAAATGATTTTCAACTACATTGGGGAAAAGGTTTTGGAACTACCCAGAAGTTACTGATAATTGCTTGTCTTGTTTAAGTAGCTAGAAGGAATGCAATAGAAAAGTAGTTTTTTATTCCTTTTCATTAGACATTTGTCTCAAATGCTCCAATGGCTTGCATATTGTTGATCCACTTGTAATTTTGCCAAGTAGCGAGAAAAAGATACGAACGAATTATACATACAGGAATGATAGGCCAAATTGAAGCAAAGAAGAAATGTAAAATGAATTAAAATATGTGGTCATATTTCGACATTTGTTATCCTTGAAGACCAGTATTCTCTCCAGTCAACATTTCTGACTTTCTTTCGAAATTGCTGTATTCCAAATTGACCTTCGGAGTTGGGCGTCATCATATTGTCGAATGTTTCCCGAATCATGGCCTCCTGCTTGGGACCTCCAGCATCCATCCAGCCAACGCGAACCAACTGCTTGCAAGTCGAAGCAGACTTAGGTGCACAGTATGTAAGTCGATCAAGATACTGCTCCAGCAAGACCTCCAGTGTCTCGGGACTATCTGAAATACCGTGCACTGTGCCTATTCGGTGCAGTTCTGGAGCAGAAACCTTTCTTCCGGTGATAGTTGCTTCGCGAAAAAATGCCGGGCCCCATTCCCGTACCAAGTATTTAGATATTATGGCAGGGCTGAGACCAAGTTTGATCTCCGATAAGGTCCAACTCGCTTCAGGTGACACTAAGCGGATATCACAGGCAAACCCTAGGCCAACCCCACCACCGTAGGAAGGGCCGTTAATCAATGCAATGGTCGTCTGAGGCGCTTGTTCAATTGCCTCGAGAAGTGCTTTCGCTTTAGAGTAATACCTATCGCTGTCCGTGTCCTGTGGTTGGGTGTCTCCTTTAAGGTCGAGACCGGTGCAGAAGAATCGGCCTTGGGCTGTGAGGATCAAATGAAAAATTGTAGGGTCATTTTTCAGGCCCTCGATGAAGCTAGTCAACCCATCCACCATTTTTTCCGTGAGGGTATTCCCTTTATCAGGTCGCATGAGGGTAATGCGAACGGTACTCCCGGACTGACAAGCAGTAAATTCCTCCGTTTGTAGAATCACTTCCCATTTCCTAGCAGAAGGGGACGTGGCGGGAGGAAGGTGATGATGTTTTGACGGGGGCAGGAAAGACGAACATTTTGCGGTTGGCCTTTTGGCTAGGACTGCTGCACCAGCTCGACTACCGTTGGGTATGCACAGTTGTTTTGAGATCCATTCTCCGACAGTCGACAGTTTGACAAGGTCCACTCCAGTATTAATGCCTGAGTTCTCAAACATGTAGACCAGATCCTCCGTCGCAAGATTTCCCCGTGCACCCTTAGCATAAGGACACCCGCCCAGACCGGCGATGCTGCTGTCAAACGCTCGAATGCCGAGTTCGTACGAGCGACTAACATTGGCAAGAGCTTGCCCGAAGGTATCATGAAAATGCAATGCAAGTCTGTTTGCTGGGACATGACGCAGAACTGCTTCAAGCACCCTTTGTGTGTCTCTGGGGGTTCCAACACCAGTTGTATCTGCAAGTCCAACTTCGTGACAGCCCATTTCAAGTAGTCGGTTAGTGACTTCAACAACTTTGGCAGTGTCGGTTGGCCCGGTATACGGATCGACAAAAATGCATGAGACCATTCCACGAACAGCCAGCCCCTGTTCAAGGCCAAATGCTGCTAGCTTTTCTGCCTGCGCTAGTCCTTCCTGCATCGAACAATTTTGGTTCTTCCTGCTGAACTCTTCAGTTGCTGACGCAAAAAGCGATATCTCATGGGCTCCGCTTTCAATGGCACGTTGGACACCCCTCATGTTCGGAGTCAGCACTGGAGACCTAAGCTTGTTCATGTCAATGTCTGGCTTCAATGCCTCCATGACCTCGGTACTGTCCCTGAGCTGTGGGACCCATTTTGGAGATACGAAGGAGGTGGCTTCAATATCCCGAAGACCGGCGTCTATTAAGCGTCTGAACAACTCGACTTTGGCAGGGACCGGAAGATATGTAGCAACGTTTTGCAGCCCGTCCCTGCATCCAACTTCGAGGATTCGCACCCCAGTGGCAGTGGCTTGCGTTGCAAAGCTTTTCGCAAAGCGCCTTGAAACATTCATGTTCAGTGTGGCACAGTTCCAGCGAGAAGGGTTTTAGAAAGGGACCAAGAGATCTTGATTTTCGATAGGCCATATGAGATAATGAATCGATATCGGCTCTTTGGAAGTGAAATACCAAGGACAAGGAAATAACAAAATGTCAACAGTTCTGGGAGAAGAATGGCCGAACAAGTTTTCTTTATGCACGATAGACACAGTTGCACTTCGGGATTGCGGATGGAGTGCACGGATTCATCACAAAATGAACGCAAAAAAGGAGCCCTGTACTGTTGCAGACAGTGGTCTCGGCTCTTTCAGCAAGACGGACTTGGATTGTCGGCATTCGGCATTCGTTAACCGAATTCCGAAGAGCAGGTTCAAGTTGTCCGAGTACCTCACCGGCAAGCGCAGAAGCCGAAGTTATGATTCTCAGATAAAACCCACTAAAACATTATCTGAAGATGGAAACAGATATAAGCGTCAGACCTTACTGTGGGAAGGAATGTGCCCCCAGTGAACAATTGTATCATGATGAACCGATACCTCTGCCCGACAATGCCTCCTCTAGTTCGGGTAATGCGCCGATTCACTGCCTCCGCAATTACCCAGAACTCCAACTTGCACTTGCGAACAATCTCAAATGCCGCTGGCAAAACAATCGAAAGTAACGATAGAGTTCCTGGTGCTCTGGCTGGTATAAAAATATTGGATCTTTCCCGTGTTCTCGCTGTAAGTATACCTTTGAGAGAACAGTCAGGGCTTTCGAAAGATGCTAGTGTGGAAGGAATGGCTAACTGGGTGAAGGCACCTTTCTGTACTCAGATTTTAGCCGATTATGGCGCACAAGTTATCAAAATCGAAGACGTTGCAAAAGGCGTAAGTTCAAGTCCGTTAAGGATGGATGTTCACGCTCGAAACCTGACTGGGTGAAACAGGATGAGACGAGAGGGTGGAAGGCTCAAGGTGAAGAAGACGCATGGAAATCTGAATATGGACCGATGTCAAACTATTTTGCGGGAGTGAACCGGAACAAGAGATCAATCTGCTTAGATTTGAAGCACGAGAAAGGCAAAGAAATTTTCATGAAACTGGCAAAGGAGGCGGACGTGATGTCAGTATACCTTTTTCTGGCTTCAGCTGGCAATAGCCTTTCTGATTTTTTTTTAGCATCGAGAACTTTAAGCCTGGGACAATGGACCGACTTGGTCTCGGATACGAGTTTGTGAAAAATATCAACAGGCGAGTTATCTATGCAACTCTCTCCGGTAAAATCACCATTTGATCCACTACTCTTACGTGACCGATGGCGAGCTAACGCATGGTTTCCAGGATACGGGCCCGAGGGCCCCTATGCCGACAGAGGGGGTTATGATATGATTGCAGCTGCTGAAGGAGGGCTTCTCCACGTCACCGGGCCCAGAAATGGCTCTCCCGTCCGTTGTGGCTTAGGGGTAACAGATATCTCGACAGGATTGTTTCTTCACGGGGCCATTCTCGCAGCCATATACTCGCGAGAGCGAACTGGTCTTGGACAGAGAGTGGATTCCTCTTTATTTGAAACGCAACTAGCAATGCTCACGAACGTTGGCATGGGTTGGCTCAACATGGGTCTTGAAGCCGAGCGTTGGGGCTGCCAACATCCCAGCATTGTTCCATACGATGCCTTCAAGACAAAGGACCTGTATTTTGTGTGTGGGGCTGCCAATGACGGCCAATTCAAGGCGTTATGCCGAGTTTTGGGCTTACAGGCCTTGGTTCAAGATGACAGATACACAACCAACGCAAAGCGCGTCGAGAATCGGGACTCTTTACTTTCGACTCTCAATGAAGTTCTTTTGACCAAAACCACGGATGAGTGGCTTGCATTGTTCAGAAAAAGTGGACTACCTCATGCACCAATCAATACTATTGAAAGGGCGTTTGCACATCCCCAAGCAGAGGCGAGAAACATGACCTTCAATGTTGATTTTGAGCCAGCCAAATCGGGAAAACTCACTATGATTGGTATGAACTGGTCTTTTCTTTGCTATACGTGACTTTAGTTGGTATAAAGATCCGGTGGCTGACATGACATCAACACATAGGGCCTCCTGTCTCATTCAGTGAGGATAAGCCGTTGTTCTATTCCAAGCCTCCACTTCTCGGTGAGCATACGCTGGATATACTGAGGGAAATAGGCATATCAGAGACGGAAATTGATGACCTGAAGGCATGCAAGGTTGTGAGGGAACAAACTAAAGGAATTCAATGAGGTGTAGATCATATTATTCATGAAATGTATCCGTTAATAAGCACTCGGTGGGAGACCAAAGGATCAATCAGATCAGAAATAAGCCATCTGAGAATAACTTATCTTATAGGAAGTATTATTGTCAGAACCAAAGAAGCAAACATAGATATCCAACAAACAAAAAATTTTGAGCTTGCAATACTAAAACACTTGGTTGAATTGAATTTTCTTGCATTATGGGCACTTTTCATTTATAAGACTCTATCTTGCACGGTGCCAGGCATTCAATTACCCATTCTCTCAAAACTCAAGATAAGATCACCATTTCTAAGCTAATTTATTGGTATTGTACTTTGCTGTCTAAATCTAAAGCATGTATGACAGGGGGTGTGATTCAATACCTTCCGTGGTTGTGTTCAAGTCAATTCCAAGAAGATGACTGCTGTTAGAGTTGCTTGCCATCTCTGATACCATCTCCGTACGAGTACCAACAGACCAATACCTTCGACTATATGGCAGACATTTTCTTGGTTGATCTACTCGTCAAAACTTCGCCCAGCCGCCGCAACATCTAGTGTACATGCCGTGCCACAGCGAATGGCTTTAGCACGTGCGCAAAGCATTTGTGGCTAGTCCGTGTTGCTGAGAGCTAATAATGGCAGAATGAGCTTATATTGCGGCCAACAAAGCCGGTATCCTGTAGAATATGTGTAAGGATAGATATTTTGTGCTCCCAAAAGAAGGTATGGTCTTCGCGGTTTGCTAGTAGTGGGCGCGATGAGACGTACAGTTTGATTGGAAGCAACACGATTGATCTTACAATAAATATCGCCAAAAAGGGATGTTATGATAGTTGAAGCTCGAATGCAGACCATACTTTGCGCCTGCTTGTCTGTTGCCGTGGAATTATCCCGAGAATTATTGATTAGAATTGGCACTAGCGGTTTGTGTAAGAGCAAACGGGACTAGGGACTACCAATTATCCCGAACTTTGGGCTGGCATTTCCTTTTCGCAGCGACCTATGACTCAATTAAATCCACCTATCACGAGACACCGAGAACCGAGTGGCGAGATATAAGACACCAGAGAGAACCAAAGAAACTCCCGTAAACAACTGCATCGGGACGTAGTTATTTCCGCCGGTATTATTGAGTAGTTGTCCAGCGATGGGCCCAGTGCCTAAAACGGCAAAGGACGCAACCGTGATACCGATGCCTTTCCACATGTTATTTTATAAGTCGGACTTTCGAGACAGAGGTATTTAACTTACCGTTCCAGGAGCCGATCACTTCTGGCGTTGGTGCAAGGAGAGATAGGCATGGTGAAAATATGGCTTGAAGAGCACCAGACAGAACACCGTACACTATAGCCCACACAATGACGCCTGCAGTTTGTTGTGCACCAATCCACGCAAAGGCGACCACAGCGCATCCGAAAGTGGCAACTGTGAGAGAATTAAAAAACCCCAATCCCAAGTCCGCTGTTATTCCCAATGCGTAGCATCCCAAAAATGCGCCACCATTCAAGATCGCTGCATCGTAGAAGGCGAGGCTTTCAGAGGCACCGCACTGCATTGCATACGGAGTGATGTAAAACTATGATTCAAAAAGCTTTCTCAGTCGCTTGGCAATGCTTGCTTGGTTCTTGCCACTAACCCATGGAATATAAACCCCCAAGTCCATAATCAGCATTGCGATGGTAAAGAGGATGGTCCGCTTGTCAGTGAAATATTGCCTAACAGGAAGCAAATCATGTTCCGAGGTCCTGGGAAACCGCGGCTTGACCAATAGAGTGGCTGCAATCATTAAACCCAGCTGCATGAAGCCTATGATGCGTAAGGTCCAGCCCAATGACATTCCATTAGCATTGAGCAGCTTATTCGCCAGCACAGGCCATATTATCCCTGATTTGGATCAAGTAAAATCAGTTCCAGAGACTTTAAATCATATGCTAAAAGCTGACACATACCTCCCACGTTCTGGCCCGACATGACTGCACCAACGACAAAGCCACGCTTTCTTAGGAACCATTGCGACTGGACAGCTAGGGCAGGTGTGAATATCAGACCCATGCCGAGTGCCACACAAAATCCCTGGGACAGCAAAAACTGGTAGTACGTCTTCGATATGGAAGCCATCATGATGCCAAGAACCATGAATATAGTCCCCACCCCAAACGGCAATGTTGGACCATACTTGTCAGACAGCCTACCGGCCCAAATGCCGAAGAAAAAGCAACCGAAGAGCTGCACACTACCAATCCAGGCAATATCGGAAGGGCTCGACGAGGACAGGGTCGTTGTGATGTAGTAGCTCTGGAATACGGAGCCACCGCTCAGGAAGCCGATACTGGCAATGAATGCGAGGAATCCGCCAAGAGCGGTACGCCAAGCGTTGACACCGCCATCTGGATATATTACATCGTCTTGGATAGCAAGTTCTGCGAGGCTTCCATTGGTCTCATTGTAATTGCCGGCCAATTCAATGTGTTGACTGTCTGCAGGAGACTCTTTGGTGTCTTCAATCTCAGAGGTGCGCATTTTATGGTCCAAGATGAATAAAGACGCAAGGAACGGGCTCGTACCAACAACTGATTATTGGAAATTGTCTGCTATTTAAATGCTAAGTATGGTATTTACTATGGGGCGGCTGTTTAGCCACTTCAGAGCTAATAAACAGCCAATTACTCCATATACTTAGTTGTAGGACTCAGACCTACCAGGCAGAGGCAGGATAGCGAATAAGATCAGATCATACTCACAGAAAGAGTAGTTATGTGGGGGTTATCTACCCCGCACTTCGCTAAAATTAACCCTCCAAATTCAGCTCTTTTTCGGGATTTTGGGTTTTTGCTTGGCATGTCCTCCCGGGTGACCTTGCAATCAGAGCCGCGGATCCGGGAGCCGCGGGTCTAGGCCACCAATAAAAACCCACATCTCAATGGTCGCATATATACTCAATTTTTGCTGGTGGCCCAGAAGCAAGGCGATTAATTAGCTACGAAATCAATAGATTGTTAAGATCTACCTCAACTTCGGTCGTTGTTTTCCCCTTTCGGAATGGCCAAAATGGAATTGATTTTCCCGTCATTGGTCTATGATTTGTATCAACAGCTTCGTCTGAGCTGTAAGCCGAGTTGAACTGCTTCGCCCTCGGCTCCCCAGCTAACTTCCAAAACGGGCCATGCACGCGGGGTAGAAATTCATCCGGAACGGACTTCAGGCACTGCAACAGGATTCTCTACACCCGTTCGTCGCTGGATACTTCGTTAAAGGCCATTGAGATGCCAGCCCTGTTCCATCGCTAAAGATTCCTGCAAAATAGTGCCAGGACCTGATACATTTTACTTCTACCCTGAAGAAGAAACATAGAAACATAGAATTTCCTTCAATCCTTAGTTGTTCTAAATGTCTGAATCTCAGTTTCATCATATTTAGACCGCTTAATAGGCCTATTCTGTTTAGTAGATGCATATGCTGCATATGCTCCATTAGTATTGCCCAAATGAGATGCTTCTAAAGGACTCTGTACTGCCATAAGAAATATCCACTGGCAACTAAGTAAAATTTGTACAAAATCTCATTTCCGGTTTTTAATATGGCCATGAAGATGCCGACAACCCCATGTGTTCTATAGTAGATCATAATAGGCATGTAGGAAGTCTAATTTAACCATTTCAAGCCCGTTTTGATGTCACCCCACCGTGCAATTGACAGATCTCTCCAGAAGTAAGACCGCGGCTGCCATGGAGCGGTAGACGCAGTCTTAGGAAATGCTTTCCCGCCTTCCTTCACGTATGTCGCCGACAATGCCAGAAATGGGCGTTCTTCCAATGTATTCTTTTCCTTGGACGTCATTCGCGGAACTATCACCGATATACCCTTCTTCCTCATCGTTGTCAACAACCGACATGCTAGCTGCGCCGTTGCGTCGGCCCCAAGTGTCCAGCTTGCGTTGGTGTAGCCCCAGGATAGAACTGCATTCGGCAGGCCCTCCACCATGGTAGTCCTCCAAGCAAAGTTATCTGAAATATCATACGGCTCGCCGTCGATAGTAATATTGATACCAGCTGCGGTACACAACTTGAGCCCGGTCGCTGTCACGATGATATCCGGACGCAGTTCCTCCCCAGATGTTAATTTGATGGTGGAACTCGTAATAGTTTCGATCGAACCCGTCTTAATGCTTCCCTTTCCGCTCCGGATGGAAGCGTAAAAGTCTCCGTCAGGACACAGGCATAAGCGCTGCTCCCAAGGGTTGTATGAGGGCACAAAATCTGGCTCTAGGTCCGTGCCTGGGGGTAGGAGCTTAGCCGTCTCACGGAGGAGGTAGGCTCTAGCTGCCCGAGGGAAACGACGGCAGATCGATACCATAAAAAGAGAGAAGAGCATCCATTTCAAGCGAATCAGTCGATGTGCCGCAGACTGCGGTAAAATTTTTGAGACGACGGCCTCGAACCTTCCCTCGCTGGGAAGCGATGCGATATAGGTAGGTGAGCGCTGAAGCATGGTTACGTGCGCAGCTCTTTCGGTGAGAGCAGGAAGCAGCGTGATAGCGGTGGCCCCGGAGCCAATAATCACGACCCGCTTTTTGGTATAGTCGAGGTCAACGGGCCAGAACTGGGGGTGGACGACCTCGCCTTGGAAATCATGTATCCCGGGAATGTTCGCCTGTAGTGGTTCCTGGTAGTCATAGTACCCTGTGCCAAGAAACACAAAGCGAGAACTCATGGAGATCTTCTCCGTGTTGTTGGCGGTGATGTCGAAGGTCCACATATTAGACGACGATGACCAGTTCATTTTGTTAACCTGGTGGAAAAACCGTATTTTCTTATCGATGTTCTCTTGAGCGGCGGATTCTTCAAGATAGTTGCGGATGACAGAGCCATGGACAATCGAGTTTTTTCCAGTCCAGGGGCGCCATGCAAAGCCGAAAGTATAGAGGTCTGAGTCTGATCTGATACCTGCGTTTTCCGAGGTCAGGGGAAAATAATTCACATCTGATAGTCTTGTGGCAGCGGCGCTTACCTGGATACTGGAACAGGCTCCAGGTACCTCCAATTTCATGACGGCCCTCAAGAATACAGTAACTCAGTTCCGGGTTGCGCTCTTGCAGACGATAAGCAAAATTAATGCCAGAGATACCAGCACCAACAATTATGACATCGAAATCCATCATTTCTTTATATGAAGCCATTGTGACCTACTTGTCGCGTGCGTTTCCGTGTAGAAAATGTATTCTGCGGCCTGTGATGATGCATTGATAGAGGCCAAAACAAGATAATGTATGCTTCCTTGGAATCCATGCTACTCTTTAGGGTCATCTCTGTCTTTGTAGGCTGCGTGTGCTGATTCCTCGGAGCCGCGGAGCCGCAAAACAGCGATAAGGCGCACATAATATTACATTATTGAAATCGTGGAATCTTGCTCTCTCGGACCATGATGGACCCGGTCGGTAAGGACAATGCACTACGGCAAGATACTCGGATTATTGATCAATAGTACACGGATCAAGCAATAACTCATCTCTCCAGCATTCTCATCCGAGTTCCGAGGTCTTGGCACCCGCCCTGAATACCTTACCGTGCTCATTGGGCGGATTACATTGCTCCAGAGAACTTTCTCTGGGGCAAAGCAAGGCAGTATCAATCAGTATTCTGAGGAGGCCTTACGCTGTTGGTGCCTGACCTGCGGCACAAAGGCATTTTGTCTCCGGGACAGGACCAATCATTTGGCCTTTTTCAGGTATATGGAGGTACTTGGCAGATGATTGAATCACTCGAGGGATATATAGAATAAACGTTCTTTTCAAGTTCCGCCAGATGGTCTTTGGTCTCTCTTTTATCAAACATCATTGAGCTGGACATCGCTGATTATTTGGACAACGATCTTTTCCCATTGTTTCCCCCTTAAAACCCCTCCCTGTTATAGGTGTCTGCAATTGTGTAGTACAGTTGGAGGTGTCACAGCGCTGCCTCTGGCTTGATCCGTGCCAAACTGTACGACGGTACTCAAATGATGCCCAATACATATCGATTTCCCTGGAGCTTGAATTCGTCGAAGTGAACTTGAAGGGGTAAAGCGCCTCGGTCCTTAGAGTTGTGGCGGATCCGCGAAATGTGAAGGTCGAGCGGGACCCGCGGGATCCGTGTCCACTCCTCATCGGACCCGCCTGAACTTCGAAGTAATCCATGAGGGAATAATTAAGTGGTTTCTCCACACATGGCTTCATGTTTTTCTGGTTTTATATGAATATATATATATTGTTGTCTTATATTCCATCAGCAGGGAAATAAACCTTTAAATTCAGTTCACGAGCTCGCTTGCAGAAAGTTTTTGACATCATTTCAATCTTATCAGCAAACCACCGAAATTCCACTTTGACGAAATGGGCGAATTATTTGACGTTGCAGTGATCGGAGCCGGCATGGCTGGTATCATTGCAGCTCGTGATATCAGTGAAAAGGGCTACAAAGTGGTGTTGTTGGAGGCTCGTGATCGAGTTGGAGGACGAACTTATATGGATCGCGCTTGTGGGAGGATACTCGAACTGGGAGGTGGCTATGTACACTGGACGCAACCGCACATTTGGACCGAGCTTCAGCGTCATGACATTTCTGTCAACCCTCCCATGGAGGAAGGAAGAAGTCACTGGCTTGCCGATGGGGCTGTGCATTCGGGCACCTCCGAAGAATTCTACAAAATCGTGTCTCCGCTCCTAGAGCGACTATTTGCGGACAGCCGTGCTCGATTTCCAATGCCGTTCATCCCCACTGCTATCGACAACACGGAAATCGAACAGGAATCGATTGAAGATCGGATAAATTCTTTGAATTTGTCTTCATACGAACGTGATGTGTTGGAAGGGGCATTGTCAGGTGTGGTGCATTCCTACAAAAGTCATGGTATTGCCCAATTGCTCCATGCTGTGGCCACATACTTCGGAAATTTTGGGGCGTTCTTCGAGACAGCCGGCACTTGGAGCATCCAAGGTGGCACTAAGGGGTTGATCGATGCTATTCTGGCTAAAACAAAAGCTAAGCTACTACTTTCCACACCAGTGAGCTCCGTTACCGACGAAGGTTCTCAGGTGGTCATTGGAACTCGGCATGGCCAAAAGATCCATGCCCGGAAGACAATCGTCGCACTTCCGCTAAACACCATTGGCGACGTGTGCATTACACCTAATCCGCCCCCTGTGGCACAATCCATGATTGCAAAGAAGAACCCAACCATGGCTGGGAAGCTCTGGATCCGAGTTCGGGGCGAGATCGAACCCTTTTCAATATATGCACCGGCTGGGAAATATCCGCTTAACGCTGCAAGAACTGAGAGGTATATCGATGGGGATACTCTCGTCCTATGTATGTGCTCAGATGATACTGCTATACGTGGTGAGGATCGGAAGGGGGTGCAAATCTTGCTGCAAAAGTTTTTACCCGGTGTTCAGGTTGTGGATATCGCGTACCATAGTTGGGTCGGCGATGAATTTGCCAAGGGAGGCTGGATGATGAACCGCCCCGGATTCTTCACGACAGGTGCGGCAGAACTTCGAAAGCCACATGGTAATATTCACTTTGCAGGAAGTGACATTTCCGCGAGTGAGCCGGGTTCTATTGAGGGTGCTCTATCGAGTGGCGCACAAGCTGCTCGTGATGTTTCTTTCAAGCTAGCGAAAGGAAAACTATAGCTCTAAGTAGTCTAACCTCAGGATCTCAAATCCAACTGGGGTTGTACTGTCTTTACGTCGAGATCCAGACCAATGATGTTTACTATGGTGAATCCTCAAGACAATGCATAAATGTCCTAGATGAGATTGGTTCTATTGCAATTGCTTCTAATGTAGAAGTTAACAAGTAATCTCGCACCAATGTACAGCAATTTGGATGTAACTTTCACTGTATTGTCCCCTAAAAACTGGATCTATCAAATTTCTGCCTTTGTTCTGTCTTACATGTTTGATCATGATGACACCTGGCAAATATAAGGGACGATAGTTTTGGTTATTTTGCGGAAGAATCTGACTAAAAGTCCTTCTGTCATATCGGGTGCTAAATGGGATAGTAGACCTCAGACGCGTCTGTCATAATGTCTGAGGTCTCCTCGGCTAGAATCTTAATGGAATGGCAAATCTTCTGGGCTCTGAAGAGCGGTTGTAAACATGTGCACATGTCAAAACTTTAAGGTGCAGCCCTTTCTATCCGGGACCTATGTCCCGCGGCTCCCAGGAGGTGTCACTTAGAGCTATGCTTGCTACGATCTCGATCCCCGCGTTACTCTGCAGCAGGGCAAAAATATCTCATAGAATTGATACTAAGGTTTCTGAAATTCATCTTGTATGACTTCGCTAACAAACTAGGCTTTAATTCGAGCCAATCCCATTTGTATTATTGTTATCTCTCCCTATTTTCTTCTGCCTGTTTTGGAGATTAGCGGGCCGCGGGTCCGCGTATCCGCGGATCCTCCGCTCAAAATTCAGACCCGCCATCTAAACACTGGAGTTATGATTTTCAACTCAACACCGGAAGCCAGATGGAAGGAGTAATAGCCGGATCTGAAGTGCGGAATATATTCTTAAAGGGGACTTTGTCCGTCTTGGGATGGAACCTGTATGAACATATGACAATATAAAAGGGACAGCGCATGCCGGATTCCCATGTGTCGATAAGATCTCATCAATCCCAATTATTACTTTTGTTTATCTCCGAAATTACAAAATGGCCAGCTACAATAGCTCTAAGCCCGTCGTATTCATCGGCGCTGCCGGTGAGATGTGTCGAATTGCGGTGGAGCGCTTTGCTAAAGCAAGCGATGCTCAACTTGTTCTTGCGGACCTTAACACTACTGTTATCGAATCCCTTGCCTCCAAGCTCCCAGCAGGAAGAACAAAGACTCAGAAGATCGATCTTTTCGACGGAGCTGCTCTTGCCAATATAGTCACAGGTGCCGGATTGGTCGTCTTGGGTGCAGGGCCGTATTCAAAAACCTCTCATCCAGTCGTCAAAGCATGCATCAAGGCAAAGGTTCCGTACCTTGACTTTGACGATGATGTGGAAAGCAGCCAGGCTGCCCTAGCTCTCACGGAAGAAGCGAAGAAGGCCGGTGTACCTCTGTACATTGGATGTGGTGCTTCGCCCGGGTTGAGTAATGTCATGGTTATGGATGCCACCCGCGAGCTCGACACTGTTCACAGCATCGATATTTGCTGGCTTGTTGGGGACGAGGCAAGCGTTGGAAAAGCAGTGCTTCAGCACTTGATGCACATTGCTGCCGGGCCATGCCTCACATGGGTCAATTCGAAGCCGACAGTGAACGAGTCTTGGGTCGGGACCACGTACGCGCCCATGTATACCGATGATGGCGAGAGGCTCTTACATGAGACAGCTCATCCCGAACCGGTGACACTCCCACGTCTCTTTCCGAATGCCACTCGAATTCAGTGTTTTGGCTCGCTAGATCCAAAGCCACTCAATGGTATCGCTCGAGGGCTTGGCTGTGCTGTTCGTGCAAAGGCATTATCAATGGATGATGCAGTTGAATTCCTTTATAATCTAGCAAGCCACCCCCCGCTAGAGGGCGGCTTGGGTGGCTTAGGTGAAGCTTTTCAGGCTTTCAAAGGACAACTGCGCGGGGGCGATGTGAGTCTCAAGGAGCTTTACTACTTGATCAGTCACTCTGTTGGTCCTTTGAGATACGCTCTATGGGGAATGCTCGAACAGATCTGGAATGGCGAGTGCACCACCGCCGAGGTTCTGACTTACATCCTGAACGCGGTGACTGGCACGAAAATCGAAAACAGAGGCAACATACTTGTGAGGGCAGTTGGTATGCGCAACGGTGTGCCCACGGTGATTACAAAACGCAACCCGAAAAATGGAAAGGACACCTATCTTTGCCAGAGCATGGGCACAGTCACTGGAACTTCAACTGCTGCCTTTATGGTGATGGCACTCGAAGACGGCCACAAGCGCACTGGTGTTTTCTGTCCGGAAGACTGGGCTGAGCCAGAGGTGTTTTACAGTGCTTTGCAGCGCGTTGGAGTCCCCAAAGACGAGATAATTGAGTCTATCTAAGAGCCTTTGGGGAATACAGTGGGCACTTGACACAAGTGGCCGAGAAAGATACGATGAGTTTAATTGGTGACAACAACTTCGAAACGGACGGGGCTGCCTAATCGTCGCAACTAGGTTCAATGACGATTTATTATGTGAATCTCCGCGACGAAAATTGTCTGTCCAGAGCCCTTTACAGAGTCGAGTCCTTCGTCCCAATGTTCTCTGTTATCTGTTTGAAACAATCTAGCAAGTAGTGAAAGATCCTGCCGTCTGAAATGTCAAAGATGATTGTGTCTCTAGCGAAACGCTAAGCCTTTCAGAAGTATCATTAACGGCTTTCGGAATTTTGTGGACTTAAATTGAAACTAAAATTGATCTCACGTAGAGGTCCCCGAGCCACCAGAACCATCGGTGGCAATCTTCACTCGGGGCCCGCGGACCCGCGGATCCGTAAATAGCGGCCCCGCGTTCCCATAAGCACATGTAGGCATCCCATCGCGAGCTCCGTCTTCAAAGCGCTGGCCGTCTAGTGTGTCCATTCACCTAGCAATCCATTTTTATCGTTTTAATTGCAAATTATATGGATATCGACGGTATGACGCTTGCCAACATATCTGGCTATCCTAATGTTTCCGACATGCTTGTTACGGAAAATTATGGTTACAGTCATATTCTAGACTGGCCAGAACTTCAGAACCTGATCGTCCGTTCCAGTTCTTTTGGATCGGCTGGGGATTCCGGGATAATCCCCGTCTCATCCTCTTCTGACGGGAGATTCCTTTCAACCTATCTTGGTCCCATGGCCGACAGGGCAGACTCGCTGCAGCTAAGCCAACCGGCTTCGAATTCGATTGATCCGTTCACTCCCTCCCAATGTCCCGACATTTTCAAGTCTTCCTCCACCAAAGTCGATCAAAAAGCCAAAGAGAAGCTCTCTCCGGCCTCAAACAAGAACGAAATTCTTGCGACCAAGAGGAAGTCAACAAGAATTCGAAGACAAAACCGCTCGTGTGATCCTTGCCGCTCGGCGAAAAGGGCATGCGATTTGCCCTTCAATCTCGTTATCTCAAACAACCTTCCTTTATCGCCGTGTTCCATGTGCAAATTACGGGGCATGGATTGCACAGCTGCATGGCGTTCGAGCAAGCAATCCGTCCGTCATGGCAATGAGCGTGCGCCTCCTCCATTCATTGACGGCCATGATACCGACGGCGGTCCTGATGCCATCACAGAACGCATCGATGATTCTCTTCCCCCCACATCGCCAACTAGTTTATCGTGCAACGAGTGTGCTCTAGTCTCCCGTATGATGGCCAGCGAGATATGGTCTCAGAGATTGGCAGTATACATTGACATCTTTGATATCCCTGTTTCAAAGCTTCTTTCACCAAGGTGCATGCCTCCTTGCTACTCTTTGGGAATTGCTGCCTTAAGATCATTGAGCCATAATTCACAATTGGCTGCACGAATCAACCAAACCCAACTGAGCATCAGAAGTAGCTGGAAAATGAATTCACCCCCACAGTCACAAACTTCTGCTGTACCAAATTTGTTTGTTGCTGCTAGCATTCTTGATATGTTATTTCAACGCACGCAGTCTTGTCCCGAAGATGCGCGATTGTCATCGCGCGATGATATCTTGACTGAAACGTACAAGTGGGTCGCCGTTGCGACCGGATCGCAATTTGCTGTTCGTGAATATAGCGCCGAGAACATCGCAAAGTCTCAGCAACAAGTTAGAGACATTGCATATGCTACATGGCGTAAAGCAAAAGATATGGTATTCACGAATATTGCGGCAAGAAAATCATTCCGTCTAGGACTGTCACTACTTCTCTTTGGAACAATTTTACCACCCACCAAGACTGACCAGAGCCATGAGTTTCAAGATGATGCTGCCTATGCGTTCCACGAAGGCATTTGTCGCCTCCAAACACTATGCACTGAAGCACGTGTCAACCTTCGTTATGGTAATAATCAGCCGGATATAATTACACCTTTAATGGGACGGTGTCATTCTGCGAGAAGTCCACCTCTGTCCCAAAATTTGTCCACCGACGAATACGAAAAAGTTCTAGAGCTGATCGCAGCGCTTGAATGGCTCATTGAGATGTCTCAATCAGTAGCAATTGCACTTTTCCCATATCGGAGCTTTACCGTCGCACCGTCTATTATCGGCCTTAAGACCGGCATCAATCACCCAGTTGAGGACACATTTCAAGGGTTGGCTATGAAAGGTGTGGATGATGCCATTATTGCGCGGGTAAAGGCCGAGACCCAACCAGTGACAGTGCTATGGTCCCAAGGCTCTCCGGAACATCTTGTGCAGAATGCACTGTATGAGTCAGGATCCCTCGTCGTCTTATTGTGGAAATCACTCGCTCGCTTAACTCTAGCAACACAAAATGCCTGGAGCGAGACGGCCCACTATGCAGACATTCAACGGCATTTCAATACGATGATAATGCTCATTGATATATGGAGAACCAGCTTTGGAACAATTGATCATACCGCAGCTAAGAGACTGCAGCTAGCAACGACGGATTTGCGGCGCAGTGTGATATTCTGCGCTACTGATGGCGATCTTGCAGTCCTACTCTTTCACGAGCTTTCCTGCCAAATCGAGAAACAAATGGTGGACCGAGCACAACTGCCAAAAGATCCTTTCAAAGAAAAGTTGAAGCAAACCAGCAACTATAGAAACTTACAACGGTTGACGAGCGCAATGCAAATTTCTTCCCTCTCATCAACGTGTCAAGGGGTTTCAAGCCCTGGCTTTCAAGGGGAGGTCGGGCTTAAGGCAAACATCGAAGACGTTAGAGCACATCCGGTGAGTAATCCCTCTCCATACTGGCTATTCCTGCACTGAATATTCCGCAGCATCCTACTATGGTGGTGCAAGCATACAAACTAGCCGCCAATGCTCTTGCAGAGGAGATTCAGAACTCTGTTCCCACAGCTGATACAAAACGTATTTCAGAGTTGTCTATTGGGCTCCAGAATTGTCTACGGGAGCTGCGCGGGCTTCAGAGTACTCTTGTCATGTATCCATCTACAGATTGGGGCGATGGAAATTTTAATTCCCCCTGAGCCCTACGAGAAACTAAGGCTCATTTATCAGGGCAGGTCTATTGTTCATGGTGCGGTATAAGAAACTGCGACTGTTGTGAAGGTCCCACCTCGCCCCTTGAAATTGCAGTTCTTAGGTCGAATGACTCTGTGTTCGGGAAGATGCAAGTCTCTTATGGTCGAATTTTGCTGTGCATCACTGACCAGACAGCTGATTAACAACAGCCAGTCTGTGTTGCTCATTCCTTGTCGGCCTAGGATTTCGAGGACTAGTTAATTTACGCTGCCATTCAGGATTTTCCCGTCACCCTGGTCAAAGTGGTGAGGATAGAGAACTCCACTTCAAGCCAGATGATAAGTCCGATAACAATTACTTTACCTAAGGGTCTCAGAATAGGTCGCGATAGATAATACAGGACAAGCGATCCACTGGAGATAGATAGCAATACCAATCAGATCGATCGCAATTATCATCCAAAATCCTAATCCTTTAATCGCAATCAACACCATCACCATTACCATGCGCAATTCATTCATTGGTTCATAGGCAGTTACAAAGCTTCGAACTCAGTCGGGGCCCGCGGACTCCGGCGGTTCCGCGGCTCCGACTTCGACAGAAACTCTATAGTGTGTGGCGCGAGCTACGCCGATATGGTTTGCTGGCGGTATATGTCATGACTTTCTTTGGCAATCAGTCAAGATATGTAAAGGTGCGAGGGTGAAATACGTCGCGAAATATCATTCACTAACATTTACCTAGATTCCCATTTATTATGGATCCCTCCTACCAGTGTTCCTGAACAACACGTGAGGACGCATGCACGTGAGAGATCGGATTCTGTGCTATATCCAATTACAGTGTTTATGTCAAGTTCCTACTACGTAGTAATGTGTAATAGTAGTATCGCTAGTGACAGTTACGCTCTGGTGTCGATATACCACTCATATGAGAGAAGTGAATTTGCCGCTTCCCCACATGAACCCCAGGAAACTCAGACTTTTAGAACCTCCAGCCTACACGTTGACCCACCTTCCCCGTCTTCCCCATCGCCCAAAACCCCTTAAAACACCCTCAACAAACGTGATATACTGAGATATGGAGGATCTGTTGCGCGGTCCTTTTTCCGATTTTTACAACTCCACAACGTGAAATTTGGTCAATAAGCTCAAGCACCATGTCCCAAGCAGCTTTGAATATGCTGCCGGGCCGAGATCGATTGTCCAATTCCGATATCTTCCTATCAACTTTGACTGCTGAACCGCCCTCCCAGATGCTCGATAGCGTGAACTGCGACGCCATCTTCGCTGATGATCCCACTGCGGCAGGCCCTTTCGCAAACTACATTGCATTCCTGTCATCGAATCAGTCCGGATTTCACGATGAGGGCGGCCATGAGGATCAAGATTGGGGCATCATTTCCGATCCTGCTCAGCACCAGTATAATCCTTCACTCATATCCACTATCGACGAGCAGCTCCAGAGGAACCAATTTTCAAATTCTGATTCGAAAAGAGGCGGAGCCGGTGACACAATCGGTGGCCTTCTCAATTTAACTAGCCCATCAACCGCGACCAGTGATGTGGGGACTATCTCAGCTAACACTCAACCGACAGAACACGGCTCCTCAACCCGAAAGTTGCGGAGGCAAAATCATTCGTGTGACCAATGCCGGTCATCAAAGAGAGCCTGTGATCTACCGATGACGGTCCGTATCAGCCATAAAAAACCCTCGACCAGCTGTTCGACTTGCAATAATCGTGGCCGATCATGCACAGTGATGTGGCTGGCAGGCAAGAAGTCGAAAAGTTATGCCAAAAAAGGAGCGAACGCGGTCTCTTATGTGGCGGAAGCAGATGACACAGATGCCGAAAAGCAACTGACAGATCGCGTGCGGCATCCTACTCCAGGAGAAATATCAAGTGTTGAATCAGATCTGTCCAAGCAGGTTGATTCACGCGAGATAAGTCTCCAATACTTCAATCTCTATGTCGACGTGTGTGATATGCCAATCTCGGAATGTCTCCTGCAGGGTAGCATGCCACCTCAATACGGTCGGGGCATTGCGGCTTTGGCACCGCTGAGCGCAAGCCAGAATCTGGCCATTTACCTAAAGAAGGCGAACGCATGGATCAGTAGTTGTTGGGAAGCAAATTCGGAATCAGATTTGTGGTCCTCTAATGCAGCAGCACCCCATGCATTTTGCACCGTCACCCTCTTAGACGCCCTTTTCCAGGGCAGAGGCTACAAGAAACTCCCGCACATGCCATCGTCCCTACGTGATGCCTCGATCAATGATGCATACAAATGGGTCGCCATTGCCACTGCAGCGCAATTCACTATTGACACCAATCGGTCTGCAAGTTATAGCCGTGACCTTGCCATCGTCACTTGGCGCAAAGCTAGAGCGATAGTCTTTAAGAATATGGCGGCCACCGACTCATTCCGACAGTCCTTGTCGATGATATTATTTGGTCTAATTATCCGGCCCAATATAAGCCCTGACGAAGACAATGTTTCAGAGACAGACTCTGTCTACGCTCTGTGTGAAGGGATTCGTCGTCTTGACTCGCTCTGTGCCAAAGCAAGCAGCCATCTCCAAGAGATGAAAGAGAATTGCCCCTATTCAGGCGGAAACTTGACATGGGAATTGACCTCGGATGTAATCGACAATCTTCTAGACTTGGTCTATGCCATTCAATGGCTGGTCTATATCGCAAATGATGTGGCGGTTGTCACCTCACGGGGAGAGATTTGTCCAATGCCTAATGAACCCACTGAACTCGATTTCAGGTGTCCCCAAAGATTTATGGGCGCTCTTCAAACACCGGATATAGCAACCTCCGTTACTGTGCACGAAGACCAGGATATTGAAAATTCAATTCTTTCCCGGGCCATGACGGAGCGACAGACTTTGATGGTGCTCGAGTGCAGTAACATCTCTTACAATGAAGTGAAACAGGCAGTAAGAGATTCGGCTCCTTTGCTTATCCTCATGTGGAAGGCATTGGCATCTTTCATGCTAGTCAACAAGACTGTTAAAACGGGGAAGGCCGACTACAAAATCATTGCGTCGCGCTACGAGGCAACCATGAATCTCGTGGCACTGTGGAGGTCGAGTTTCGGCATATTTGACGGCAAATCAATTAAATACCTTCAGCAGTCGCCATCCGAGCTTCGACGCATATTGGCGTTTTGCGTGAATGATGGTGACCTCGGTGTTCTTCTCCTCTACGATACCGCGCAGAAGCTTGAGAAGGATCTTGCAGAGAGGCCCCCGACGCCAGAGAAGAACATTCTCTGCAATATTCTTCATGCCACCGGCTCTAGTCTAAAAAGCCAAAGGTTCATGAGTGCAGTCCAAATTTCTACACTTGCTTCCATATGCGGAAGAGCTTCAAGCCCGGGGTTTGAAGAGAATGGTGGACTAAAGACATATGTTCAGGATATTGGAGCACATCCTGTGAGTATGAATCTTTTCAGTTTAACATTTGCTTTTTCCGGGTTGCTGACTTTTATTACAAGAATCCAATGATGGTTGTACAAGCACAAACATTGTCTGCAAGGGCTTTGGCTGATGGAGTGTCTGATCGAGTCAACGAAATGGACACGACGGGCGCCTCAAAAATGGCGAGTAAATTAGAGGCGTGCCTTAAAACTTTACGGGACCTCCAGAACACTCTTACCACGTTCCCAGACGTTTCTGTCGCGGCATGATTGATGGGCTAGGTCTTGCTTGGATTTACTTATGATGGCGTACATGGGATAGTTCTCGGCAATGTATGCCTTAGATTGACACTTGTTACAACTGATTAATTGTATCTAGAGTAACTGGGTTATAAGCTCCACGGAGAGGGTAGAATCACAGGTTTGCGTGTGCCGGTGACTCTTCTGCGCGATCATGCTTGATCATGTCGCTCAGCTTGTAGGCCATGGCTCCAATAGTGGCAGTCGGGTGTCCGCTTATTTGCTCTGGAAAGACACTAGCATCCATAACTCGTAGACCCTTGACACCATGTACGCGACAATCCAAGTCCACCACGCTGTCACTGGGCGCAGGGCCCATACGTGCCGAGCCGACCGGATGATAGAGAGTGAAAGCCTTCTCCTTCATGAAGCGAATAAGATCCTCGTCTGAAATGCTGTCGATATTGCTGCTTGAGTATGGCCACCAATAGGAAGAGACGTCGTCATTAGTTGGGACGACTTCAAGGAACTTTTGGAAAGCTGGGCTGCGGACGATTTTCAGACAGGCTCGCACGCCCGTTAAAAGCACATTTTGATCATTGTTACCTTCGTCAGAAAGGTATCGTGGGTCAATGAGTGCTAGAAATATTATTTAGTACGCTCTTTTCTCTCAGGAAAATGCAAGAAGGGGGCAAAAGAAAAGAAAACACTACTCACGTGCGTCAAAAGCGTCCCGGCTACGCAGCGTAATCGTACCACTACTCAGCGGACGAAGACTGATCGGGACTATGCTGAAAACACTACTCCCATCAATTGGCGGTTCTTCGCCGTGATTAATGAATGCCAATGGAGCTCCGATAATCTCCAAGTCCGGTCCCACCCCACCAGAGGTGTTATCTTTTAGAACGCTGCGTAAAGACCCGGCGAACTTCTCGTCGGTCGACCGGATAAACGCAGCGGCCTCGCCAACATTGCTAGTGAGTGGCCCGGTTCCAAGAAGCAACCACTGGAGAAGAGCGGGTAGGGCCTTGATATCGCTTGCAAGATAGTCGAGCGTTTTTCCTGGCTTCGCCTTGCAGATCACCGGCGTCGTGCAGAGGTGGTCTTTCAAGTTATGGCCTACCGCAGCGTTATCCACAAGGACGGGGATTCCATGTCGATTGAGCTCATCGGCCGGTCCGATTCCGCTCAGCTTCAAGGTCTGAGGAGTGTTGATGGCCCCTCCAGAGAGAATGACCTCTTTCCGGGCATGGACTTCAAAGAGTTCCTCGCCCCGTTTGGTTTGGAACTCGACGCCAATAGCCTGAGGGGTCCGCGACGATAGACGGTCAAATAGCACACGCGTGACATGGGCATGGCATGCAACATAGAGATTCGGCCGTTGCATTACGCTCGGTGGCAGATACGCCGTAGCGAACGAAGAACGCTGACCCTTCGAATCGATGAACGTTTGGAACCGAGTAACACCGAGGGGGCTATCCGCACAATTAATATCGGGCTGAAGGGGAATGCCAATTTCTTGACAGGCAGGCAGAAATCCCTCGTCAACTATCTCGGACAGCCATGAGTAACCCGTATGCCACTCCCCTGCGGATCCGCGCCGTTGAGTGTCTATGGCAGGGCGTTTGGGGTTGGGAGTAAACTTCTCCATGCATCGTAGGTACGGTGACAGGCCATCATAACCCCACCGCTTGCACCCATGCACAGTTTCCCACTCGTCAAAGTCGGACTTAGAGCAATGGTGGTACATCATGGCGTTTAGAGAAGTAGAGCCTCCAATTATGCGCCCGCGAGGCCAATACAACGCCCGCGAGGCAAGCCCGGGTTGCTCAACAGTAAAGTAATCCCAGTCATGCTCGGTATGGAAGAGCTTTGAGAACATAATTGGCACCTTGGATTCTAGTACCTTCGTGTTGTCTCCGCCTGCTTCGAGCAAAAGCACGGATACATTTTTGTCTTCGGAGAGCTTGCTGGCGAGGACACAGCCCGCGGCGCCGGCGCCCACGATCACTTGGATACAAGTCAGCTAGCCCGCTTGAAATAAGAACAGGGTTCTGGACTGCGAAAGACGCACCATAGTCATATCCACGGAGGGCACGTTGGGCTGTAGAGAAGGTCGCTGGCGCGCCCGTTCGAAGTTGCGGGGTCGCGTAATGAAGCGGGTTATGCAATGGGTTTCTATTTCGTCGGGTCATCGTGGAGGATGGTGAACTGATGGGTAGTCAGTGATGTTTCTCCTTTGCTTCTTATATTTATACTGTGCGTGCCTTAACCCCCGCCTGCCGCTAACCCCCACCCGTACCCCAGTTTCTCCGCAAACCACATTCACAAGCGGACCGAGGCTTTCGAACCCTTGCCTACTCGCACTATTCGACGTGGAGAAAATAGAGTTACGACAGAGTTCAGCCATCGCTTATCCTTTTTGCGGCATCGCGGACCCGCCACGGGCATCCGCTCGGTTCGTTACGCACTGACATCCATACGCAACCACGAGATGGACGGTTTGCGGGCCAATTGGGTGTTACCTGGCCCTTGCCATACGGAAAGGTATATCCCGGTACATTTAAGAATTTGGAACTACGCGAACAGCCGCCATAGAATGCACGCCATTATCTTTGCTCTTATTTCACTATTGAAGGGGGAGACATCAAACGCTCTTGCCTTTACAGTTGTTGGCGCCGTCATGGCCAGAGTCATCCACAGTGCGCGACCTCAGCGAAATAGGATATTCAGTGACTCTGCTCCAAATCGGTGGCTGAAACTACATAGGCCAGGCATTCGGCGGCCAAATCGACCTGGGATGTGGGTATGTGGGAGAGTCGCGGCTTTATCAGTACGGCGGCACCGGTGCGGAACCGCCTACAGATTTGTGTGACTTACCGGCGTGACTCGGGTCCACTGCTGGCAACACGCTAAGCAGAATTCGATAATTTTAGGACAAAATGTATGTCGTCCGTTCAAGTTACGCATTGTCATGCGATGGTTGTCAAAGTTAGAACCGACGAGCCGTACTTAGGCACAGTATTTTGGGGCAGTCAATCGACATTTAAACAGCTAGCAACCTGGTATCAGCTAACTATTAGCAAAATTCATCCCTTCTTTTAACTCCTTTACAAGAATGTTGTGATAATCCGCAAAATCTAAACTGGAAGATGGACTGTGGACGACCTGATTTTATAGTGGAAGCATTTTGATTGCGTTGTGTAAAGGGAGGGGGCGAAAGGTTCTCAGTTGTCCGTATTATAGCTAGTCTATGCAAAGCAGGGCAGGCTGCAAAATATATTCACAAACATGGAAATTAAAAATTGATGGGTTGCATTCCAATCCCTGGGTGGAAATATTCCTAGAGGACTCAAGGGAGAAAGTTGTAGTCCACTTCAGGCTCTTGACCTCCGAGAATAAATGGGTTACATTCTGACAATGGCCTCTTTGTAATGACATTCTGAGTACACTCCACATTCTCATTATCATCGGCCGCGTCATTTGAAATGGGTACAATGTTTAGCATGGTACGCATAAACCTATCCTCATCCGCTGTAGTTCGAATACCATCGAGAAAATTGACATAACTACTGTCCGTAGATAGCGTGGAACCGGATGGCAGATTCGAGGCTTGGGTTGGCGATGGAGGCGTTTCACCGTCACGACTATATTGCGATGATGGAATGAAGTGGCGGCATGGCTCGCGATAGGACGAAGATAATGAAGGGTGATGAAATATGATCCGGGCAATCTGTTGTGGCCAGTCAGGCCGCCCACTTTCTGGAAGTTTGAATCGAATGTACGTTCCATTCACGAGAATAGATAGCTCTAGCGAAAATTTTGAGATATTGATCTTGGCTGATGACGAGCCGGGTAGAATATGGGGATTCGATAAGACTATGCTGTTTGCCGGGCTGCTCTCGGTGGTAATTCCCGCATTCTCGAGCCTTTTTGCCGGTGACGGGGACTGGGTCATCTCGTCAGTATATGTCAATACAAAACTTTCGCTGCTCTTTCGAGGAGGCTGCCAAGAATCGGAGGAAACAAATTCAACGTAAATGACTGAAAAATCAACAGAAAAAGGTGAATATACCTCGGTTGGTTAAAATATAACTTGGGCGAAAAAGTTTAGAAGCCCATACTTGCAGCTTTCTATCAATAAAATTTCCAGGCTGATGATCACAGCTCTTCCGCTCACAGATCCGCCATGCGAAATTACAGATTAGTTGCGGTTCCGGCTTGGAAACCGTCGTACGGCTGACGGGAGGCTTGGCTGCAAGTTTTCAAGGCGATCAGGGTTGATGTCAGTCAGGACAAGTGTAGCATCACCGCCCGTGGCGAAACGCTCGACGGCCACACGACAGGTTTCCCTAGCAGCGCCGATGAAACCCAATCACTTGGAGCATATTCCCTGGGCTCGACGTTTTTAGTGTGGCTTGCACCGATAATGAGAATTTAGGCTTGGTGTGAATGATGTAGGGGAGTATTTTTGCCGAGGAACTTTTTTACACTTACCTTGCTTTGTCTTTGGGTACCTTCGTAATTTCCAGTTAACTATAGACCGTAAATAATGAGGATGGCCAAATATCCTTCGGGACCCGGCCGTTGCTGCTTGCGTGGGACTTTGCCTTCTAAGTTGCTCTGACGCTTGTCGGTCCCGCCGCATCGCAGCTGCAGTCTGACAAACCTTATCCCATCATTGTCCACCAATCCAAGGTATCTATGGCTCCGCATGGCGACTCTCCACAGAATTGGACGCGAATTCACAGCCACGGCTGGTACGATAGCTGGTACGATGGGGCAATCGGAGGGTCAAGCCAGAAGCCGCAAGAAGGGAAAGGGGCATATTTTTGCAATTGAATATCACAATGAAAGCAACGATGAGTAAAATCCTGGACAGATAAAGCTCAACCAAACAGTAGTTTTTCTTGTTGTTTTATCCTCAACAAGTCTGATTATTCTCGTCGTGGCAACAACACAGGCTGAAGGGGACTATGATGTCAAGGGCGTAGGTCCCAGAATGATCTCCATGATTTACTGTGGCTTCTACTCAAATTCATCGTCATTGAAAAAGCAAGAAGTTGCCTTAGATCTATCGTTACATCCTTCTTGGGCACAGTGCTTTCGGTGACAAGATGCCATTCTATAATGTAGTAGCTCAGGCTGACAACCCCCGAAGTGATCATTTTTCACAACGACCGTTCTTCATCTCTAAGGAGAAGTAAAACAGTGTAATGCTAGTTTTTGTGTATATCGGACTTCGCAGTCCACTTGCGGAATGTCTTGCCGCGGAAGTAAAACAAGATCCCCGAAGCAGTCCACAGAGTAGCAAGACACATATTGAGCATGATGGGCTTGATGTAACCCGCGCTCTCCGTCCAAGGTGTAATGAATTTACTGAAGCCATAGCCCCAGAGATTCTTATTGACGGTAATTGCGACAAATACAGATCCTGCGACAGGTTTGTAGCTGTCTATCGCGTAGGTGCTAGCGATTGCAGGTAGTGCTGCAACCTGAATGCCTGCGCAGGTGTAGCCGACTATGACGATAGGCTAAAAACAGTCAACTCGTTGCTCTAGAATATCTGACATGTGGTTCTGGTATTACCTTCCAATCCCATTCCCGCTGGTATCCGAACGCAATGATAAAATTCCCCAGGATCGAAATAAGTGCGTAAGGGAGCATAGCGGGTAATCTCATCTCCGGCTCACGGATACCGCGGTTCCTACGGGTTGCGCGCATGGAGATCCAGTCTGAAAAGGGACCATTTGTGGCAAGGCCGATAAATGCGCCGGCTAGAGTGGCAAAGTTCGTGAAACCGACGGACTGACTGGACCAATTGTAGGGCGGTGCCGCGAAAACCTGGCTTTGCGTAAGGTTTGCAGTCAAGAAGCAGCTGGCAGACCAAGAGACTATGAACGCAGCAAACTCGACAATAGGGAATGCATGCAACTTCCATGGGATCCAGAAACTTTTCAGAAGAACTTTGAAAAAGTTCGGGTTGGATTGGTATATGTGAAACTGGCGTTTGGACGGTCTTCCCTGGTGCAGGAAAGGATCAACTGCAGCATTTTCCTGTTGCGGCTCAGAAACTTGGTCCGCTGCTTTCGAAGCGGAGTTTTCGCCCATATCTATACTCGTTTCTGCCTCATTACCATGTCTTTCGCCCGGGTGGACACGATGCCACTTGGTTTCCGGGAACAGGAAGATGCTTAGGACTATGAGGGCTGCGAAGAAAGCAACATTGAGCCACCAAAAGCTTCTCCAGCCGACCTTAAAAGCCATTGATCCGGCAATGATTGGTCCAGCCTATAGAATAGGATATTTAGATCTGAGCGCAATTGGAATCTTCAGAGGTACTCACCATCAGAGAGCCGAAATAGAAAGTGAAGAATAACGTATTATAAATACCGCGCTCGTGGAGGAAAAATACGTCTGTGATTACCTGTGGTTGGAGAGTCTGCATATGATATTAGACTCAGAGTTTTCGATTCTGGCATAACGAGATAATACTTCACACGGCCCTGCACCAAATCCATTGAGAATACAGGCACCCATGAAACTGCCGTAAGTCGTGGCCTTGGCGCGCCATATCATCGATGCTAAGCAGACCAGTGACGAGAACAGCAATACGGGCCGTCTACCTATCGTTTCGGAAAGGGGAACCCTAGAACCTCACATGTCAGCGTAATCTTTAAGTCTAGCGTAGAAGAAACATGCCAAAAAAAGTTACTAAACCCCAGGACCAAAATACACACGCCAGTGAATTGGACTACAGATGGGAGGTCGGTATTGAAGGCTTCCATCAAGTCCCCAAACATAGGCGCGAGGGCCAGAGGACCGATACCCATCCCAAAGTTTGCAATAGTCGCAATAGTGATCGTGATGAATTTCCATGTCCGACTCCAGTTCTACCACGGCCTGTGTCAATGCTCTTTTCACATGAGATGTAATATAGAGTGTATACCAGAGGATCGTTCGGGTCGTTTGACGGTTGAGGGACTAGTACTTTGTCCGACTTTGCAGAAGACTTGACAAAGTGGTGAGAGCCGATATCTGTCATAATCTCCGTTCCAGGATAGATACGTGTATCTAGCTCCTGCTCCAATCTGTTGTGAATGATGAGTCGCGAAAGCCGTATTATGAGTCAGGGATAGGAAGCGTACTGATGGAGAGCCTGTCCAATCCATGTTTAGCGCACTGGCAAATATACACCCGATCATACGGAGTAGGCTTCAAATACCGCTTCATCATAGTTCATCTCCATATTGACTTGCTCAACGGACGGGTGGTTGAACCTGAGAAAGGATTATGATGCTGAAACCGATCGCTAATAGAAAGCGGGGAAGCCTTCCTTAAATCCACAAGGTTTTTTAGGCTGATACCGATAGCCTCCTTTTCCCTTTTACCTTTGAGAGGCTTGCCGGGTTGACCACCAGTAGAATAATTCTGATGCCCAACTCGAGCATTCGGCTGAAATGACGACTTTGAGAAGGGCACAATAAGCCACGTAAAGTACGTTCCACGGAAGGCGACTGTCGCAAGAGGGCCAAAACTTTACAACCAATCGTTTTCCGGCAAAATTATCATCTCATTGTCTGAAAATGGTTAGTACACCTTCCAGCATAGTAACTTGTATTATGTACCCCCTATTCTACAAAGGTCGCCTGGCCACCCCCTTTACCACCAGTCCGATCGATAATAACATCCTGGTAAGCCTCAAAATCTTAATTCTCCGTAAGAGCGCTAGTATGCAAACCAAGGGCGTGATTGATGGATAGGACTAGTGATTCTGTATAGTATGCTAGCGATAAATCCGACCGTAAAAATCCTGTATAAAGGGCGTGATCGCGCGGTCAGGAGCTGCGATAGACCCCGGGATGCCCTACGCCTTGCCTCCGCGCTGGCGAGCCGGTAGGCGCTGAGCGGCCGACTTTGAATCACAAAGTGTGGGGTAATTCCCAGAGTGGAGGAAGGTTCTCCCCAAACCTGCGGTCTAGAATTAAGCGAAGGCACCATAATATTGAACAACGGTAGTTTATCACGGCAATTGCAGTCTAGATTTCAGCGTATGAGCAGTTTTCGGGAAAGCTTCTATCTGTGCCCTCGATTTGCCCACACTCTCTGGCAAATCGAGCGCAGGGAGACCCATTTACTATTAACGGCACCACTTAACTCCACCCCGCGATATGCCAAAAAAAAAAAAAAAAAAAAAAAAAAAAAAAGAAGTGAACCCAAACAAGCGTCCGGGTTGCAGGTGGGGATCTGCACTCGCCCGTCGTATGTATTGTTACGTTCATGCCACTATCCCAGATTGGACTAGGCTATACGGCCATTGTCTATGGGAAAGGCAAGATATCGGCTTTAGCTATTGAATAATTGCCGGTAGGGATGTTGAAAGTGTCGATCTTAATAAGCAACCATTGTCCTTCGATCTGAAATATAGTCTATTGTCCTCGCCCCTTTGAACTCTGGATCATCGCGAAAGGCTCCAAAGCAAAAGAAAGGAAGGATCAGCGGATATACAAGCCAGGACCTCCACAATGCGATTCCCTCATTATCTATCGTATTTTGCTCTGAGCAGCTTATTTGCAATCCCGGCTACCTGCAGACTATCATGCACCGAAGATTCAATATCTAAGTTTCTATCATCGTTCGGCCATGTGAACGCAAGAGTCCTGCGGACCTATCACATTGCCAAGGGAGATACCTTTCATGTTCCTGCAAGTGATATCGCCTACCCAGAGTCCCCTACGGAATTACCAGAACTCTGTGCCATTCAGATTAATGTTACCTCAAGTCCGGAGTCAGCGTACTCATTTGGGCTGTTCTTGCCAGTGCAGTGGAATGACAGATTTTTGTAAGTCTCCGGCCACATATGCCTGAATTGTGCCCTAATCCTTCTCTAAGAGCTGTCGGGAACGGCGGTTTTGCCGGAGGAATCAATTGGGTGGATATGGTTCGTTTAAACCCTATTTTGCAGCGGCTCTGCGGGATTTGGCTGATAAATTAGGGCGTTGGCGCACGATATGGATTCGCCTCTATGTCTACAGATACCGGCCATAATAGCAGCTCTTTCGACGGAAGCTGGGCCTCTGATGCACCCGAGAAGTTGATTGATTGGGGCTACCGCGCAATGCACGGCTCGGTTGTGCTCGCTAAAGAAGTGATTGAAGCATACTATGGCCAGAAGCTGAGATATAACTACTACAGCGGATGCTCAACCGGTGGTCGTCAAGGTCTGCGATCGGTAGAGCTATTTCCAGACGATTTCGACGGCGTTATTGCAGGCTCACCTGCCTGGTGGACTTCCCATTTGCAGACATGGACGGTCAAAGCCGGAACGTACAACGCGTTTCCGTCCAGCCAGATTCCCCAGAGTATGTTCACGCTCATAGGTGACGAAATAATCAAGCAGTGTGATCCCCAAGATGGGCTCCGTGATAATATTGTATCGGCACCTCAGCAATGCAATCTTAATCTTGAGACTTTGCTATGCGGAAAGGTATCTCAAACAGACTGTCTGAGTCCCGCACAGCTCGATACTCTACGCCTTATTTATTCCGACTATGTCGATGTGAATCAGACTTTCGTGTTTCCTCATCTTCTGCCAGGAAGTGAATCTCAGTGGGAGGTCTTGATTAACAACGGTACTGCCAATCCGCTTGGAACAAGTTATGTGCAAAATTTTCTCGGGTTGGGAAAGCAGTGGACACAAGAGCAGTTTGACTACAGTGTAGTCCAGCTTGCTGACCATCTCGATCCCGGAAATGCAACTGCGAACGATTTTGACATCTCACCTTTCCAGAAGAAAGGTGGCAAGTTGTTAATGTATCATGGCATGGCAGATGGATTGATTCCAACAGACAGCAGTCTGTATTATTATAATCAAGTTACCAATGCTCTGGTGCCGAAGGGTATTGAGTTGGACAGATTTTACCGATTTTTCTACGTTCCTGGGATGCAGTGAGTCACATCCTCGTTTCATTCTTAATCGCAGGAACACAAGTTGTGAAATATACAAACTAACCGAGATAAAAGACACTGCGGCGGCACACCACAAAATATGCATGCCCCATGGTACTTTGCTGGTCCTAATCAGGCTCCAGACTTATCGTCCAGCCTGCACAGCGTCCCTGGCTTTAGTGATCCAACCCATGATATTCTGTTGGCGTTGATGGACTGGGTTGAGAAAGGTACTGCACCTGAAAAGATGGTTGCCACAACCTGGAGGAACGACACGGCTCAAGACGTGGTGTATCGCCAACGGCCGCTGTGCTTTTATCCACAGAAGGCTGTGTATAAGGGTAGAGGGGATCCAAATGAGGCACAAAACTGGGATTGTCAGGCCTGGTATTAATATCAACGCTGTTGGTGTAACAGATATACTCATCCGTGCACCTCTGAGGCAGACTCTGATTTCCATGGACTTCTATGGGAAGTCATAACTAAGAACTTCCAGGTATCTGGTTTGCCCTTAGGGGATGGACTATCAATTGGGTAAACGGGGTGATGGGACAAGTTCCTCCAAATAATGAGTGTGACGAGAATTGAGAACAACTTCAAGACGAGCTCTGATTATGACAACTTCATTATAGGTTCAGAAAGAAGTTTTATAAGGGTTGCTTTGACATATCCTCTATTATATAAATGCTGTTCTGGTGATTTGCAAAGCAGGCTTTCTTTGTTTTCTTTGTTTTCTGGGGATAATTCCTTGGTCAAGAGTTGAGAACTTTGATTGTGTCGTGGAACAGGGCAAGATATAGCTAGCTCTAGCATGAAGCTGCCGGCATTGATTGGCCAATTCAATGGACTTGCGCAGAAATGCTCTCCGGCATCCGGAGTATAAAATTATTGGCCGGGTTGATGGAGACGGGCCAAACCGCCGTTAAATGCAAATTCTCATGGAATATTATTACTGTATCAAAAGAGATCCGGGGTCCACGGTTCTCTGTTTCATTCGGTTCACATTATTGAAACGCTTCTACAATGGCTGCAGATTCTAGAGTCCCAGTTGCCCTCATCGGGGGTGGTACGATTGCGCCCCTCCATGCGAAATATCTCATGCTTTCACCAAACTGCCGTCTCGTTGCTCTCATTGATCCTTTTGAGCCGGGAAAGATACTGGCTTCGAGCCTGAGTGTACCTCATTTCGAATCTGTTGCCGCACTGCTCGCTTCGCCCGTCGACAATCCGGATGGATACATTATCTGTGTTCCCTCCAGCCTGCATGTGAAAGTTGCCACAGAAGTTATCATCTCTGCTTCCCCCAAAGCCATTCTCATTGAAAAGCCAATCGCAACGGAATCGCAACCAGCAATGGAACTGCTCGAACTCGCGCGCGAAAAGTCGTGCCAGATTCTCGTGGGTCACCACCGTCGATCCCACCCGTCTATTGTCGCGTCTAGAAAGGCAATTGAGGGTGGCAAGATTGGAAAAATAATCTGCGTGTCATGTCTCTGGGTCACCAAAAAGGACTCCGGTTATTTCGACTTGGCAGCTTGGCGCTCCTCTCGTTCAGCCGGGGGCGGGCCCGTCTGGACCAACCTGATACATGACATTGATATGGTGCACTACCTGACCGGCTCGCGCATTACACAAGTCTGGTCCATCCCGTCAACCCGTCTCAGAGAACACCTGGAAACTCGCTCCTCGGATCTTGTTGAAGAGGGAGCAGCAGTCATGGCCCAGTTTGAGGATGGGGTGGTCGGTACTTTTCTTCTGAGTGATAATAGTGTCAGTCCATTCAATTGGGAATCTGCGGCCGGAGACAACCCATCGTACCCAAAGGCAAGTCGTCCGGTTGACTGCTATCGTGTTTTTGGGTCTAAAGGTACCTTGAGTGGCCCTGATGGGACTGTCTGGTCGTACAGCCCAGGGCAAGCTGAACAGTTGGGCTTGGAGGAGGGATGGAACATCCCAATCTCGTGTGAACTGGTAGAGGCTCGTGAGGGAATCCCATTTCAGAATCAGACGGAGCATTTTTCAAAGGTAATCCAGGGATTGGAAGAACCAATTTGTTCTGGGAAAGATGGAGTTGCAGCGGTGAAGGTGTGTGAGGCTGTTATTCAAGCTTTGGATCGGAATGATGGGATGCCTGTTGCTATCTAGCAGATCCTGAAGGTATCAGAAAGTAAAGCGATATTGATAATATTAGACCGGAAAAGGCATATCTCATACTTTGAATTTGCTCTATCGTATCATATTTTGCTTTTGATGGCAGAGCATTAGGTAGTACCCATGGACTATGCAATACCGTCGCTTGAGGTGGCCAAGGTTCGGTAGGAAGGTTCGGTAGGTCGGTTCTTCGGAGAGGTAAACCGGGTTGACCTTTCAGAACGTATACCGGAGATCACTATTCTTAATTTCCATCTCCACAGGACCGGCTTTCTACAACCTCATATTTGATCTAGCTTGAGCTCTGGGAAGCGGGAACCAACCGGACTGTCATGGATCAGATTAATTAAATGCCCAAGCAAATAAAAGACAGAGCCAACCCCCGGTAAAAGACCTGGTTTCAAACTTGCTTGCTTTCGGAGAAGTGCGTAGTACCCGTTCTCTTCACTCACAAAAGATGTTCTCCTAAGTTAATGGGGTTTCGGTACTTCCGCTAGTCAAATTACGCTGCCGTTTCCCGGGAACGCTGTACAAAATCATGTATACCAAACGGCGTTCTGCGAATATTCAGCCTCCTATGATGAAGATAACATCCGGGAGTGGCGTAAAAACCCCGCCTTGATACGTGGAGCTCCACAAAGGCAAGCAAGAAGAATGAAATCTGACGCAAATTAGTTTTCTCATTTCTTCGCAACGTTTCTCTCGGCACGTAACTGACCATCTCGGTACATAGAGATGGCTGCTGGTAGTGCTGGTTTAATTTGTCTTCGCGAGCATATGGAAAACCTTACAACTACTCTGATAGAATTCTATGGTCCTAATCCTGCGTGGTGCTTGGCACAACTTGTCAAGGATCGGCGTTGTCGGAGAAATCTTGTCGATGAAGGCTGCCAAGAAGGAGTACGTACGTTGCGTACGTAGAACCCCAGACGGTCAGAGATGGGGCGGGCAACTTCCCAGGGAATGTTTTTGGCGCTAAATTAGTGGCTATGAAGAGTATGCGCGTCTTGATTATCCTTGGCATTGGTCGGTGGCCTTCCATGACGAGAGTAGAATGGATTATGGCGCCCAAAACAATGCCTCCTTCCAGCTCATACCCGGGACAGCTTCCTATATTAATGATGACCCAGCCAGGGCCATTGCACGATTCAGAGCTGAGGCTTCCGTTCCTGACAGTCGAAATAGTGAGGAACGAGTTATGAAACGTGAAAGGTCCAGCGTTACCGAACGACGCCTCGTCATCAGCCGCAGATCCTTCCGATCTTTCTCCACTTCCCGGCGTGCTATTTTCTATACATGGATCATATGGCTCCTATTCTCGATTCTCCACATGGACTAATACCAGAGTACGAGTCATTGCCGTGATTCTGCAGCATGGACGCGTCTCGATCCTCTCTGGACTCGTAATCTGCCCTCCCAGGCCTCATGGGCTAAACGGCAGATATGCCCTGAGTCAAGTACCGAAGCCAATGAGCAATCCCATTACGAACTAAATTAAGCCCAATAATCACTGTCTAGATCTTGCAAGGAGGTAAAAAGGCTCCACTGCGGGTCCTGTAGTCCTCGCGAGGGCTTGGTTATGTTCGACGCTGAGGAATGGCGAGTTTCTGATTTGGGGACCTACATAGGAGTGTATCCATCTGTTTCATCGACGGTGTTGACTGTTGGATGCAGGCACACGATTCAACTCGCTGCGCTTTTACCTGCTATGATTGGATGACGAGTATGGCGGCTGTTATATAAAAGCCGTGTTGGCCCGCCCATCAAAATATCATTTTGAAGACCATTCTCGAGTCAAAAGCTCTTCTTTATGATCTATTTTGTTCGTTTGCGCCTTTCCATATCCCTGTGACCAATTCGTATATATAATCACTATGGTTCATATCACGTCTACCCTGACTGTCAGCCTTCTCGGCTTGACCGGCGTCGTTTCTGCGCACCCCGGCCACGATCACAAGTCCGAGGCGACTGAGCGCCGTTCATTCATGCAGAATGCGCCTCTTCATGCACGAAGCCTTGCGCAGTGTGCCTCCCAAATGAAGGCCCGCGGTATCGAGAGCAAGAGCATTCTTCGTCGCCAGCAGACTGTCAAGCACTTGCGCCAGCGCCGCGGTCTGAAGCCCGGTATGTTTTGTATAAAATTTCCTTTTTCGCCACAATACCTGCGCCTAGCAATAATGTGGAGCTAATTAATTTATGCAGATACCGGGTTCCTCAAGGCTCGCGATCTCGACACCCTCCTGAACACTTCCCACCACTCCAATTTGACGAACATCGACCAGACGACTAACCCCGAGATTCTGTTCAAATCTGAGGGCACCTGCATTCTGGCTCCCGATGTTACCCAGGGTCCTTACTGTTAGTCACCGTTCCTGACCAATTGTGCTTTACGATATAATAATAAATCCCAGACGTCAGCGGTGAGCTGATTCGCGAGAATATTGTCGAGAGCCAGAAGGGTGTTCCCTTGTACATGGACGTTCAGTTGATTGACACCAACACATGTCAACCACTGCCCAATATCTACACCGATTTTTGGCACTGCAACGCCACTGTGAGTGAACCACCATCGTTCAGACCCGAAAAGTAACACCTTGCTAACTTTGTCACAGGGTGTCTACTCCGGCGTTGAGGCTAGCGGCAACGGTGATTCCTCCGATGCCACAAACCTGGATGCTACTTTCCTCCGCGGTATCCAATCTAGCGACAAAGATGGTGTCGTCCAGATCGAATCCATCTTCCCTGGCCACTATACCGGCCGGGCTACTCACATTCACGGTATGAACTGATTCCAAATCTCATGGAAAGAGAAAAGCCTTTCTTGTTCTTTTCGTCAAAAGTCCCATTCGATTCGCTAAGAGATTTTCCACCAACAGTCCTTACCCACCCCGCCAACGGGACCACTGTCCTTGCTAATGACACAATCTCGGGCCTGTACAGCTCCCACACCTCGCACGTGGGCCAGCTCTTCTTCGACCAGGACCTAATCACCAAAGTCGAAGCCACCTCTCCCTACTCTACCAATACTCAGGATCTTACCACAAACGCCGACGACAGCATCCTCTCTGAGGAAGCCGACACCATTGACCCCTTTATGGAGTACGTTCTGCTAGGCAACAGCGTCAGTGACGGTATATTCGCCTGGATCACTGTCGGTGTTGACGCCACTGAGGACAGCGATGTCACACCCGCCGCTTACTACACTGAGCAGGGTGGTGTTGAAAATGACAGCGCTTCTTCCGGTATGGAGGGTGGTCCACTCCCTGGCTCTTCACCTTCTGCTAGTGCTGGTGCCAGTCGCAGCACTTCTGCTTAGAGTACTTTGGGGTGTCCTTGCCCATCTTCTTTGGGATTAGGTGCTGTGCTAAATAGCTTTTATTTCTCCTTCGTTTACCATTGGATCGGCTTCTTTCGGTTCTTTACTTTATTTGGTATTGATCTGCCAGACTTTGGGATACATTGAATACTTATGTCACTACTTCCCTACGCCTAAGAATAGGTTTACTTAGAAAGTATAACTACATTCTTTAACTTGGATAACGGCAAAGAGCCTAAAACTGACGTCTTTCAATAACAGGCTAAGCAAATATGTGCAGAAGAATTCCACGCTCAACTCCTAATCCAACATATCTAATATAAACAATGTATGCATCTAGTAGCGTAAAACCGGAACATATGCATTTTCAGAGCAAAATCACGCGCCTATGTTGTTGGCGCAGGAGAAGCTGTTGCTAGACGCGTCATCGTGGATCGCTTTGCCGGAAACGTAGAGACCCAGGCCGCACTGTAGTAGTTGTATCAGCAGCTGTTATCTAGAACATGGGGGTTTGAAAAAAGCTTACCATAGTGGCACCAATGCAGACGATGGTCATATTGAGAATGGTGAGACAAATCTTCCGGGGAGAAGAAAACCACCGACCCCAGTTGATGTGCAGCCAATAAACGCCACCAAGACCGTCTAAAGCATTCGTTAGTTTGATTATCAGAGATCATAAAGAGTGTCGCAAACGTACAGCTAAACCAACTCGCGAAGAGAGAGCTCTATAAAATAGAAGGCCTATGTCAGCTAAAAATTCCGTCAAGAGCGATTTACAAGGAAAACTCACAATCAGACTGAGGAGATCGCTGAAGACGGGAATGGCATCGGCAATGATCCAGGCGATAACCCAGCAGGACACACCGATAGCAATCCAAGAGCCAATAGCAACAAGGTCACGCTTGTGCATGCGGTCAGTGCCACGGAAGATCCGGACATAGATGTACTTGAGACCGATGTGGCCGTTGACAACACCAGCTCCAACAATCTGCAACATGTTAGTTGCTTCGGACCTGTGAAACACAGAATTACATCACGTACCGTGGGAATGGCAATTCCATAGGCCACCTTGGCGAGGAGTGGACCGGCGGATCCCAAAGCAGGAGAGTCCACAGCCTGGCCAGCGTAGTAGTAAATCACCACAGCGGCAACTGTATAGAACACAATTTCAAAGATCTGCAACATTGCCAATGCCTTAGGGAAGTCTCTCGGCTCTCTCATCTCCGCTAGAAGACCGAAGAAGGCCACATGGGCGCAGTATGCAAAGACAATATTGGTAACTGCACTAAAAGCCTTGAACAAACTAGTATCGATGGTGGCTTGAAGAGTGGTGTATCCGTGATCCTGGACACCAACGCCAACCATGGTAATAATGACAGCAGTCAAGATACTGACGAAGGCTAGAAAATTGTAATCAGCAAATGATTGAGGCATTTTAAATCGTTGTCAACGTACAGGTGCAAGAGATGTATGTCATGTTCTTCATAGTCCGAGGGAGAGAGCAGACCAGGCAGATGACAAATCCAACCGTGGTAAAGACCATCGTGCAGGTGCCATGCTCGGTGATAGTGTTCATCATGACACTGAAGGTGAGAATGTGGCTTGCCATGATGAAAATCGAGAACAAAATCTGGCCGAAACCGAAGAGTTCGCGTCCAAAGGGGCCCATCAGAATTTCACCAGCATCTGCCAGGTTCTGAATGTGAGGATAAGCATGATGAAACTGGCCAATAACGTAACCGGTATACGTGGCGAGGATACCCAGCCCAATAATGAGAATAATGGCCCTAAAGAATATCAGTTTACATGTATCTCAGGGATGACTGTGGCAACAAAACTCACGGGACGAGACCCAGCTCCGCCAGAGTAGCAGGCAACGACAAGACACCCAGTGACACAGATTCAGCAATCATGACTAAATTGGTCAGTTACAAAAATATCCACGCGGAAGTTAATCTTGACATACACATTCCAGTTTGCCTAGAAAGAAACTGTCAGCTTCCTGCACGCGGCGAAGATGAATTCTGAAAACATACCACCACTCCATAGTCTTGTACTTGACCTCCGCATTCTCCTCATTGCCGAACGCGTCAACATATTGGGGAGTGAAGTCCGGCTTCTCCTCAAGAGACTTCTCTTTGTAGTCGGAACCGGAGTCGACCGGATCGGCCTGCGGCGTAACTCCCTCAAGGATCATTTTGAATGGAATGCTGGCTTAGAAGGTGAAGAAGGGTGACAGGTCCGGGGAGCAGGAAGAACGAAGGAGAAGAGAAGAAGGGAAGGCAAAGGCAATCGTATGTGTGAAGAAAATTCCAATGTGGAGCTCAACGCGGCATTACTCAACCGAAACGCCCCCCGCGACCAGTGCTCTTTTGGGGAAGGCTTGGGGAAGAATTCTGGGGCCCGGAACTTCTGGAAGCCCCCGGGTGGTCGGCTTATCGGTGGCAAGTCAATTTCTATTGCATATTTCTATTATGGAGTCCGAAACGTCGTGCATTGGTTTTGTCGCGATATACAGAACCAAAGCGCAAGATCTGCAAAATTAGAGTGTGTATAGTGGATCATTCCCTGCGCTAGCTCCACTCTATTTAGCCATTCGCCAATAATGGTCTCGGCTCTTAGCTAACAGAAATCCCGATTGCCGTGGCGGTCCGACGGTAGCCGTTTCGATTGGTCTCCGAGAGGGCTCAACAACTCTCTAATCTCGGGTGCCAAGGGTAAGCCCGTTTATTGTGTGCTAAATTTTCGCCCGTTGAAGGGTTTCGGCTCAGAAATAAGTATATAAGGGCTTAGGGCATTCGGGACAAGATGTGAGAGGCAAGTCGGGTGGCCATCAAACTCCTGAGCCCTGGAATCAAAACCACGGAAAACTTCGGCGTGAGATTATGTAAAACTCCCGGGTTTGCCACCAATGCGAAAATTTTAGTCAACGTTCGGAGTTTCCACTGGGTATGCGGCACCGTGCCTGGCATGATCATAGTCCCCAGATGTCAGGCACCACAGGGTCTGCACGATATGATGTATGGCCCCAGGAGATCGTCTATGAAGTCATCAAACACTTCTTAAACCTACTTCCACTTATTATTTACGTTTTTCATATGAAAGTTATGTATCGGACTTTTGTAATTTCTCTCGCTGAAGAGAACTGCCAATTGTAAAGGAAATTTTTTTTCAAAACATTCAAATATGTGTCTACAGCAATGCTGAACGCAGCAGCACCTCCATCTCCCGAAGAGATTCGGGTTTTGATGTGACACTCGACATCAAATAAAGGACATTTCCCAATACCCGGGAATGAACGTTGAACTGGTCGCCTCCGATGGAGAGTTTCTGCTGAAGGCCCTTGGAAGCCGTGGAAGTGTATCCTATATCGTGATCATTAGCAATTGTAGAGGATTAGGTGCAACAGGGAATGAAAACGAACCACCGCCATGTACATCACGTAGTGCGATTACAAGAACAGTCCCAAGGGCGAACACGCTCTCTACTGTTCCCGCACAAGAAAGATCCTTGAGCAGGCCCTGGGACCAAACGCTCCACACATTTGGAACTGCACCAGTCTCTTGGGGCTGTACTTGAGCGCCCCAATCGGCTCGGTATCCATCCCAAGAGCCATCAGTGTCCAGCTGAGCCATGGCCCGCAGAGATTCAACAGCAACAGAACAGCCGACGGCGTGTGCAGTGTAGCTGTGGCCATGAAGAAGGGCATCGCTCTTCTCCGGACTGGAGAACGCTTCAAAAATTTCCTGGATAGCAACTGTTGTGCAGAGCGGGATGAGCCCGCCCGTGAGAAGCTTCGCGTTCACTGCTACGTCTGCGTGCACACCCAGGAAAGATGCAGATGACCGGCGTCCGAGGCGATACAGGCCAGTGAAGACCTCATCGAAAATGACAGGGAGGCCGGACCAAGATGGAGACTGTTTGGGGGAGACACTCTTAGATGTGAAGAGCTCAGGATTGTCACGGACAACATCTGTCAGACATCGCTGGAACAAAGGATCGCTATGGCAGTTATGGGTCAGTATCAGTGTGGAAAGTAGAGTTGACCAAGTCCGGCACGTACCAGAAAAGCATTCCACCTGCTCCTAGAAGAACTGGCTCAAGTATCAAAGCACCAAACTTCATTCCTTGGCGCTTGACCAGATCCTCGATGGTACGGTAGATATAATCTCTATAGCGTCGTCCAGAGTCGGAATTGATACGCTGATCCAGATCGAAGACCGCACCCAGAGAACCAAATTCGACATCTGAGCCAAGTTCCTTTTGGAGACTAGTTGGAACCTCAACCTTCCATTTACCCTGAACCATTTTCACTAGGGGGAAGTCAAACCAGTGGCCCCGGCCGCGGTACCACTCGACCTTTTGGTTGAATGTCGACGGCTCCGAGCAATCCATCACACCAATGGTATCACCGTGATAGCTGCCCTTAAGGCCCAGAATACTGATTTGCTCTTGACTGGCATCCCAGCCATACCGCTCGCACGCCGCGCGCAGACCCATTTTCACCGCGACCTCCATTCCTGTGCTTCCGTTGTCCGTGTAGAAGACCTTGGTGAAGCGAGGATTGTCAATTGTCTTCAGCAGGTTATCCGCAAGTGAGAGGGCCGGCTCGTGCACAGCCCCTGCAAACATGACATGTCCGTATCTCCCGGCTGCGTATGCCGCGGACAAAGACAGCTCGGGATTACCGTGGCCTAGACCTTGGGTCCACCACGACGCTGATCCATCAAATGTTGGTCGCAGCTCGCTCTCGCTTGCTATGGTGCGATCTGCGCGGAATGTTTGGAAGTAATCATCGTGTGCAGAATCAATGACGGTGATATCCTTGGCGACCATACCCTGATGTTGAGTGAAAGGGTACCAGATTAGATCCCGGGCTCGGTCGGCCATCTCCTCAAGACGTTGGACACGATCGGTGTTCCTCCTAGACATATCTTCGAGCAGTCGTAAAATATCCGACTCTTGTGAGACCCGCCGGTAGTAAGCTGCCATAGCCTCTTCATCTCTCTTTTGCGAGTCGACATCCTGGGGGAACGGTCGGGCGGGAGGTGCAGGCAAAGAAACCAGCGGAATGCTTTTATTGTTGAAAAAATCGCGAAGGTACTCGTGATTCTTATAGTAATCATCGCGGAATAATAGAACCGATTGGACGTCATAGCCACGGAGTAGAAGAGACTCGTAGGCGGAGATAGAACAGGAGATGCCACCTAAGCGCGCATCGGCAACGAGGACAATTGGCAGCCTGAGAGGTCGATACAAGTCGGCTTGCGAGTTGCCATTGGGACCGGGGGAATGCACTCCGCCAGCCGTTTCGACCAGAGCAAAGTCGATATCCGACTGAGCCCAGCCTGCCAGGGTCTTGTGAATAGATGCGAGCAAGTCGTCATCTCGTGGAATCTGAGAGAAAAACGTCAGGTTGTTTTCACATCGATAGTCCGCAATGACTCACGGTCTTTTGTCGAGCCGCAATGTGTGGGCTGACTGGCTCGTCGAATTGGTACAAACACTTGGTCAGAGTCCCAGCTCCAAAGCGCTTCATGTGCCTGCAATCGATGTTAGCGACCATTTTATGTCTGCATTGTTCGTGACCTACTGATCATCCGCGTCATCCAATGGCCCTGTGGACACCGGCTTCAGGAACGCGGCCTGCTGTTTTTGTCGCTGCACAGCATTGCACAACACGGTGGAAATAATCGTCTTGCCCACGTCAGTGTTGGCGCCATAGACTTGGTGGGCGCGCAAGGAACGCCAGAGTGCTGCCCCGACTGGTGCCATGATGTTCTCCGGGGTGTTGTTGGTGTTGAAGGCTGCAGACAGGTACTCCGGACTCCGCGACCGCTTTGGGTTTACCGACGGGAACTTTGATCGACGTGAACGAATCACCTTGTTTTCGCGACTCCACAACTCTCGACTTTCACCGAGGTTGAGGAAGGAATCGTTGAGCGCCCCAACAATGGTCATGCGACAGGGCTCGCCCGGGAAAGCACTTGTTTGATTAACGGTAACCGACTATTTCGCGGATCGTGTCGGGCCTAATTGAAATTAAAGTGCGGGAGGATCGCCGGTCCGGGCACACCTGCCAAAAACCACAATCGTCAGTCAAGCTGCGCTGGGGCAATGGATCCTCGATCATCTGCGAGCCGCAGGACGTCGCTAGTGGACACCTTGACGGGTGCGCTGGCACGACGGGAAGCCAAATCTGCACGTCGCAGGCTCACCGTGCTTCCCCGATCGGCAGCGGATTTCTCCTCGAACGACTTTCTCTCCCTTTCAACATCAACAGCATATCGCGAGCGCTTTCTAGCTCACTTAAACAACACTCCGGCATCTTTCCCTTTTGCTAGCGGAGGCTCTCGCTTGTTAGACGGCAACTCGGCCTGTGCAGAGGAGCTCGAGAAGTTCGTGGCCGTATTTCACAAAGCTCCTACTGCACTGTTATTCAATTCCGGCTATGACGCCAACGTTGGTGTGCTCTCCAGCATTCCACAACCTGGCGACTTGATTTTGTACGATGAGCTCATCCACGCCAGCGTTCACGAAGGCATGCGACTGTCACGAGCGGGACGTCGAATGCCGTTTGCACACAGCTCGCCAACCAGCCTGAGAGATACTCTTCAATCCCAGATCATGGCAGACAAGCAGATCCGTGAGGGTACTCGCAACGTCTTCATAGTCATTGAATCCATCTACAGCATGGATGGGGATGTAGCTCCGATCAAGGAGTTTATCACCGCAGTCGATGAACTTTTGCCCAACGAAAACGGATATTTCATAGTCGACGAAGCACATGCGACCGGTGTCTTTGGGCCACGCGGAGCGGGTGTCGTACAAGAGCTCGGTGTCCAGGATCGGATGTTCATCCGAGTGCACACATTTGGCAAAGCTCTTGCAAGCCATGGAGGTATGATTTTCGCTCGTTTGAGTTCGATCCACGACGTCCTAACTAAGTATCTCCTTGCAGCCATGGTCCTCTGTGGACCGGAAACCAGAGATTATCTGGTCAATTACGCGCGAAGCCTGATATACACCACCGCTTTGGGGTTTCCTTTTCTGGCATCCATCCGTGCCGCTTATGAGCTTCTGTCCGAAGGCGAAACTAGCCAGGTAGGTTTGCCGCTTGCTTTCACGGAGTCGTAATGATACCTCTTCGGCTGGCTACTGACATGGTTCAGCTACAATCCCGTCTTCGAGATCTGATCCGTCACCTTCATCAACGTTTGAACGACCTACGCCTTGGAAAATCGATCTTCTTTGAGGTTGATCATTTTCCAACATCCCCCATATTCTCTCTTCGAACTTCGGCACCGCGCGAACTGGCGGGCTTCTGTCAAGAGAAGGGTTTTATTGTCCGCGCGATAATGCCACCGACAATACCTGTGGGAAAAGAACGGGTTCGTGTTTGTTTGCATTCTGGGAATACTAAAGAGCAAGTCGATGGTTTGGTGCAAACAGTTCAGGCATGGTTGGACCGGAGCTCAACAGAATTGAAAGCTAAACTATGATAAACCGCTGGAATAACAACTGTTGCGCCCAAAAATTCAAGTATTGTACGCCATTTGGGATAATCTAGACTGGATGGCTGGCATATTAATGCCTAATGTATGAGGCAACTAGGCAACTAACGCTCGGCATCTCGTATTTACCCCTCCTCCTGGGTTAGCTGCTCTCACAGTCCTTGACAACTTCTCCACATGACCAAATCTTTCCTATGTGAAGATGAACCTTCTTGATCTCCCCGAAGAAATACTTTTTATGATCGCTGAGGAATTAGAAGAGAAAGAAATTCTGCAACTCGTATGCACGAGCCAGTATCTACATGGTCTGCTTCTTTCGGAAAGCCTCTACAAACGAAACATTAAAGCCGGCGCATCGGCGCTATTATGGTGCGCAGAAAAAGGCGTGGAGTCAACTGCTCGGCAACTATTATCATTGAATGCGAATATCAACGTTCGGAGCAGCTTCTATGAGCAGACACCTTTAACCCTCGCCGTTCAAAAACGCCATTACTCCATAGTTGAGCTACTCCTGGACCATAAAGCCGACGTAAACTTATCTGAAACATCCAATGCTACCGCCTTGCATTCTGCGGCAGAGAATGGCGATGAAAAGATGGTGCACATCCTTCTCCGACATGGGGCCGATATCAATTCGACAAATCACTTTGCCGAGACACCTCTTTGTCTGGCCGCATATGAAGGCCACTGTGGAGTAATCAACATTCTTCTTGATCATGGTGCGATTATGGGGTTTCCTAATCTTGACATGGACCACTTGGCCTATGAATGTTGGTTTCCCCCACTTCATGCAGCAGTTGAGGAATTTGAGGAAGGCAATAAGAGCACGGCTGCACTGGAGCTACTTATAAGCCGTGGTGCTGAAGTGGATATGTTGGATGGGAACGGAGAAACTGCGTTACATTGGGCTGCATCGTTCGGTGCCAATGCTATGGTTCAGGCTCTCCTTGATCATGGAGCCGATATTAACCGTCCCAATATCGATGGTAAGACAGCATTGCATATCGCATCAGAGCAAACAGAACAAGTAGATACGATCCGAATCCTTCTGGATCGAGGTGCTGACTGGAGACTCACAACCATGACTGGCTTGACCCCTCTCCAAGTTGCTAAGGAGTCTGGCCACGAGGATAACGTGGGGTTATTTGAGAGGCACATTGCTTCCTTTGATTCTCTCTTGGCGGAGGAGTTGGAAACAAATAATGTATCATGATACCCTAAATCTGGCGTGTGATCGTGTGATGACTATCGCTCTTGTTAAACAGTGAGCGCTTTGTACCACCTCTCTTTCTCCCTCGGGACATGAAGGACCCTCGAATTCTGTATACAATTTCCGTGTTAGGAACTGCCTAAAATGTAGACCGTACGATGTCACATAATGGAAGTGCAATCACGAAGGAAATCAATCTCTGATTGAATAAATCTAGGGGTATCCCACAATTTAAGGGCGAAATAACTAATAATAAACTAATACAAAATAGCAAATAGGTGGTATAACCCCCATTCTTGGCATCATTCTTAACAGGAAGTACCATCTGGGTGCGAGGGGCGTTTACCCTGCATTCAAGCCCTTCACCTCCTTAACCTTGAGGGAAAGTTGGCCGGGGCGAGTACTATGTATGTACACTCTTATTGAATCGGAGAAAGGGGCAGAGGGGAGGGGGGAAAAGGAGTCCGGCTAAACGAACCAGCCGGCTGGCTATTCGCACAATACGAAAATGGTGTGCAATAATACTAATTACTTTAATTTTAGTATACCTCTCTGATCTCCGAGTACATTGCTCCTCAATGCAATTATTGTCTTCCTAGTTCATCCTAATTAATTAAGCACATGCTGGTGTAATCGCAGCCCTCCCTTACCTTCGCATCCTCGATTTCCAGCTTATTTAATGGATGGGGGAGTAGGGTGATGAGAATATAAGCAAGGGGTTTGTTTAGTATGCTAGTACATCGTGCCTATAGAAAGGTCTCGGAAAATAAAGACCGGCGACTCCGATGGGATAACCTGCCGTTTTTGGTTCCTCTCCGCTCGCACGTTCAGTCTCCATTTTCACTCCGCTCAATTAGAGTACAAAGCTGCTCTAAGAATTGAATGGCTTTACTGATGCTAAGACTCGGGGGTTTCCGCTATAGTTACGCGTAACAATCTTAGAATCACTATGGTCAATTGTTACGCGACTCGCAAATGAACATTCCAGAAATGGGATCACGAACCTTGACACATACGGTAACTACAAATATAACGTAATAGTTCGCAGATGTTAATGTGGAGTCCGTCCTTGTCACGCCTGGTAAGACCAGATCCAAAAAAACGCGTGGGAATATTGGGAATGTGGCTTGTATACTAGACCGATCTCAGATTAGGTGCAGTCTATCAATTCCACATACGAGATCTAGTATTTGAATTGCACGATAGCTTCGTATATCCCGAGGGCCTATGGGCCTCTCCAGGGGCTGGTAATTCGTTACATATTAGGCCTGCAGGAGCGTATAAAAGGACTGCAGTTCCCGCGAAAGTACAGGCCGAATCATCCTCTCTTTCTACTCTACCAATTCCAACCCAAATTACCATCATGAAGTTTGCCGCTGCCATCCTTCCGCTCATTACTGTGGCCTCTGCCACGTCGTGCATTCATGGCACCTCGCTCATGCCTCGCGCCGCTGATGGCACTGTCGAGGTCAATTCCTTCAACTACACCAATACCGGTGGCCCTCTGACCTGGTATGGCCTGGACTCCGAGAACAGTGCTTGTTCCAAGGGTTCCCGCCAGTCGCCCATTGACATTGTCACCGAGTCCTCCGGTTACGTCAAGTCGGGTTCTGTCAAGTTCAGTGTCCCCAACGCGGACAATGTCAAGTTCGAAAACTTGGGCTCCGGCCTTGAGGTTGTCCTGACCAATGGCACCCTGATCACTCCGCACGACTCATACAAGCTGGCTCAATTTCACTTCCACACCCCTAGCGAGCACAGAGTGAACGAGGAACACTTCCCCATGGAGGCTCACTTTGTGTTCGAGAACACGGCCGGTGATGTTGCCGTTGTCGGCTTCCTCTTCGAGCTCTCTCAGTTCGGTTACTCGTTCCCTCTGTTCGACTCTGTCTTCGCTCACATCGATGATATTGCCGCTCCTGGCACCTATACCCACACCGACAAGCTGAGCTTCGCCGGTCTGATGAACCACTTCGACGCCCACGGTGTCTACTACTACTCTGGCTCCCTCACCACTCCTCCCTGCACTGAGGGTGTTGCCTGGTACATCTCCACTGAGCCGCTTCCTCTCAACGTCCAGAGCTACAACGCTGTCAAGAAGGTGCTCAAGTTCAACGCTCGCTATACCCAGAACGCCCTTGGCCAGCCTAACCTGCTTGAGCTTGCTGCTCACTCTCTGAACAACTAAATACTGTTCTAGGAGTCGATGCACACTACGATGTTGTCGTCTGGGTTTCTTCTATGTACTAGAGAGGCTTCTGGCCGCCCATCTTTCTTTCTCAACTGTATATAATTCCCAATAGAAATTAATATATACAAATAGATCCGATTAACTGGTCGGATGCAGCAATTTTTCAGAACAGAGGCTATGCTTTGCGTACTACAACTCAGTGGGCACGACAAGAGCAGAAAAATCGCGCAAGAATCCCGGCGTATTTTTGTGTAATAATGCAGCGATTCTGCAGAAGAATCCCAGAGTTAAAATCTCGATGTACCGGCACACGTCTTTGCTTGGGCTGAAGTGGAGCCAAATGACAGTGGGACTCGGAAGAAGACGAGTGCTAGCACGGCTCTAGTACACTAGTTCAAGATCGGTCCGAGCTGAGGTCACGATCTGCCTCGGAAGGAAAAAAAATTTTCAGATCTGGTCCCTGACGGTGTCGCCTGCCATTTAACATGCAGTGATGTAGATTGACGAATCCGATCAGTCTCTGCGGAATTCCAGGCTTAAAGCTGTTGTTTAAGTGACCCAGGACATCTATTTCGGCCCAACTGAAGTCCCCTTAACTTATAAACTCGTAAACTCTTCATACGCGCGTGACAAATTCAACAGCAAGCCCGAGAGAAAAATACGATACATACGACAGCTTTATTGCGTTATCCATAGCGGAGCAGCTTGGCACGATGTTTCTTTGTTGTGATAAGCCTATTTGGCCGCGGCAGGAGAACCATGGGGGTCTGAGCCCTCGTGTATGGTTCAGCCCCCTGGACGATCGATCGGACCTGTGGCTTTTACTCTTTCCCTCCTAAGACATGCCGTCTCTTGGCAGTAATTTTGCGTTCGCTTTTGTCAGCTACACAATGCGGTCTGTTGTTTCCGACTCTCCGGTCTGCGGATGTCGATCAATTCTGGAGAGACTCGGGGATGCCCGAAGCATGGTCCGCGAACATAAGGCCATCGTCTACTTCGGCAACTCAAACACTCAGACGTAGTCTAAAAGATAAACACAGTCTAGAATTGAAGCCAGGAATAAAAAATTTGCTAAGTCCGCGATGGAATTTCATAGCCTCATGATTGACATGAAAATATATATTTTTCTACTTTGGCTGAGTGTAAACGTCATCAGCCGCATAGACCCCAATTAATATCCAAAACGTATATATTCTAGACAGACGGATGAAGAGCAACAGAAGCCTGTATTCAGCGGTTGCAATAAGGTGCAAACCGTGGGGCGATGATTCCATCAAGGTCCCTGAGATAGTTCGCCAAGACGCGACCGCGCATAATTCCCCGTATCCTTGCGCAAACCTTTCTTCCACTTCACTACTCACACCATGTCGTCGGGGATCGACTGCCAGTCACTCGAGTCAAGCCCACGCTTTCTTCTCCGCCAACCGCGCGCTCTACAATGGTTCGAGAACGGCCGATTAATGAAGCGCCAGGAGGGCGAACGGCAAGCTGGTGTGTATCTATGTCGGTCGCATCACGGCACAAGAGGCTAACCCTCCACAGGCCGATTTGAGCTATTCCTCGATCTGCTCTATGTTGCGATCCTCTCTAATTTTGCCGACACGCTCTCTGAGAACATTACTGGCGCCCAGCTCGTCAAGTACATCCTCATTCTCGCGCCGTCATGGCATGTGTGGAGCGATTTGCGCGAATTGATGAACTCGTTCTATCGGGATGACCTCTTAGAACGTCTACTTATCTTGTGGATCATGACCACGATGGTTGTGTACGGCAACAACGCGCCGCGAGTGGATGAGGAGATTGGCGCGATGCGCTCGACGGTCGCGGCATACATGGCGGCCCGCCTAAGCTGCAGTCTTGCCCATTTATATTATAGCTTTGGAGACTTTCGCCATCGACGCCAGCAGCGCCTCTGGGTTAGCCTCTCAACGGTCTGTCTGTGCGTTTACATCCCGTTGTATTTTGAGTCTGTCTCAATTCGCGGGAAGATCGCCGCAGCCGCAGTAGCCGTTTCACTCGAGGAAATGACCTGGGTCTTCTGCTACTCCCCTGCAGCGAAAAAGTTGCTCCGTGTCAAATACTCTACTGCAGTCGACATACCCCACGAAGTCGATCGATTCGCTGCCTTCTACATCATTGCGCTCGGTGAATTCCTTTACTTGATCATTGTTGGTTCACCCGCCGCAGTCGGGTTGAACACTGGCCTTCTCCATTCCATCTGGACTTTGATCATTGCATTCTGTTTGAACTGGTTGTATCTTCATGCTGATTGCTCCACGGACGGCATACACCCTCTACGGCATTCGATATATACAGCCTTTTCCTGGGCTCTGTTTCATTTACCGCTGATTGCCTGTCTGTTGGCTGGTGGACATGTTGCTGCTGCTACTGCTACTAGTGAGGAATTTGACGACTCTCAACGGTGGCTTCTCTGCGGTGGATTGGGCGCTGGCATGATCTTCCTATACATTCTGGCCTTGCTACATGGTGCTAACGAGGAATGTGGAGATTTGATTCTTAATAAGGTGAGCCACCCCGGTACTATTTTATGGGAAAACCCGCTAAGGTATCTTCAACCATCCAGCAAATCCGCCTCATATTTCGGCCCATTACCGGCATTATTATCATTCTTCTGCCACTGGCACATCACCTCGATGGTACCGAGGTTCTCTCCATTATCATGGCCTTTTTTGTGATCTGCGTCATCTGGGAGACGGTAACCTCTCTAAAAAGAGGTGCTTGCTTCTGGGAAAAATGGGAAGACACGGAGTACCCAGAACGAGTGAAAAGTGGAGAGAGTGAGCCAAAGCATGACGAGGATCCGTCGGCTGCTTGATATATGTCCTTGGGCAGTTCTATGATTTTTATTTCCACACAGCAGGATTGAGAGATTCAGGCCGTGTTTCCATTTCGGGGAAATAATTAACAACACCTATGAGGACGATGTCTCAGATTACATTGGACAACACGACTTGTAACCATTTCGGTCATCCCAGCAGATTCGATTTGAAAAGTAGCCAATGACGCTGTTGATAATCTATCTATACGAAGAGTTTATGACAATAATAACACGAAGAATCCACCTGTTTCAAACCTGCTCCGTTCCAGATCTCTCTTTCCCCCGGCGCCTAAACCATCGTTTTCTCAACCTTCATATCACCAGTTGCCTGAGTCTCAGATCGGCTCATAGTGGTATATCGACTAAAATCCCTGAGACCACGGTTCTCACCAGTACCCTGCGCTCCATTGCCATTCTTCGCCTTGCGCTCTTGGCGACGGAACCAAACCCGCTTGCACCACTTCCAACTCTCAACACCAAGGAAAAACAGAACAGTCTCCACGAAAACGATGCCCCATTCCCATGAGATCCCGGTGTGTTTGAACACATCTCTGTTAATCACAGGGATATACAGAATGGGGAATGCAAGTACGAATCCCGACATGATGCCCCAGAAAAGAAAGCGGTTGCCCCAAACATCATGCATCCACTGCGTGAAATACTTCTTCGAGCCGGGCTGCATCCGGAAGAAGCTTCGACGGAGATTCATCATCTCCCATGCGAGGAATAGGGCAAACCAGGTCATGCAGGTGAATGTCGTTGCACGCGCGCGGAAAACGGTGTCACACTGGAAGTCGTTGAAGATGTCTTCATAGTTGGAGTTGCAGCCCTGGGCTAAATTTCCATCGCCCCATCCATAGAGGACGAGTGAGAAGGCACTTAAACAGAGAGCTGCCATCCACACGCCGTACACGAAGGTGTCGATGATTACCTCCCAGGTGAAGATTCCTTGTTTCTGCAGACAAGTCAGTACAGTCCTCAAAGAAGGAGAGGCGAGAATGAAACCTACACTTTGTGGTGGTCTGTCCATGACTTCTGGCGCTGCTTCTTCCATGCCAAGCCCCATATCGGGGAGTCCCGAGGTGACCATGATAATCCAGATAATTTCCACTGGAGCGATGGGAAACACAGATTGGTTGCTCTCATCCTTAAACGCGAGCCCAACAAGCAAGGTCAAACCCAAGGCCACGTTTTCTGCCAGAAGATGAAGGACGAATTTCTGAATGTTGTCAAAGATTCGGCGACCTTCGGAGATACCCTGTATCATACTAGCAAAGTTGTCATCTGTAAGCACCAATTCCGAAGCGTCCTTCGCCACATCGGACCCATTTTCGCCCATCGCAATACCGACATCGGCTCTCTTGAGCGACGGCGAGTCGTTCACACCGTCACCGGTCATGGCCACATATTTACCCCGACGATGCAAGGCTTCGATCATGCGAACCTTGGTGTTTGGTGCACAGCGAGCAATCACCAACGGCAAGGTTGGCAGACGATCAATCTCGCCTTCAGTCAGCTTGTCGAACTCCCCTGCCGTCATTACCATCGCGTTGGCAACATCTTTGGCGAGCATATCCATGTTCGAAGGGATGATTCCGACCTGCGCGGCAATTGCCCGTGCTGTGCCAGGGTGGTCCCCCGTCACCATGTGCACCGAGATGCCGGCCTTATAGCATTGGGCAATTGCGCCCGCAGTTTCGGGTCGAGGAGGATCATAGAGACCGATCAGTCCGTAGAAGACGAGGTCTTTCTCGACCTCTTCTCTTGGAAGAGGATCCTGCCTTCCTTTGCTCTCAGGGCCGGGGTTGTGCTCTCGGCCAGCTAGTGCAAGAACTCGAAGTCCTTCCTTGGCAAGCGCTTCCATATTTTCAAGAATTGATTCTCTGATTTCGTCGTCCAAAGGGACTGGGTCGGCATCTGCTTTCCATGTGATGGTCGAGCACGCATCGAGAACCCGTTCCACAGCACCCTTCGTGAAGATCATATCGACTCCTTCTTCATGATTGGAAAAAATGACAGACATCTTCTTCACGCTGGAATCAAAAGGATACTCGGCCTTTTGCTTCCAGATGGGCTTGTCGCCTTGAGTCCTGCTAGCAAGTCCCCAGTTGAAGCGGTGTGCGAATACTTGGATCGCAATATCCGTGGGCTCGCCCCGAGCGTGCCATTGGTCGTCGGAAGATTTGTGTAGATGGGCAAGATTTGCCATTGCAGCAACGTTGAGAAACGGCTTGAGAACCTCATTGTCTTTTAATAATTCCTCTGGCTGCGCGATGTTGGGCTTAGACTCGGAAGAAAGCTGGGTGGGCCTCTCTGCCATGAAGCTCATTTCGCCTTCCTCCGGATTGAGTGGATCGTTAGACGATCCAACGGAATAAGTCCCCACAGAGGGAATCCATGCCCGCTTGGCAACCATCCGGCCTTGAGTCAGAGTTCCAGTCTTGTCAGAGCAGACATTCGTGACTGCGCCCAGAGCCTCGAGGGAATCCAGCTTACGCACAATAACGTGCTTCTTCACCATCTGTCTAGTTCCCGCCGCCATGGTGATCGTCAAGACAACCACCAAACAAGCGGGGATCATAGCCAGACCCGTGGCAACGGCGTAAAGGATAACCTCTCGATCACTCCGCCAATCATTGGCGGCTTCGACAATGACCGCAAAGATCACCGCAACCCCAAAAAGTAGAATCGCCAGCTTCGATAACTTGCGTTGCAAAGGCGTGCCGACGTTGATGCCCAGGAACCGCCCAATGGCATCGGTGGTAGTCAGGGTCCACGCCTGGATGTACCAACGCGTTTTAGTTTCGCCCTGAGGACCACGCTTAACTGGCCGGCGCTTGGAATCGCCTCCACGCAAAGCTGCAGCAATGGCTCCAATCTCCGTCGTCATTCCAGTGCCTATCACCACACCGCGACCGCGTCCGCGGGTAACGGTTGATGAACTGTAGGCGATGTTGAGTCTATCGCCGGGGCCGGTGTCCGGATCGAATTGTGAGTCGGCATCTTTCTGGACGGGCAGGGATTCGCCTGTGAGGAGTGCTTCGTCGGTTTCGAAATTGAATGCTTCCACCAGTCTGAGATCAGCGGGCACAGTGTCTCCCACTTTCAGCTCGACCATGTCGCCAGGAACAATCTCGATGGCTGGAACAGTGGAGGTTTTCCCGTCGCGGGATACCACGCCTGTTGGGGAACTGAGCGATCGTAGCGAATCCATGGTTTTCTCTGCTGCGAGGTCCTGGTATACTCCAACGACGACATTCAGAGCAATCACCGCCGCGATAAATCCGCCCTCAATCCAGCTCTGGATACCGAAGGAGACGGCCATTGCGATAATCAGGACCTAGTGAGAACGATGTTAGTAGTGGATTCTTGCCTATAAGTTTGTTGTGTACTTACTAGAATCATTGCATTGGCAATCTGTCGAATGAAAATTTTGGCAAATGAGACCCCTTCGTCTCCCTCTAGCATGTTCTCGCCATATTTATCAAGGCGCTGTTTGGCCTCACGTCCAGTGAGGCCATCTTCGCAGTTTGTGCCCAGCTGGTTGAGAACATCGTGGAAGGGAAGAGCATGTGCTGGCTGAGAGAGATTGATTGCGTTGTTTGAACCCTGTGAGCTAGCCGCTTGAACTTTCTCCTTTGACATTGCAAATGAGGACGTCTATGTGAGAGAGAGTGTGTGTGTGTGAGAGAGAGTGAGTGAGTGTGTGTACTGCTATGGAGCGTCTTAGGATGGTTCCATGTAACATGTATCCTCAAGAGAGTGTGAGTTCATAAAAGTTGCTAGTACACCTGGATTCCTTTTCCCTTATTTTCCTATCCCTCCCGGAGAACCTGCCAGGATATAAGTACCCCGAGAATACAACCCCCGATGGCAAAAATTTACTCTGGTGCAACCGGTTTCAGACTTGGCGCCTAGGATGGCCGAGGTATTCCAGAACCTCGAACGCAGACTCCCCAGAATCGTCCTCCAATCGTAGTCCATCACGAACTACAAAAAGTGGTTGATGACGTACACGATAGTGCTCGGCGGTGTCTCGGCCGGACCTTGGAGTGGAGTGGCGGAACGGCCAAGCCCTTATCGTGGAGGCTCTTGGCGGGGACCAAGTACATTTCAACGGAGAACAAGTCCATTCCGCTGTATTTCCTCCGCTGTTTCCCACTGGCCCACTATTCCTCTTCTGGAACGATCTTGGCTCGTGGTGTCCTATCCAGGGAATGAGTCTGGGCTTTTCAGATCTCCTGGGCTGACTGACGTGATCTGTTTCTCTTCCTCACTTCAATAGTCTCGGGTGGCGACAGTGGTGGACTTGGAGAGAAACAATGATCCTTCTTGCCGGGACCAACTCCAAATAGCACTGACTGTGTGGTTGCCTTCAAGGGCATAATACGATACAGGGAGTGCTGCCAGGCTATTCAATCAACAAACAACTCGGTGAATAGGTAGCCGATCTTGATTGTTTTTTCTCTTCTCTCATTTGCTCACTCCTACACAACATCTCTTCTTCCTTCCTCTTCCCTCCGGACACCAGGCACTGCATCTCATACCCCTCTACTCATGGCGAACAAAGGACTTTCAAGTGGAGAGACGATTGGGATTGTGCTCACCGGTGTCATCTTCTTCGGCTTGATCACCTTGGTTCCACTGTAAGCGATCCCACCGTGACGCGGACTCTGTCTTGGCTTTTGTCCCTCGCTCCCGCCAAGGAAGCTCGAACTCTCTTGAAGCCCTCTAAATGCTGACTGTCGAGATCAGGGTGCTTATCGCGGCTCGTCGGCGGCAGCCGGCTCTTGTTCGCGAGGCCGCTCAAGGCCGTGCCGCACCTTCGATGCGGCAGCTCGCCGTAGCCGGATGGCTGCGAGAAATGAAAGTTTCTACACTTGATGAAGAGCATGCTAAAGATGCCTGGTATGTATAAATGGTCTTTCATTGTCTCCGGTCTCCTGCCCTGTTTCCTGTATCCGACCTTGTCATTCGTGATCTACTATGGAATATTTATGCTGACCCGGGGCAAGTCCCATCTGCCTTTCCGCTCTATTGTCTTCGCCATATCTCGCCCGTCCAGAGCCGGCGCTCATCCAGCCCGACGGACGCAACCCTTCACCAACCCGGTCCCACAGCTCTGCTTCTCCAAGCCACTGTGAGGTGCCTTCCGGCAGCACCCGAGGCGACAGCGAGATTCTCGTCCTGAACAAATGCAACCATACCTTCCATTCCGCATGTATTACCTCGTGGTTTAACTATCGATGCTACAAGTGCCCGCTTTGCCAGACTTCATATGCACCTCCCGAACATGTTTGAACCGTTCTTGTCTTTGCGGTTGCGCTGTACTCGATTTGATGTGATATGACTATTTCTCTGATTTATGAAGATACGAATATGACGAATGTGACAAACGTGGTACTGAATTAAAATGTGTTCTTTATGTAGCCTGGTAAGGATCGATGTTTGTTGCGTAAGAAGGGAAGGGCCACTCGATCCTTGCGGTGAGTAGAGCTGTTTCCTAGTTGCCGCGCTCACATCTTCTTCGTTCCATCCTCTTGATCTGAGGCGAACAAGTCCATTCCATTCGTAATAACCAGTGATCCGTCGCAGCAATGTTTTCTGGTCTGACAGTTGACACAAGCATTTAGGGGAAATCATGCTTATATGATTATGGTGAATCTAAAGCAGTAGCGTTCAAATGAAAAGGGCATAAAGGAGATCAGGAAACTTAATGAGCTTACCAGAAACTTAGACCAACTGCCGAAGAGAATATATTTTATGGTGCTAAAAGCCTCGCCTTGATTATTATTGTCTCTCTTGTAAATAGTGTTACATTAATCCGTTCGTTATCTCCACTCTAGCCCTCGTTCCTTGCGGTTTTTCCCTTACCCCCATCTTGCCACGGCAGATGGCCTGCTCGACTACAGGAAGTGCCAGGAGCGCCATTAAGCCTAGACAATAACTGATAGATCGGCAGAATGGAATGGTCACTTCGCGTAGCTACGGGGATATTGCGGGGAGATTGTCCGCATAGATCAATGTTCCCCGCTATTTGGGGGGTATGACCGGATAAAATGCCGAACATTCTCACCGTTTTCTTGCATCTCTGGAATACGCATATCTGGCTCAATTCCATCTCGTCTCTCTCTGCATTGCACACAATCACATTTGACACTTAGTCCACAAGTTTATTGCGATTAAATCCTGCCAACATGGTTTTGAGACTATCTTTCGCCTGCTGGGACTATGATCGGGTGAAGGCAATAGAAGATGGCCGGGTTCGCGCGGAGGGGATGGAAATTCAGTTCCTAAACCTTCGTGTGGAAGAAACGTGAGCATCTTCTTTGAACCTTAGCTATTCTCTCCTTTCCATACTTTCCCTAACCTCAATAGTTTTTTCCGGCAATTGCGCTTTAAGGAGTTCGATATATCTGAACTGTCTCTTTCATCTTACATGTTGACGCTCAATCAACCAACCCCACCCTTCATCGCCCTCCCAGTTTTTCCTTCCTTCTCGCTTTTTTCGGCATCAATCGATGTATATCAACACCAAGGCCGGTATCTCCAAGCCTGAGGATTTGGCCGGGAAAAAGATTGGAATACCCGAATACCAAAGTATGCACCTATAAAAACGCAGTATATGGAGTGATAGTGAAACTAATATAGCGTTACAATAGTGACGGCTGCAGTGTGGCAACGGGGAATTCTTGAAGATGAATATGGCGTCAATCCAAGCCAGGTCCAATTCTACGTGGGTGCAATCGAGGAAGTGGAAAGTGACGTGCAAAGGATCAGCAAAGTTCCGCATTCCCTGCCGGAGGGCGTGACAGTGACTGCAATCCAAAAGGGCCAAAATCTCTCTGAGATGCTTGCCAACGAGGAAATCGATGCTATCTTCAGTGCTAGCCAGCCCTCATCTATGGAAACATCTGACAATGTCGCTCGTCTGTTCCCCAATTTCAAAGAAGTGGAAGCGGAATACTACGAGAAGACCAAGATCTTCCCCATCATGCACGTTATCGCCCTTAAAAGAGATCTTTACGAGGCACATCCGTGGATTGCAAAAAGCTTGACCAAGGCATTCGCGCAAAGTCTCAATATCGCCTATGAAGCCCTGGAGGAGCGCTCGGCACTTCGATATATACTGCCATGGCTCGAGGATCATGTCATTGAAACCAAAAAGCTAATGGGCGGGAACTCCCGATGGTGGCAGGATGGGTTCGCAGAGAACAAACATGTAATTTCCAAGTTTTTGGATTATCACTACAGACAGGGGTTGTCCCAGAGACTGTTTCAGGCGGAGGAGATCTTTGCCCCGAATACTCTGGAATCGTTTGTGATGTAACATGGGCTCGTTAGAGAGGAGTTCTTCAAGGTTTGCACGAGAGGAATACCATAACCTTTGACAATGATATAATGAAATATTGAACAAAACAAATATTAAGCAAGAGCATGATCGGCCGCCCGAAGATCACCCGTCCGTGCGATGCCAAGAAGGAGTATGAATTCAACACTAACATGCCTCGTCATGCCCAGCCGTCTGCTTGAGACAAGAATACGAAATACAAGCAGGCGAATCGGGCATTTTTGAGTAGTAATTTGGCTCTTCTTCATTTCTTGGTTCATTGTTTGCTTCCTCCGTCCTTACAATAGATTCCAGCCAAGTATGTCTTTCATATTTGACTTTGTGCTCTGGGCTGACTGGAACTGGACTACCTGGCCACAGCTCTGTACTGACCGCGGAACCTCGGACGCCGTTGGCCATGACACGTCTCATTACATATGTTTGTTTACTGATTTTGGTATCTTGCGCTTTTCATCTTCTCCAAAAGAAATCCCAGCTACCTCGCAAGCTCATCACCCAAATTACCCACAACAAGTCAGGACCTCGCAAGAAGTGCCACACTTGACTTGACAGGACTGCACCCAAGTGCCCCTATGCTCAACCCCCGTGGCCACTGCAGTGGAAGTTGCCCGCCCTAATTCCGGTTGCACGGTAGCGGAATGGATCCCATAGCTATGAAAGCAGTCGCTCATAGTCTTCGCTATATCCACAAAGTCCGAAATCGTCTTATTTGACATCGAGACGTGAACAGAGGCCAATGTCTTCTCTTGGTTCAGTCGCCAAACATGCAGTTCGTGAACTGATAAAACGCCAGGAATTGTTTCGAGGTCATGTCGGACCTCGTCGAGGTTTATTCCGCTTGGGACGCTTTCCAGTAGGATCTTGCCTGATTTTTTCACTGGAGGGGTATATGGTTAGAATAAGACAGGCGCCGAAGTAATAAGGGACAAACCTAATGGGAGGGATGTTGCGAGGATGACAATGGCGATGGTCATGCTAACTGCAGGGTCTGCGTAGTAGCGGTGAGGGTATTTCGTGAGCCATATGATTAGTGCCGAGATTATGACAGCAACATTGTTGGCGGCGTCGCCCAGAACGTGAATCAGAACACCTAGCATGCCGAGATCATACCCCCTTTTGGACGGTTGGATGTTATTGTGTCGGTGGTTTGTGTGCAAAGAAATAAGCTATGTCTAAGTTTTAGTACAGTCCCATGGATATTAAGGGATATTCTCACTTCTGTTGTCTCGCTATCAGAGTTACCAATAGGCCCGCTAATTGCGGGACCTTTTTCTTTGGCATGATCGTGGTCTGCAAATCCGATGGCGTATTAGTGAAAAACGATTATGCAAAAAGGCGTGGCTACAAACCATGGAGAAATGAGGCACTTATAATATTGAGAGTAAGTCCAACGCAGCCAATGATGAGGACAAGTTTTGGCTGCTTAACGACTATCATTGTGTCAGCGATATATAATGAACGCACTTTGGCACTTCTCACTTTGCAAGGAGATGAATCGTTCTAGGGATTGCAAAAAGATACTAACACCCAACGCAAGAAGGAAAACGCCGTTGAAAAATGCGCCGAGGAGTCGAGATCGCTGCCAGCCGAAGGATAGGTCTGATGGCGAGTCCTTTTTCGCGGATATCTGCCCTCCGTTAGAACCAACTCATAATGGGGAGGGCAACTAGTTGCTAACCTTTACGGAGGCGAAGGCCACCATAAATCCGACTAGATCATTTAACTGGGAATAATTAATAATACAAATCGAAGATGGTGGGGCGATAGCAGCCTTTCTCACATAGTGAAATGCATCCGCAACGAGGGCAAGAGATCTCGTGTAGAATCCAACAGAAATCTCCGCGATGAAGAAACACAGGGAAATATATATGACGAGCTGTAACCGCTGTGCCTGACTGAGGTGTAGGTGTAACGCCATACTGGGTTGAAAGTTGACAATATTCCAGGAATCCTAGGGATCAAGAAAATGAGGATTACATAGGGAGGAGTGTAAAGTAGAAGAAAGAGGTAGGTAGGAGGTCGCCTAGGCTGCTGCACCCTTCAGCTCGTCACATTTAAGGTTTCGGTCCTCGGACGCGAAAGGTGGCGTGGGCAAATCTCAGCGTTTTGTTGCACTGTAATTGGTAGAATCGGAATTCCTTAATAGGTGTAGATGTCATAGAATAATGTATTTTTACAACTGGGAGTGTAAGAGAATCCAAAAAATGAAAATGAAAAAGAAAAAAAAAAAAAAAAGGACCGAGCGTGATTTGAACACGCGACCTTCGGATGTTTGCGCAAATCCTCTCCTTTCAGAGAAGGAACTGCAATCCACCGTTCTACCCCTAAACTACCGGTCCAATCTTATGAATGTGCCTGGTTAATAATAAACTAAATAATACTTAAATTTTGATATCGTTGGTACGTCGGATGCATTATAACAACCTTGGAACCAGTTTTATGAGCAAACTGTGCACGGGCGGCATAAGAAAAGTCAATAACGCCGGTAACTCGGAGGGAGTTGTCAATGAGAACATTGCGCGGGCATAGGTCGTCGCAGAATAACTTGAAGGGCCCATAGTTGTCGTCTCGATCAATAAAGCTCAATGCAATAGCCCTCATTAGATGACGACAAGTATAATATGCCAGCAATCAATTGAATCATATATGCTATTTCGTTGCTGCTCTAGGTGAATCGATTGCTGGTCAAGGAGCGAGGTGATATAATCGATAGAGCTATGATAGACGCGAGAGGGAAAGATAGACTCTTTCATTCAGCATGTCCGTATCAGTTCGTTTAGTTCAATAGTCTCGCGGTAGACCTTTTCGTCCAAAATCATAGACTTCCCTGGCAAGGGAATCGAATCAGTCAGTCCTCACCCCCATCATCCGAGTGGAGACGCCAACTGAAATTGAATGAACCGCAGTGCATAGAACGCAGCAAGCGGTCATCCCGATTATTTCGGTAACGGCCCGCTAGCTGGTAGATGCCTTCGGCGGAGGTGGAGCCTAGTCTGATCCAGTCCCGTCTCCGTGCATCGAATTCGTTGAGGTTGATATCATTGAAATCCATGATTCTAAGCTGTATTGGATGTTGATGTGGAGCTGAAATTTTGTGTACATTCAAAGAAGAGCTATGAAGTGTTTCTTCTAGACAGCTGTTTGAAATATCCAAAAGGGGACGACGACACACAATGCAGATTATACCATTCATGGCTAGTGCGGTAGAATCCTCGCATATGCGTATACCAATCAAATCCGCATCTTGAGGTGGCCAGTAATCTTGAGTCTCATAAGAGAATTGAACCATCGCAGCCGCCTTGTCTTACAAAGCGGGAGCCTAGTAGAGATGCGATGAGGATGTTATAGGGCAGAGTCTAATAACCATTCAATATGCTCACAATATGAATACAGCATCGACGTTCATGTTCACGCTCAGCAAGGAATGCAAAATCAGCGATTTTCTCAGGACCAAAAACCAGTGCAATGTAAGATGCAATGGGGAACAAAATGAAAAAAAAAAAAAAAAAAAAAAACCGGACATGAATCATCACATCATCGCACTATTCATCTCCGCTCTCCTCTTTTTGCAAGCCAAATCAAGCACCATTCGGCTCATCATCATCAGACTTATAGTTTGCATCATCGCTCTCCCATCCATCGGCCTCGAGAGACCGGCCACGGATACCGAAGCTCATGACGAAACCCACGAACGAGACAGCCCCGAACACGCCAAAGGCTAGGGCTTCACCTTTGGGTTGGATTTTAGCTGTTAGTGAGAACAGACCGCCTGACAAGAAGGGGCCGACGGCGCGGCCTGCGGCGGAAAGGGTCTGCGCGAGACCGTTCAACGCGCCTAGGACTGCGTGGTTGGGTGCTGAGTTTGTGACCTACGTTCCGCAAATTAGTACTCTAAGGCATGATTAAATGAGAGTAAAAAAAACAAGGACTCACCAGTAGCAGTGCACTAGTCAGACCGCCCACCGACGCGACGGTTTTGACCAGCAGCACAAAACACACCTCGATGGCCATGAGAGCAGACTTGCCCGTTAATCTCTTGGAGCCTGAGCTTTTATACCCGACAAAGGGCATAAGAAGGAACGAGATCACAAAGCCGAAAAGACCAGCGCGATATGACCACCGATTACCCATCTTGTCGCGCAAGCGGTTAAAAATACAGATTTGGAAGATGATCGTCACAGCGCCGGCAAAGCCTTGTGACAGGCCGATCTCAGAGGGGGTGAGGGCTCTCCCAACAGGGGGCCTTGCTTGCGCGAAGATCGGGAACAAAGAATTGAACGAGACGTTGCAGAGGGCGAAGATCAGATAGGTCAAAAGCAGGAGGACGGTGTCTCGGTTGTAGATCTCATCCCAGGTCAGCTCCTCGGCGGGGTGGGATTCTTCATCATCTACCTCCGAGGCAGAGTCAAGGTCGCTGTCATGGTCATCGGCTTCGGGTGTGCCATCACGGCCTGTTGGTGAAGAGGGGACGTGATGCGGAACCCGCAGGTAGGTGGGATGGCGAGCGAAGCCGGTGAATTGCCACAGCCAGGTGAATAGACTGCGAACCTTTTTTCCAATTTTCGGGAGGCTGTCGTCTGCATCTTCGAGACTCTCTTCCAAGAACAGGGATGTCAACACAAGGTCGACTAAGAGGATCACAGCAGACAGAAGATTCGGCAGAAGGTAAGGATAGGTGCTTTTCGCGCCAGTGAACGGGTTGCGTTCGAAAACCAACAGTCCCCCAAGAAGAGGCCCCGATATGCCGCCAATACCATAGAGCACGGGGAGATACGTGAAAGCCTTGGACTGGTTGCTTCGGTCTGTGATCTCGCCCAAGCATGTCGACACCAAACCCTGATTACCGTTGACCGCACCCATCAAGGCTTGGACAGCAATTGCCTGACCAAGGTTCTTGCAGAATCCGAACCCCACAAAACACAGCGCCGTCAAAAGCGTTCCCAGCAGGATAACGGGCTTCCTCCCCACACGGTCCGACAACCAGCCCCAGAAGTAATTTGTTGCAAACTGCGCCAACGCAAAAGCGGACGCAATCGTGCCAACGTAGACTCCCACATTGCGGGGATCCACCTCGGGAAACTGTGACGCCATGTCGGGGAGGTAGGGACTGATCGAATTCAAAGCCGTCTGCTCCGCCAAGGCGATCATCGCCAGTACCGCCATTTGTCTCTTAGGGAGGGGGACTGCGCGCCGGCGTTGTCGTCACTGCTGCCATTGCGGTCGTGTGAGCCCCCCGCGGAGGACTCAGACCGACCGGAATTCGGTCTTCCGGGATTCTTGGGTGGCGGGGTGCCGAATGTTTGGTAGTGCTGCGTAGAAGAGCGGCGATGGAGCGTGGTGTGCTCCGACGGGGGCATCGTCGCGACTGGTATTGCTGCTCGTGCGATTCGAATGTCGACCAATACGCTTGCAGGAACCTGAGATTGGGGCGCGCAATCAGCCGGCGCCGGGGCTGCACTGAGGCCGGCGGTAGAACAACCAGAAACAAATGAGATCTGGCAGAATAACAGAAGACCGAGGCTGTTAAACACAATACTGAGGGAGAAAGTAGGCAGACAACGCAAGCAGGGAAATGGTCTCCAATAATAGTATGATGTAAGCGATTTGGAGATGCTGAGTCATCTATTCGCCCTGTCGTTGCCCTGTCCCGATCGATGCATTTGTCGATCAGATGGACGAGGCCTTGAGGCAGAGAAGCAGAAAATTCTCCGTCCAGCACACCAAGTGGCCGAGCAGTAACTCGGTCAATCATCTTCCTTGGTCTAGTGGTCATGATTTCCGCTTGTCATTAACACCGATAAGCGCGGGAGACCGGGGTTCGATTCCCCGAGGGAGAGTTTTTTGCTGTAGATATTAGTTTTTGCTCAACTGACAAGGAATATCAGTGATTCTGTCTCAAGGTTGAAACGGAGTTTGATTGAAAAACAGTTTGCTTGAATTGGTGGAAGTATATACTGGTGTAGTAAGACCAAGTGCGAAGATGAATCAATCCCCGGATCACTTCATCAGTAGATCGACTGCCCAGGGCACACTCAGCCCCCGAAGATCCCCGTAATGCTGTCCAACGCCCAAGAACACAATGGGAATGCCCGTAGCGTGCACCATACTAACCAGGGTGCCTACCATATCCCCAACGGTGTCGCATTTACTGATGATAAACCCGTCCAAATTGCGGCCGGTGCCAAATGCCGCGTTGAAATTACGCGCCTGCATGACGCTGTCGGTGCCGACCAGGGCCTCGCCAACCATGAAGATCTTATCCGGGTTGGCGAACTTGGCAAACTTCTCCAGCGACGACATGAGCCGCTGGTCGTTGTGGCGGCGGCCGGCCGTGTCGATCAGGACGACGTCGAACTTGTGGGCGGCGGCGTGTTCCACGGCGTCCTTGGCCACGTTGGCGGCATCCTTCCCGTAGCCCTTCTCGTATAGCTCGACATGGCCAACGGTCTCACGCTCGCTGAGCTCTTTCAAGTTCCGGGCATGCACACGGAGCTGCTCCACCGCACCGGATCGGAAAGTATCGCAGGCAGCAATGAGCACCCGGTAGTTATTCTGGAGTAAGAAGAAGCAGATCTTGCTGAGATTGGTGGACTTGCCGACGCCATTGACCCCGACAATCGACATCACGTAGGGCCGAGGCGTATGCTCCTTGGTGGTTGGGGCCGTCACGGCATTGATCTCGCGCAGCAGGTCAAGTGAAGAGGTTGGCGTCAGGATCTTCCGCAAGGATGCCTCCATCGCCTCGTGCAGAGCAGCATCCACGCTCTGGAAGTTGCCGGTTTTCTTTCCCACCAGCTCGCGTTCAACGCCTTCGCACAGGCGGACTGCAGCCTCGCGAGCAACGTTTTTCTTCAGCAGATGATCCTCCATCGCCTTCAACGGCTTGTCAAGATCGGCCGCTGTCAAAACTTTTCCACCCACGATGTTCCGGAAGAAACCACCCATGGCCTTGAATCCGGAGCCAACGACTCCGGTCGATGCGCCGGTTTTGGCCTTGTCGGCATCGGCTTGGTCTAGAATGGAATGGACTTCGTCACCCAAGTCCTTCAGAACGAATTGGCCCTTGCCAGTTCGGCGGCCCCAGTCATCTTGAGAGACCGCCTCCACGGACGGCGCAGAAGTCCCCATATCATCCGCGGGAGCAGAGTAATCCAAGATTTCGCCGTCATCCTCGTCGGCAAATCCGTCAGCGTCCCAGCGACGCATCTTCTTTTTGGTCGCGGGTGCCGGTTTGCGATTCCGGGAATGCTCGTCACCAGAAGACGTAGCACTGGTATTGGCAGCTTTGCGTGCACGGCGGGAAACGCGGCCGCCGGGCCCGGCCTTTCCGGTAAGAATATGGCTGGCGGGAGTTGAAGATCTAGAAATATCCGGAGTTGCCGGTGGCGTACCCTCATCAGAGGTTGCCCCAGCCAGCGCAGCATGATGCTGCGCTTTGGTACTGTCAGCTTTTTCGTGCATCGCAACTCAAGCATTCCTCCATACCTTTCATGAGGCCAGGGACCGGTGGCGGCGGCGGGCCACCATTGTCTGACGAGACAAGCGGATCCTTCTTCTCTGTGCTCTCAGCAACTAGAGTCTCGGCGACAGCTCCAGTGTTGTCCTCCAGCTCGCGCACCTGCTGCTCGAAGTAAGGATCGAAGCGATATACGGTGATGCGCGCCCGCGAGGTCTTCAACTGGTCCTTGTAGAGATCGATGAAAATCGTCGAGATATTTTCCAGCAGCTTATCGATCCAGCCTAGGTGAAGCAGGGATTGGTAGACAGCCTAACGTGAACACCGTGAGCCCTTCTGCGTGACTTTGGTGGCATGCGACAAGATCAGACATACCACGAAGATCAGGTTGAACTCCTTGACTCTCTTCCATTTCAGGGTATATTTCTCCTTCTTGAACACTGGCGACACCCCGGTGGCTGTCGCAGCTTGGGGCACCACCTTTTCCTCGATAAAGACCTCGTTGATCAAGCTGTTGATGACATGTGCCCCCACCGGTGCGTAGGATTTGGACCATAGCACCACACCAGAGGTGGTCAGAATCTCGAAAGCTTCCAGCATCGTCAGAACTTGTGCGGTATTGGCAAGAGGGAAGCACTGGAGCGGAAGAACTAGAGGGAGGGAGGAAGGAAGTCAGTCGGTAGTGATCGTTAGTGGTGGCGGCGGAGACAGGCAAAAAAGCGAAGTTCGGGAGCTGAGCGGATCTTCAGCCACGTATAAACACCTACTTCCCTTCGTGCTCTCCCGCTTCCCTTTCAACCACGCTACAACACATATACCACCTCCCTCTTGATCATTTTCACTCCCTCTTCTCGGTCTGGTGCATCATGTATCGGGGCTCCTTTGCTCCCCCGCCCGCGCACTCGCCGCCCCTGCACCACCCTGTCCCGCAACATGTCTCGACCGTGCCTATGATGCGCTCGCCGCCTCCCCCAGCTCCTCAGCAGCCTCCAAGTGCCGGCTATGCAGGAAATCCTTACCAGCCATCGCCAGGACAAGGTGGCAGTGGTACATATGGGCCCGGGCTAGGCGGAATCATCAATGACCCGACAGCGCAAATGGGTTTCCAGGTTGGCAAGAGCGCCATGATGGCGGGACAGGAGTACATGGAGCAAAACGTATGAAACATCTCCTAAATTCATTGCTCCAATTTCTCACTGACAGAATTAGTTGAATCGCTACGTTTCAATCCCGGCCCTTAAGCACTACTTCAATGTCTCCAACTCCTACGTCCTGAACAAATTGGCCCTCGTCCTCTTCCCTTGGCGACACAAGCCGTGGTCCCGCCAGCAAGCTCGCCTGAACAGCAGTGCGGGCGGTCCCAACGGCCAGATCGCCCAGCAACAGTACTCGTCCATGTTCCTCCCCCCACGAGATGACCTCAACTCGCCGGACATGTACATCCCCGTCATGGCGTTGGTGACCTACATCCTGCTGTCAGTGTTGCTCGCCGGGTTCAGAGGCAATTTCCATCCCGAGCTACTGGGCTCGATCACCACGACGGCCATCGCCGTGATTCTCTTCGAGATCTTGTGTCTGAAGCTGGCCACATACATCCTCAGCATCAACCAGGACTCGCAGCTGCTGGATCTGGTGGCCTACTCGGGCTACAAGTTCGTTGGCATCATCGCCACTCTCGTTGCGTCGGAGATCTTGACCCCTGGGCAGGGAACCGGTGGTTGGGTTGGCTGGACGGTCTTTGCGTACACGTTTCTCGCAAATGCGTTCTTCTTGGTAAGTTATCATGCATCATCGTCATCATCACTACGCTCATGCTAATATCAAAACAGCTCCGGTCTTTGAAATATGTCCTGCTTCCCGATTCGACCGACGCCACGATGCGCACGGGCTCGATGCACACCGTGGCTCGCTCCCAACGCAACCGACGCACCCAGTTTTTGTTCATCTACGCGTATGTCATCCAGTTCATCTTCATGTGGGTTCTCAGCCGCGAGGGCCCATCGGCTCTGGCTTCGGCGGCGGCCAGCAACGCGGGTTCGTCATAGCAGATGATACCCGTCATTGGGTGCCTGCGGATAGCTATAGACGGGGCTGGGGGAAGGCGCTGCATCATGTATGGACAGGGTCAGACACAAACAAGCTCATCAGTTTACTGGCCCAGCCTTCACGGTAACGATATTAGCACGATTTTTCAACTGCCATCCAGTCCATTCCTCTGCATGTACAAGCTACATAGGCTACTCGTCGTACTGTAGAGAATCCATCTTCAAAATCAAGATGTCTTTCTTTTGAGCTACGCTACTCTTTCTACAGTAGAGAGAATCCATCTTCGAAAATAAACATCATGTATTTCTTCTATATGCTTGTCGGGCTGCTAGGAAAACTGCGGCCTATCGAAGGTTAGAAACAGAGCACAACGAACGAAATGCAAAGCACAATGCCATGAACAAGTCCTCAGAGATCTTGGTGATAAAGGTAATATCATTGCCAGAAGCATCAATTACTATCTAGGCGTGATAAGGTTTATAATCATCGGACGGGGGCGGAAGTGCTATAAGCCAAAAACACGCACGTACCAGTTAGTGCAAGGATCGAGTCGAGGTTTCGGATCATATCTAGAGCAGTAGTCTTCAACCAGTCAGCATATCTATCCAACCAGATGAAATGAGACCACAGAGGCAGAAGAACAACAGTATCAGGAAGTTAAGAAATTAATATCATCCAACAGCGCTGCATTGAAAACTCCGGCGAGAGCTTCACAGACGCTGGGTCAATCGCAAATTACAGCATCATGTAAAGAATAGGAGATGGGATAGCGGGTGATGGATGGCTTACCATAAGCTGTGTCCTATATCGAGCAGGAGAGTTAGTTCATTGTGAAGGAGTAAAAGGAAAACAGAGATGGGAAGTCCACGGGAAGAAAAAAGCGCGAAGAAAAGCATCCGCCCGGGCCGGAACAAAGGATTCTCCGTGCTGACATAAGGCCAGCCCTAACCATTGCCAGTGGCCGGCTAAGCGAGTGCTTGTGTGGCACCCGAAATTCTTCGTGACTCTCACTCTTTCACGACAATCCTTTCCGACATCCCACCACCACCAAACCCGTTGTCGACCGTGAGTTCTGAATCACTCCCATTTAATATCCACGCGCTGAATGATTATTTGTCTTCCAGAATTTCGCCATGGCCGATATCGATGTCAAAATCGCCGAGTGGAAGCAGGTTGAGGTCGGCCGTCTGGTGCTGATCCGCCGTGGCCCCTTCACCGGCAAGCTCGCTGCCATCGTCGAGATCGTGGACCACCGCCGTGTACGTGAAATATCCAGTCGAGAGGTCGGAAAGGCATTTTCAACACTTTGCGACCGACCGACCACTTTCGGACATGATGGAATGATATATTGACAACAATCACAGGTCCTGGTCGACGGCCCCTCTGGCGAGGAGAAGAAGATCGTGCCCCGTCACGTTCTCCCTCTTGCCCACGCCACCCTCACCCCCTTCACCATCCCCCAACTGCCCCGTGCTGCCGGTACCGGCCCCGTCAAGAAGCTGTGGGCGAAGAACGAGATCGACAACAAGTGGGCCAAGAGCAGCTTTGCCCAGAAGACCGACCGTGCCGACCGACGGAAGAACCTGACCGACTTTGAGCGCTTCAAGGTCCTGCGTCTGCGCAAGCAGGTACGTTGTCACTGCCGGTGGAACTATTCCTTATGCACGGCATGAATGGTTCCTCTGATCCAACCCTTCAATCCAATCCTCCACTCAATCGTACTGACCACTATTAGGCCCGCTACGAGGTGCAGAAGTCCTACGCCAAGGTCCGTGCTGCTGCGGCCAAGTCATAGATGATTACCATGAGGCGTCGGTGCAAGAGGAACTGAGGGAGGGGACGTGTCCTGGGACGGGGTTTCCATAGCTGGTATTCCCCAGCCAAATTGCTGTATGCATTATCCGCAGCCAAAATGATCCAAAATCCTTGATATCCCGGCAGGGGTTGTGTCATGCACTATTCCAATCTCTCCAGCACGATCCGTAAAGCGAGTAAATCGAGGGTCTCGTAAACCATTTCATTTAATTCATTGGATGTGATTCTATGGATCTATTTATTTATTTCAAAAAATATACATATTCTAAACGCTCCTCGAGTGAGCGTATAGAACCGTATACTCCGAGTGCCGCACTGTGGGATCCGGGGGGGCTCGCTAACGATTTTCGGCGGAAGGAGTTGCGCACAGCTCAGCGACCTTCAACTTCTCGACTGACAAAATCCCCCCGCATCCACCACAGCTTGATCTCTGCGTTCCAGGTGCGTTGGCCCGTTTCCTCTGTCCGTGTGGTCGCTCTGCACACTCGATTTCTCTGGTTTTTGCCCCGGTCCGGTGCGGTTCACGGTGGCTGAGAAGGAAACCTCGGCCATCATCCCACACTACACATCGTCCCGCCCACCCGATCGATTCATTCCTCTTCCAACAAACCAACCACTCCGAAAACAGAACTAATTGCTCGTTATTTTCTGCTAGGCTCGCCCAATCCACAAAAATGGCTGACCCCCGCGTTGAAGAGCTCCCCGATGACGAGGTCCCCAGGACCGGCGTCGAGGACGCTGGCAGCTCCTCCGAGTCCGAGGCTGGCGACGAGCCCACCATCCCCGGCGGCGCTGCTGTCACCATCCACTCGCGCAACGAGAAGAAGGCCCGCAAGGCCATTGGCAAGCTGGGCCTGAAGCACGTCCCCGGCATCACCCGTGTCACTCTCCGCCGCCCCAAGAACGTATGTGCTTGTCAACCCGAACCCAATCCGCACAATCGATCGATCAATCGCTGCTGCTTGAAAGAATGTTGGCTGGCAGTGGATGGTTGTGTGGGAGGATTGCTGTATGACCGGGCAGGCGCTGATTGATTCATTCTGGTTCTAGATCCTCTTCGTCATCAACAACCCCGATGTCTACCGCTCGCCCTCCAGCAACACCTGGATGTATGTTTCTCTTTAATGCGCAGATAACCCTTTTACTAATCATTCCGCAGCATCTTCGGTGAGGCCAAGATCGAGGACCTGAACGCTCAGGCCCAGGCCTCCGCCGCTCAGCAGCTGGCTGCCGCCGAGGCCGCCGGCGGTGACCACGCTGGTCACGACCACGAGCACGCCGAGGGCAAGGGCAAGGAGCCCATCCTTGGTGAGGCCAAGAAGGAGGAGGAAGAGGAAGATGATGGCGAGGAGGCGGACGAGAGCGGCCTCGAGGCCAAGGACATTGAGCTGGTCATGGCGCAGGCGAACGTGACCCGCAAGAAGGCCGTTAAGGCACTGCGGGAGAACGACAATGATATTGTGAACTCGATCATGGCGCTCAGCATATGAGGATAGTCATGTGTGAGCGGCGTGGGTGTTGCGATGGATAGTTGTTTCCAGGGTCTGCCCATAGTGTACACAATCGCTTAGCCTTAGCTCCAAAAAATCCCGTTACAATTAAGATTTCAGGGTAATTTTCCTTTCATCTAGGCTTAATTTATTCTAGTTATCGTCTTGTCGTCTATACTACTATCCCTCACTGTTAGTGTTCCCGTGATCCCACGTGACCACCAAACCTTTCCGAGTTGACCCTAAACCTGCCATTCCTGCATTCGACCACCCCCCTCTCCTCTCACCAACCCCATTATCATCCCACCCGTCACAATGGCAGCTGTACGTCTTCCTCGCACTCTCCGCCACCCCTTCCACCCCGGTCTTCCCCATTGAGCCACCCCCGGCTAACCCCCTTAACCCGCCAACAGCGCAGCGCCGCTCTCAAGATCGACTGGGCCAAGGTGTCGACCTCGCTCGGCCTCCGCGGTCAGACCGCCACATCGCTGCAAGCCTTCAAGAAGCGCAACGACGACGCCCGCCGCAAGGTGCAGGTGCTGTCCGAGCAGCCGCAGACCGTCGACTTCGCGCACTACCGCAGTGTGCTCAAGAACCAGGCCATCGTCGACGAGATCGAGAACCACTTCAAGAGCTTCAAGCCCGCCACCTACGATGTTGCCCGCCAGCTGAAGGCTATCGATGCCTTTGAGGCCCAGGCTGTGCAGAACGCTGAGCAGACTAAGGGTAAGGTCGAGGCCGAGCTGCAGAACCTCCAGAAGACGCTGGAGAACATCGAGACGGCTCGTCCGTTTGAGGATCTCACTGTGGTATGTCTTGGCTATAGCACTTGGTATTGTTGGGATTGTGTGCTGACCCAGTTGTTTAGGACGAGGTCGCTTCCGCCCAGCCCGAGATCGACGAGAAGACCGCGTCGCTCGTCTCCAAGGGCAAGTGGATGCCCCCGGGTTACAAGGTATTTTCTTCCCGTTTCTCACAGTTTGTGCAATGGAGGACAACTGCTAATGCGTTTGCCCCGGTAGGAGCGCTTCGGCGATCTGTCCGCCGTCTAATCGCGGTCTCCTTCGTGCCCGGTTTTTCCTCGTCTTATCTCCCACCTGTGTCATCACACCACTCTGTAAGGAAAGGAAATGGTCGTCCCGCCGGGATATGGTTAGATTATCTCCCGCCGAGGGTGTGTTGGAGCGGTCGGGATATGTATAGAAAGTACAATCAGATCTGCATTTTCCTTTGTCTAAACTTTGTTTCTTCCTTGTCGTAGCTCTGAAGTATGGTGTAGGTCCTGAAACCACTTATTTATTCGCGAAGTGACCTATATAGTGGTTGGAGTTGATTGAGTGTTTGTTGAAGATGTACTTGGTTAAGATATATATCTCGCATCCCGGTGTCAACACACCACTCTATATCCCTCCAGCCGATATCCTGCTAGCAAAAAAAGGCAGATTGATTCTTGAGTTCAAATTACTCTTAAACGAAGAGCATTATCATTATCATTCTTTGGTCCCTTTCACTTGAACAGATATTCACTATAGACTCATACTGTATACTCTGCGACATCAACCACCCAGCACCTTATTAACTACTACCACCACCACCACCACCACCACCAATAACCGATAACCAATAATAAAACCCAATAGCGCAGGCGGCAATGCACATCCATTCCCGGTCCAGAAATCGACCACGCACATACCTACGCCATTCGTGCATCGAGATGCGCCCGCCAAGACCCCGACGCCATTTCCCGATTTATCCACCCCCGGTCCGAACCCCTCCTCGTTCTTCTCACCGCGATCGATGGCTTTCGACCTCTCAACCATCGCCTCGTATCGAGACGTGTAACTCGAACACGAAAAGTGAACCCGATATGCCCACCCCGCAATTCTCCCTCTGTGGCCCCCAGTCCCACTAGGAGCGTGTGCTGGCGATGTGTTTATGTTGACTGCTCCGCTCAACCATACCATACCACCACTGCTCTGCAGAACACCACAAACTACTTCCACCTTCGTTGTACCTGCAAATGGGCCAATCGGACAAAAAACCTACCACAACCACCACCACAACCATCAACCCGCCCAGCTTTTCCCGCCTCGAGTCCCTCCCCGTGGAAATCCTGCAGTTGATCTTCCTGCATAGCCTAGAGCTCAACTTTCCGCGCACCTCGCCGTCTATCAGCCGCGCGCTCTCGAGTAACCTCCTCTACACATGGCTCATCCGACTAGCCTTTAGCAGCGCCAACCCGGGCTCGGCGGAGGGATTCTTCACCCCGGAGTTTCTGCCCTACCCGCTTGATTTCTGGGGCCTGGCGTGGGAGCAGCGCCAGGTGCTGCAGACGGGCCTGCTGGCTTGTCGGTGGTGCACGCTGTCTTTTCTTCGAAAGTGTCAACGGGAGTACGTGGCACATGTTATCAAGCAGAAATGCGCGAATCTGGTTTTTCGTCCGGATGACTGGGCCCTGCTCTCGAACCTGGACTCGCGCTTCGCAGACCTGACCAACGCTGATCGGGCAGCTGACGGCGGCCGGCGCGGCAAAGGCGACCTAATCATCCCCGCACACCTGGGCTCGAATGAGAATGCCACCAACACCTCTTCTTCATCCCGCAACGCAGACCGCAAACTCGCAATCTGGTTCCACTTCGGCGCCGTACAAATCCGCAAACCCCACGAAGTATACTACGAAAACGACCTCTTTCGCCTCCCTTGCTCCTTCGTAATCGCCCCGGGCCGAATCCCTGACAAACTGCTCCATGCGCCGTGGTCAGAGACCCAGTTCGAGTTCCTGCAGCTCCTCTCGACGGACTTCTACCTGGACGAAGATCAGGTACGCGCGGAACGCTCGGCGGATATCATGCACCGGCTCATCCGCAAGCGACAGATTGAGCCCTTTCGGCGGCTGCTGCGTATGTCGTTTCGGTCCGCGAATTGTCGCGTTCCGGCGCGGTGGCCGTTGAGCGTGGAGCTTTGTGCGCTTGTTAGGCGCTGTAGTACTGGCGCTGGGGATCCGTTTCCGTTGGCTATTCTGGATGAGCGGTGGGAAGATATTCCGATGGAGGCGAGGCGGGATTTGCTTATGTTTATTGAGGCGGAGGAGAGTTGATTTGGGGAGGTGGATGGGTTTGTGTTGTGTATATCGCAATGTACATTGCTTGAAGCTCTACTTATGTAGCTAGTTGCCGCCTACGTATAATTCTTCGAAGAGTTAATAACCATTGATATGAATCATTGCTCTGAATAGATCCGCGTCTGGACGGGTATGTAGTATGTAGATGTAGGTATTGTGTCCATCAACAGCAAAGTAAACACCAGACCAATAAGAGCATGCAAAGACCAAGAAAGAATATCCCATCTATCCACTCCATATCCGTTCCATTAATCATAACTCGTAGCCAAGAATCACCTGGCTATTCCCGCGCCGCATCATACCGCCGACCTAGTCCTTCTACGCCTTCCACAGTATCCGCATGTCAGGCATGAGACGATGACATCGATGACCGTGACGACGCCGCTGATGATAGCATGCAGGATGGAGCCGATGGCGTTGACGACGGCCATGATACAGGAGCCGATGGCGCGGAAGACGCTTTCGATCTGGAGAGAGAGAGAGATGTTAGCAACTGATCGATCGAGAGGAAGGTTCTGGGATCAGGTAGATAGATATGACGTGACATACACAAGAGACGACTGCACCCATTTTGAATGATTTGGTTTTTATGTTTGGGTTTGTATGAGAGGTTGGTGTTGTTTAAGGCTTCGGTTTAGAAGAGAGGTTCGAGCCAGAACTGGAGGAGGCGGGTGTGTGGGTTGAGGTATCACTGAAGGGACGCATTATGGAAGAAGAGGAGAAGCAGGTCGAAGCAGCAGGTCTCTTTAAATGGTAGGACAGAAAGAGGTCCACAGGGGCAAACAGGGTCTGCGATGAGGGAGTGGGTGTAGGTGGTACGTAACAAGCTTGGAAGCGGTTGTCTTGAAAGGGTGATGATAGACAAGCAAGCCACAAGAAAGTAATTTTGCCACAGGTATTTGGTAGGGCTGAGTTGACGTAGGCTTGAAATAATAATAGATACTGTGGTGTACAGGGAAGAGAGAGAGAGAGAGAGGTGGGACGAGAAGTGCGGAGTGCTACTTCAATCAGGCTTTGTACATTCCGTCATCTCGGGGGACGCTTTCCTTGATTTCGCGCGACAACACCCTCACCAAGCCACTGATCTGCGCCGTTACGATTTAGTGACTGTCTCTGAGCTACGGTCTACCTTTCTAGACTGTTGCAGAATTTTCCGACTGCCTTACGCCCTCTACAACTATGTTCCTGTATCTTTAACCCCACAAAATGTTGACGTCATTGATATTCACAAAATGTCACGTGACTACACAGGCCCTAGTCCTATTGCGGTTGGGCTTCCGCCAATCAGCTTGCATGTTGTCGGGAAATACTGTCCCGTATATAATGATCGGCCGGCTTGAGATGGACGCCGATGAATATATTTCGGCATACAGTAGATTTTGAAATCTGTTATACCTCCACACTCTTACGATTTCTTACGATTTGGTTTCCGGAAAAACGCTAGCTCTGTTTTGGATGTGTCGAAAAATTGACGACGCGAGAGCGTGCAACGAGAGACAGTGCACCACAAATGGGGAATCATTTCTTCAAGACTGAAACTGCATTTTTGAACGACCGGCTGTCAACTTGCTTTTACATGTTAGCCCAAATGGTAATATTTTCAAGCCACCTCCCTATCGTAAAGGAAGCGTTCACTCTGTGTAGTCAAAGAGGTGATGCTATTTGAACTTTCGCTGTCGGGTTCGAGTTTTAAAATGTCTTAATTAGAATAATTCATCGTTCATCTCATCCGATAAACCGCCAGAGTCGGAAACTGGAGCTGAACAGGGAGTTCTCGACACTGGCCATCAAGCTGAAAGCTCCGGTGAGTCGTCCCATATCATGATCTGAGACGGGTCGCCTCTGTCCACTGCAAACAGATCTCCCAGTCCAACCATTTCCAGACTGCGGTCATATTTTCCATCTGGAACGCTGCAACCATCTAGTACAAACAATCCCATGGTTGTCGGATTTATGCTCTAAAAGGAAAAATGAATCCCTTGGAAGTGAGGGTGAGTGTGAGATCTTTGTTATTGGGAATTGAGATCTCACCCACCGACTTATCTGCCAATTCATTCCCAGACCAACGTGTGGGCATGTTCATGTATATCCACTATTTCCTTTCGAGATACCCACGCATGGTTCTCAGAATATTCTGCTGCAACGGGTGGCAAGTTACCATTACCCGTGAAGCCAAATCCCACAACAGGCCCATATCTCAGATACTTCATGTGAGTAGTTCGAGATCCTTCACAGGCTCTTTGGAACACTATGTGTGCATGTGCCCTTTTCGGGTTTCTCGGGCCTCCGGGCTTGTCATTTGCCATACATATGCAAATACAACTGGCATTCATGATCCCTAGCAAGAAGTGAATTATTCAAACCACTTCAGTAGATGTGTATCTGTTGAGAGCGACCTCTATAGGACGGACAGGCTTGGATTTGTGTCGATTCATAGCAGTAATGAATGCATAAGATATGGGTGTAGACCCACTCTTAGGCAATGATTCAGCGGCCCACATTTTGATTCTCGTGTGGTTTTCTGATTGGGGTTCATAATTTCGTAGTGGGGCACTGATTCATTGCCCCCATCTTTAGTTATGCAAGCATAGATCTCAAACTGCATTTGGTTATTACAACAACAGGGGGTCAGGACCGAAGCCGATGCATTATTTTAACAACGGCCTTGCTGATTTATAATTCTCGTTCCCGATCTGATCTTCATGCCTTCGCTTATACCTGTTGGATCACCATTTCCTTTTCCTTTTTCTTTCCTGTCCACTCTTTCATCCTGGTTGCTATACATGCATACTTGATTTTCATCTCCTATAATTTGTCCCCTTTTCTCTCTCTCTCGACTATCATGGGCGATTCGGACCCCCAGAAGTCAGCCTCGAACCTCTCGACTCTCAACGGGGAGGAGAGCGGATCTTACGGGCAACCCGACCTTGAAAAGCAGCCCACGGAAAATAACGCCGATGCACCTGGACAAGTAGCACAGAAATACCCAGAGACTGATTTGAGTCGAGGTATAGTCGGGTGGGACAGTCAAGATGACCCCCAGAATCCCCAGAACTTTGCCGCAAGCAAAAAATGGGCATTGCTCGGATTGATCAGCGCTTTCACATTGATTTCGCCACTTGCCTCGAGCATGTTCGCGCCTGCCGTTGTGTACATGGCTGAAGAGTTCCACGAGACGAATGAAACCATTCTTTCCTTCAGTGTCAGCATCTTTCTGATCGGATACACGGTAAGCTATATCAATCCTCGTCAAATACCAACTACCCTCCAAATAAAATTTCTAATCTTTTCAATGTTTTAATTTTAGTTCGGGCCCCTCTTACTAGCTCCTCTGAGCGAGATCTACGGTCGTCGCGTAGTCCTCAGCGGTGCCAACTGGTTCTTCGCCGCTTGGCAGATTGGATGCGCCCTTTCCAAGAATATTGAAACCCTTATTGTGTGTCGACTTTTTGCCGGAATTGGAGGATCTGCCTGCATCACTCTTGGTGCTGGTGTTGTTGCAGACCTATTTCCAATAGAAATGCGGGGAAGAGCCACCTCCATCTGGAGTATGGGACCTCTGCTTGGACCTGTGGCGGGCCCAATTGCTGGTGGCTTCCTAGGCGAGGAGGTTAGCTGGCAATGGATTTTCTGGGTTCTACTGATTGCAAGCGGAGCTATGCAGCTTGGCATTGAGATACTGAACAAGGAAACATACGCCCCTGTCTTGATCAAATGGAAGACAGCCAAGCTGGCAAAGGAGCTTGGCCGCACAGACTTGCAAAGTGCATATGATATCGGCCGCGAACCCCTCTCGAATGCTCAGATCTTGAAGCGCAGTCTTATACGACCGGTCTTATTATTAGTCAAATCGCCTCTCGTGTTACTACTTTCAACATATATGGTAAGACTTTTGATTTCCTGGTCCTATCCAACAATTCCAACGATATCTTACTCACAGAATCTAGGCTCTCGTCTATGGCCTGCTGTACCTCTTTTTCACAACCATCTCCGATGTCTTCACGAGTACCTACGGCTTTACGGTCGGCCTGTCTGGCCTCGCATACTTGGGTATTGGCGTTGGGTTCTTTGTCGGTATCATGATCATCGCTTTGACAAATGACCGCATTGTCCAGAAGCTCACTGCTCAGAACGGCGGCAAGTTCGAGCCAGAAATGCGCCTCCCGACAATGATAATGTTTGCCTGCATTCTGCCAATCAGCTTTTTCTGGTACGGATGGACCGCTGACAAACATGTTTTCTGGATCGTGCCCATCATTGGCATGTTCCCCTTCGGCGTGGGCATGATGGGTGTTTTTATGCCTATCCAGACCTACCTCATTGACTGTTACCCGACCTATGCGGCGTCGGCTAATGCAACGCTGACGGCAACCCGTTCGCTGGTCGGCGCACTTCTTCCCCTTGCTGGTCCAGCTATGTTTCAAGCTCTCGGGCTCGGCTGGGGAAACTCGCTGCTGGGATTTCTCGCACTTGCCTGCGTTCCAATCCCCATCATTTTCACCAAGTTTGGCAAGCAAATTCGAGAGAAGTGGCCCGTTAATCTTGAAAACAACAAAAAATGAATGATGGGAGGATGGTATCGAGATTCAACCTAACAAGAGCGTCCTGGCTCTGGACAGCCGCTTCTTCACTCAAAAGTTCGCACATCCCCTTAAAAATAAGATAGAAACTGCATATACATAATCAATAGAGTTTAAGGCATATCTAGACATTGTCATCATCTCCTCTGCTACCGAAGAGATCTTGCGTTGCCCCGAGTAGAAATAGTACATCGCTTCTTTCACAATATTATTCACCATGCTATATACATAGAGGACCACTGCTCTGTAGTTTGGATGAATCGACACTAGACACGGAATCTGTAGCTCACTCACGTTATTTTGAAAACAAGTGAGCCAACATCGATGCCAACCATGAGATTTGGATACTTATTTATGAATTCCTGCGTGATACCCCATCCCTCCTCTTTCATGAATGTCTCATAAAATGATGGCTTAAAACAGAGGACATTCTCTTCGTTGCGCTCAAGGACCTTCACGCCCCACGGCCACCGGATCTTCACACAGCACGAAAACAGTCCGAAAAAGTCATCGCGAATATTGTTATACATCGACCATTGACGGATCAAGTTCGACCTAAGTTTCGGCCAGGGGACACAGCTCACCGCGATGGGATGCTTCATCTGGTACTGTTCTTTGACAGGCCGCAAGAACAGAGGCAGGTTTTCGTAAGTCCTCGGACTCGGTGTGATGATCCATTTTGAAAAATGGTACGCTATCCATCCCATAGCCAACCTCTCGGGATCGCGAACTGGCCGTCTTTCGATTGCCATATGGATCATGTTTGCCAGTGGATTGGTCTTGCTGCCATACAGAATGTCGAGGGGCGATTCAGGAGTATCAGGGCACTGGGGTATTTGTTCTGAATAGGCAAACCATGGACATGACACAGTTTGGAGACTGGAAAAATCATCGGAGTAAAGAGGGAGTTCATTCCACGGCGAATCGAACTCTGTCAGTCCGTCCTTGTGAGCTTGTTGCAGTGGTGATGTTGAGGTTAACGGCATGTTCGGGGTCGTGGGATGGGGATGATCAACCATGCCGAGGAATTGAGAATCCCTTAAGATCGAATGTGTCATAGGAAAGGAGAGATCGAGTGCTCCATTACTCGTGTTTTGAATCATCGAAGGGTTCGAAGATTCTGTCAATTCCAACTCCTCATCCCACGAACCCACTAAAGCCCTCAAGGCTTTTTGGCGCGCGACAAGGGCTTCATTCTGTTTGCGAAGATCCTCAACAAGTTCTAGGAGATTCTGTACCCCCTTTTCGTCATGATATTGCTCGCAGTGGGCCACCTGCATCTCGAGTTTGGCTTTATAGCGCAACTTCTTGTCGCGGAGAGTTTGTTGTGCCCGGCGATCCCGGGCACGCTTTCTTGCCGCTGAAGACAGATCCGACATAGTCTATCCGCCTCACGTCGATCTCGCCTAGATGATTGGTTCTTTCTGTTTGGTTCGAGGCAGTGGCCAGGTGAAAGTCGACCGCAGCGTGACTGGAGGAACCGGCATCGCTCGGAACAATGCATTTATCCGATGCATTAGTTGGGAACATAAGAGTGTGTATAGCAGTAAAATAAATCTGCGACGTCTCATAGTCGTATTGTAAAATACAGGACAATTTTATAGGACTGGAAATCCGGGTAAAAGAGCGATCGAGGCCAACATGCTTAATTTCTCTTCTAAGACGTTTGTTGGGATCGCGACAGAAAGTAAATTTCTAGCCAGGTGGGTTAAGCGGCTGGACGACAAGCTTTCTTCCGCCGTGATGTCGAGCAAGAACTCTAGAGAGTCGGCTTAGTCGGATTTGAGGAATAGGGTACAATCGACTCGGACAACATGCAGATTCCCAACTAAGCTCACGACGATAAGACATTGACATAGTCGCAAGCTATCCAGAGAAATGTGGTGATAGTGAAGCTCTACCTCCCTAAGTATGAACTACCTTTGGAGACACATTAGATTGCATAAATTCAGGCCAATAGTGGAGAGAAGAACCAGCCATTAAAAGCACTAAGAACACATCTGCAATTAAGACACAAAAGAAGATAGCATAAGACCAACCAGCGATAGCAATAACAGAACGCAAAGGAAGGTAGGTGTCATCATTACTCCAATCGCACCCTGCTAAGGCACAAGAAACAGTCAAACCAGAGGAGCGCGTGTGGTAACGAGTGAACAAACTGCCACCCGTCATGGGACGGACCCAGGAACATAAATCACAATTTCAGAGATGGCAGGCTTCATATCTCCGGGGATAGGCGGTAATCCAACTCGAAAGATGGAGGACATCTAAATATTCTCGATGACCCGCGCCTTCATCGCACGCTGGAATCCATCATCTTGCTGCTCTTGGCCTACCCGGCTGGGACCCTCCCCGGCATTATCGGCGTCAGCCACCTGCTGCATCACGGTCTGATTAGCAGCTGGCAAGAAAATCACTTTGCTTGAAGCCGACTTGGCCATTGATTGCATGGCTTCGAGGTATCGAATCTGCATGGCCGGAGCAGAAGAGAGGATATCGGCAGCCTGAAAATAGGTTAGGGACATGTTATACAGAAGATTGTTAGGTGCCATCGTACCTGGCGCATCAGCTTGGCTGACTCGACTTCGGCGCGAGCAGCAATGACCTTGCTCTCACCGATCCGCTTAGCCTGCGCAGCCATGGAGAGCGAATCTTGCAGCTCATCGCTAAAGATGATGTCCTTGATGAGCATGGATTCAACCTGGACACCCCAGCCTGCGGCAACCTCCTCGATGATCTCCGATGTCGACTGCGCAATCTCCTCCCGGCGCTCGATTACATCCTGTAGGACACGGGCTCCGATTACATGGCGCAGCGTGGTCTGGGTGCGTTCGACGAGCGCCTGTCGCACGTCCGCAATGCCGAAGGCGGCTATGTGGGGGGAGACGACTCCGTAGTAAATAACCGAGGTGAGATGAAGGGTGACATTATCCTTGGTCATACAGACCTGACGAGGCACTTCGGCTATCTGAATTTTGACATCCACCGTCCTCAAGTGCTCGCTAAGCGGGTTTACCCTGACCAGGCCAGGATCTACGGACCGTTCAAAGCTGCGCTTTCAAGTCAGCAATACTCTCCATTAATGCAGTCGGGAGATAGGTGTCGCGAACCGTCCGAACTTTGAGACCAGGCCGACCTGGCCCTGGTTGACCGGCTTGAATGGGTTGGGGCAGCAGATGCAGCACGGAAAGGATCCACAGAAACCGACACATTGTCCAAGGCTGTGAACTAAATAGGAGTTTCGAGCGGTTAGAATTGACTTGAGCGATGAGAGCAAGAGGTGTAGAAGTTGGAAACATTGCACTTACTCCACGATGCATACCACCCATGCGCGTCTGGGTTCTCGGCATCATGTGTGAGCGTTTGAGCGTATTTCGGCTGCAGGTCATCTAGACGGGCGGGTTGCACATTGACCAGCCGTCCTCCATGGTGGGCTGGATGAGCATCCCGTTCATGGACCGGTGCCTTGCCATTGGTAGTTGCGCCGTTAACAGACATGTTGATAGAAAGCGCTGTGGTAGGTTTTACGTCATGGCTGAAGGCCGATTATTCGATAGGAAGTAGTATTTGCTCAGAGACAATAGTAACGATGGAAGGATTTTTCTCTTTTTAGAAAGTTAGAAAACTCCGGCGAAAGCCAACTGGAGTTACTTCAAGTGACGATCGGGTTCGTTATTTTAAAGGGAGGACGACTGGCTAATTAACAATCAGCAAGCGAGGTCCAGAATTACGCGGCTGCTTTCATCTCGATTCATGGGCCGAATTACGTATTGCCTCTTGGACGGTGCGTGTGACATCAATCCAACTTCGGTAGCCAATTAGGCTTCAAGGTGAGTAGGTCCTCAGTTTTCATTGGATATTGTCTAAACCTAGCCATCTTCACATACCTTTGCTGGTTCACACATAATGGTTGTTTCTGAACCCGCGTACAATCTTCACCAGTTTAATCTCGTACTTTGAGTTCTTGTCTGGTCTGAATTCATCACATAGTTAAGGAAATAGGATCCATAATCGGAAAACCAAATTCTTTCTCCGTCAAAAAGTTTGATCAGTGAAAAAAAGAATTCTATCAGGCTCGCGCTGGCTTGTAGATCTGGGGTTGTCCGACCTGGATGAGAGCCATGTGGCTGTGCTCTTGAAATTCAAGAAACACGAAAGGGCGAAAATAATTCAAGTTGGGCCTGTGCCTCATTCTCTAGCTTTGCCCTGAGTTTTTTGAAATTCGTTATCATCTCTCATCAGAGAAGCTGTCGCGGTGATGTTTTTGGCTGTTGAGTATTGTGTATGTACTGCTGGGCGTCAGATTTGTCTTTCAATTTTCGTCCAATAATCACATTCCAGCAGTCATATGGCGTCTTCAGATTGCGAGATAGTCTTGCTCTGCTCCTCCTTATACGTGGTGGAACCTTCAGGTTCAACATCTGTGTGCTGATGGAGATGGCTCCTTTCTGGACTGGCGGTCTTCCTATCCAAGTCCTCATTTGCATGTTGGTCAACGTTACTCGTGCTTGGGACAGGGGCATAAGGGTGCGAAATGCTCTCGCGACGGGGATGCTCTCTGCCTGTTTGAATGGCGCCATTGTCGGTTTCTTGTTGAGCCGCGGAGAGAGCGAAATCACCGGAATCAAAGTACGTCCGTTCCTTCCCCCTGTCAGCTGGAAAGCCGGGTTGAAGTATATCAAAAGTACCTTGAAATGTTTCCCAAGCAAATATCCGTTCGGCGGCCGCTTTTCGTACGTGCTGAAATCATGCTTCTCACTTTCAGAGAGTGGCTGAACGAAATGCTGTCAGCGTTCTGCTTGAGATGGGATGTAAGCCAAAGCTTTACTTCCGACTGTGGTTTCTTGCGTCCTGACTCCATCCTGCGAGGTTATCCGTGCACGTATTGAAGGGCATATCAAAGCATGTGATAAGAAACTGCATCTACTCAAGATAATATATATTCGCCACCATGTATAGCTATATCAATGACGCAGTAGCTTAGTTCATCTGTTGGAGCGCTAGTCCGTATCGGGCTACGTGATCCAAGGGACGGTCGTGCTAGTAGGGGGCGCACCCGAACTCATGGTAAAGATAAAGCTTTCCCTAGCCGAGGTTGAATGTAATCGAACCTGCTCGACGGCGATCGGGAGGCGGCTTTTGCATGTAGCGGAATCTTGGTCCCATTATCATGGAGATGTCCAACTTGTATCGTATTCAAATCCTACATCTGGCGAAATTTTTAGATGATGATAAGTAGACCAAGTTGTCTCAGTAACAGAGTATACATAAATATAAAAAAATTTATCCATTAGATATGCATTCTTTTTCATCCCGACTTTGCAAACCAAGCATCGCACGTAGTTTCGACGAGCAACTTCTATCTCTTTTTGGTTGTGAGTGTATGTCCACAACCCTCGAAAAATCATTGAAGGGCAGGTAACTGCCGCCGGTGTTGCGATCAGCTGCAGGTTCCCTGAACGATACGATACTCTCGCGGGTCCTCACTGCAAGAGCATCAAGAAAGGGCATTTCATTGGCTTCCGTCGGGCCGTCGCGCGGTGATAGAACGGCTGAACTGATACACACTGTCGTATTCCCACAGGAAGCGTCCGTGTATGTTGTGGACCGCTGTGTTGACAAAATCCGCTTCAAGAAGGATGGAAAAATGGAAACCGAGAGAAGTTCAAGCATTTCCTGTTCGATCCCATCCAGTGCTGCGGGAGCAGGAGGTCGCACTGGATCGTGATATGCTAGCAAGTCATGTCGTTTCCTGCTTCCCAAGTTAATTTCTCGTGGCGACCCCTCGACGATATATGTTGATAGTATTTGCTGCCAGAGCTGAAGCAATACCCGTGAGTCCCGGCGGGGAGGAGTTATAGAAGATTCCACAAGTACCGAGCTGACTTCATAGGAGTCCCTATATCGCCTGCCCTCCATTATGAACTCTAGGATTTCAAGGCAGTGTGTTTGAGACATATAGGCCGAGAAGGAGTCGAGGGAGTACGGATAGGGAGCATCATTGTTCAACACCTCCTCAAGTGAGGGCTGTTCATCCCTCCAGGTCGTGTTGTGTGCAACACCAAATAATTGCTGATTGATGAAGGATGTCTCCATCCTGCGCAGGTTGTGTTATCTCAGAGTGTGTTTCAAAATAAGAGTTCCGAAACAATGGTATGGTGAAAGTGTTCCAGCGGCGAAAATGATACGAGTGCGATTAGGTTAATAGTCATTCATATTCCAATCGCTGCTTCTCGAGGCGTATTACCTTCGATTACAAAGCTAGGAGCATGGCACTTGAGCACGGTAGCAGCACAATAGATCGGCCTAGGTCGTTCTTAGACCCCAGGACTGATCAACGTGGCGTGAGCGAAAGGTTCTCTATCTGCGCCACAGTCCCGATATATCATCCCGTAACTGACAAATTTCTCAACCAAGGCTGAAATCCACCGAACCCATGATCACTATTGATGACATATCACGTGGTCATGTTTGAACCTTGAAGCTCCGACACGTGAAGGATACTGTCGTGGTCGCAATGCCAGGCGTTCTCGCAGCGAATCATGACGCCGGCTTCTCGCAGTCGGAGACCCTTCCCGACCTATTCTGGACATCATGTTAGATCCATTGCCATGCGAGATTCTGACCATGATTGCAGAATGGGTACATACATGGTCCCGTATACCGATTAAGAGTTGCCGCCTACCATGTCCACGCGCTCAGCAAACTGTTGTCGAGACTGTATGCGGTGCTCGTACCTCAATGTACACTGCCGTGAGGTTCCGCGCTGCGAGTGAGCGGGCGCTGAATGTCGGTCGAGGTCTTATCTTTCCTGCCCCACCATGGGCACAGTTAGGCCTCGCTCGTCAAGAACCGCGGTTCGAATCGAATCACCAGCACTGATAGAGGTGCGGGTTTCAGATCCGAACCGCGGATGTGGAGCTCGAACCGGAGGGTCTGCGATCAGTACAAAACATAGAACGTCACATGGTATGCATATTTTGTCTAGATTCCGACTATACTTTTAGTATTTTGTTTACAGATTGGTCCAAATATCAGACGAACGCTTAGAAGGGAGGAATATTATAAACAGACAAGATTAAATAGGCATTTTGTTCAAATTTCTACTTATTCTACACAGGATGGCTTTCGTACACAGAGTCTTCATCTCGCCTCCGCGGGTTGGAAGGCGCCCAGATGAACGCCTTTTGAGTACGTACTTCTTTCTCCCTGTATGTGACTATTATCAGGTATGGGATCCCATCCTCGATCCCATCCTCTTGATCAAATTAGATCAGAGGCTTTTGACCATCTGCAGCAGCTTCGACCCTTGGTCTTTCCTAAGCGCACGCTCACTGACCGGTTGGACAGTTTGAGAAGTGCTTGCTCAAGGTTCATATCGCTGTCGCTAATCGATCAAATCCATCCTCTGCTTTCTAGAAATCCTTCTGTTCTCTGCTGCTTGCGTCTCCTGGGTAATGAGATACTCATCAGTTAGAGACAGCAGTTTGGATGGAGATAATACGCCCGATCCAGAACCCCAACGGACTGGAAAGTGCGAGGCTATCCGGCTGCAGGTGAGCAAATACCAGCTGGAGCTTTTCCACATTGGTGAGAGCCCCGCCGTGAGGAGGATACTGTAGTATGCACATCGGTTCTAGTCAGCTCTACATGTAAACCCAAGAAGTGTTGCTGTAGCACCACCTTAGACCAACAAAAGGCTCCAAGAGTAAGTCCTTTCTTTTTCAGTGATCTAGAAGGGCAACCTCGTCCTCCCACTTCTTCTGATCCATCTCGCGCGCACGATTGATGACACGCTCAATGCCATCAAGACCCATCTTCAAGACATCCATCTTGGGACCATAGCTCAGGCGCACGAAGTGGTGACACGGGCTGTCGAAGAGGTCGCGACGCTTGGCGGGATTCAGGTCGAAGAAGATACCCGGAACGACAATGACCTTCTCAGTCAGGAGGGCATTGAAGAAGTTCAGGCCGTCTGAGATGTTGGCTTCGGCCGGCAGTGGCGGATCGAGTGAGGTCAGGTCAAGCCAGATATAAAAGGTTGCCGGCGGGACGTCCTGGACGCGGAAGCCAATATCGTACAACCGCTTCAGAACGTAGTCACGCTTCTCGCGGAAATGCACCTGTAGTGCCTTCATCTCAGTGTGCACCCGTGACGGTTCTAGCATTGGAATTGCTGCCTCCTGGAAGGGCACGTTGGCGCCACCGTCTAGGTAGGACCCGGCTGAGCCTAGCGCTTTGATAAATTCTTTAGGGCCGACCACCCAGGCAATCCGCCAGCCAGGTAGGCGGAAGCGCTTGGTAAGGCCATCGACCAACAACACATCTGGATTACGAGGTCAGCGGATGGGTCATGAGCCACACGCCAAGCAAAACGAACCGTCCTGGTTGACATCAATGACATTCGTCGCGCCACTGACTGTGGAACCGTCACAGTCGGTCGTATAGTTGTAGCCACCGTAGAATTCGTCTAGGATGAGGGTCACGCGATTGCGACAGATATCTTGGATTTCTGCTAGCTCATTATGCTCGATGATGTGGCCTGTCGGGTTGCGAGGGTTCGATGTTAGTAGCACCTGGGTACCTCGCGCGATTTCCTCCGCGATCTTATTTGGGTGGATATGATAATGGTCATCCAAGGATAGCGGGATCGGGATGGGGGTAATCTATATGGGGGTTGTCAGCACACACATAGCATAGACACACTTTTATTATGAATTCTAATACTCAGCACGCACGTTCTTGAACAGGGTCAACATCTCCGAGTACGCCGAGTAATCTGGGATGGGGAACGACAGGTACGAATTGTCTAAGACGGCAGCAATCCGGATCAACCCTGCTCGCCCTCCAGGCACAATGCACACATTCTCCCATGTGTACTGGCTCTCTTTCCCTTGACGATAGTGCCCATTGTACAGACGTGCAACAGCCGTGCGCAACGGCTTGATCCCAGTGGTCGGGCCGTATTCCCGGCCAGCGAACGTGACAGGAATCGTCGTCGGGCGATGGAAGCTTCCCTCGATCTCGTCCTCGACTTCGGGGGCACCCTGACCCAGGTTGGCCCAGGAAGAGGGATCCTCCGCGTAGCCATGATCGGTGGCTCGTTCTGTGCACCAGACGACACCGGTAGAAGCACGGGAAGCGTCGAGAGCTGCGTGGGGATAGTGGCCCGAGTGGGCGGTTCGGAACTGGCGATGCGTCTCGGACCGTTGTTCTGGAAAATCGGGCCGTCAGTCCGGATGCTCACAAATCCGAAGCGACCAATACGTACCGTTGTCTGACAGCCCTTCCCTGGCCGACGAACGCTGAGTGGAGGGGCGCAGGATGCTCACACGGCGGCCCGAGAACGACATTCTTGGCTACGTCCCCTTGATGAGTGCGGGTTTGTTGCACGCCTCGCTTCTCTGTCAAATTCACGTGAGAATAAACTGTATGAATGAATTAGGCTGTTGTCCTGCAGCTGCCTTATGCCATCTTTCGAGCGTGACGGAGTTTCGAGGCAGTATATTCATCATGACATCAACACTGGATCTCACATAGCTCAGCTTTCTTCCACCGATTCATCGCAATCTAGAAAAAAGCCGAGTCCTCCAGTTGCTGTGCTATATTCCTCCAGCGCGTGTGTCGAGGTGTTGAAGCATTGCAGAAAGTAGAGCCAAGACATGCGCGCATCACAAATGATGTCCCAACTCTAATCGACACGGTGGGGCCGACTGCCCTTTTGGGTATGGCCTGAACGGGACTGAGCAGCAGCGATCGCTCACGTGATGACTCAGAGCCATCATTCAAGAAATCCCGATGTCGAGTATGATAACAGGCCTGTTCCAGCGATGGTGAGGCAGATGTCGAAGGACGCGGACCCGGCGGAGAGTGGACTTGCTCCCCCAAGGCCAAACTCTGCGCCTCCAAGGTCAAACGTTGGGCAGGCCAAGTCCGTCAAGAGACCGCCAACACCTGCGGACACCATTCCCCGGCCAGCACAGCCATCGAAACGCGCCCGATGCACATTGAGCCGGCCGGACCGGCTAATAAAGTCACGGAGGACTCGCAGTCCGTCGCGTCATGGCCGTGAACAGCAGCAGCAGCCGCCGCCGCCGCGCCATCATCGCCTCTCGCTGCTGGAAACGCTGCCTGTGGAGATCCTCGAGCAGATCTTCCTGCACTCGCTGAACATGAATTTCCCGCGCGCATCTCCTGCACTTGCCGCTGCAGTCTCCAGTGAACGCATCTACCGTGTCTTGATCCTGCTCGCCTTCTGGGATGATGATATCGAGGGAGTCCAAACCAGACCCAACCCGGCCATTAATCGCCTTTTCTTGCCATTGGAATACTCTCCTCTGCGCAGCGCTGAACGCGCTCGGCTACAGGATGCCGTTTTTCGGTGTGCATGGTGCACCCTCGACCGCGTCTATGCACAACTATCGACCCTGGTGACCCTGACCGTCCACCGCCACTGGTTCGGCGCCGGCATCGTCATGGACCGCGACCAGAAAGATGACTTGCACAGACTTCTCGCTCGAGAGTATGATGGCAAGCATGTCTTTAGTGCTTCCGGCGGACCCCGAGGGGAATCTGAACTTAGTGTCACATCCTTGCTCGCTGTCGTAACCGTAATCTCTCTCCCAGCGTTGTTCCCCGCCGTGAGTCTGTTCACGCTCCCACACCACCTCATCCAGGGCCGCCGTCGTGGCGGATTCTCAGAGGAGAATACAAACTTCCTCGAGATGTTGCGCTTAACATCTGGATTCTACTGTACCCCGTGGGATCGAGGTAGCACCCACACCCCCACGGTGCCACATTTCGACCACGCCGCCCTGCACCACGGAGTCCAAATCGCCATACGCCAGCGGAACATCAACGCCGTGACCTGTCTGCTCAAAATCGATGAATTTGCGAACCGCTCCTCCACGAGGGGTAGGGAATTCTACCTCATCCCCGCGGACCATTTCCGCGCCGCCGTGCGAATCAGTCGTCAGAATCTCGATCCAACTTTTTTCCAGACTCTCTTTCGCGCAAGCGCCGAGTCAATCCCAGCAGACGACGACGAGATCACCCAGTGGCTGGTTGATATTATTGAGCGCGGCACGGACAAGGCGCGCGCGTTTGCCCACTGGTTCTTCGACTTTATGCTCTCTTTCCCGACCCATTTGGAAGTGGCGAAGCAGGCGCTGGGGCAGCAACAAACTGGACAGCTGTTCTGTTATGGGGAGTTGAATGTTGAAACTCAGATGGGGAAGAGGTATATGGAGGAGGTTATCGAACCGTACGCTGGTCCGGTGGGAGAGACGCATAACTGGATCGAGGACACCTTTTTTGACCCTGTGACCAAAGGCTACGGAACTGTGTCGTGTGTATGAATGTGTGTGTCCGGTCTGTTGTTCTCATCATCCCTCTCAGATATTGACCTGATTTGGCGGGCATTGGAGCATTGTAGGATAGATTCGAGTCCATGATACATGTTTTTCTCAACACTAAATTACAAGATATTGATAATACATCACATCACACTACTTTACATATTCCTCAATAGCCGGATAATCCCAGCCACACGCCCACCCAGCGTCAACTGATACCCTGTCTCGACCACACCCTTACACATCTCCCACGCAGACGAACCATCCTTTGCACCAGCGACACCCTCCCGTTTCTGGATAGGATAGTCCACTCGGGGCGGGATGGCAGTGCCTACCAGCCGGGGGAACCTGTCCTGGCAGACAGCCTTGAGATTGCACATCCCGCGCAGGCCTTCGTCGCCCGCGAACCGACCATATCCTGATCCGCGCACACCACCGAACGGCAGCTGGACCGCGTAGTAGCTGCCAAAGTCGTTGACGGCGACCATACCCGCGCTGATTCCAGAGACGCAGGCTTGCACGTCGCGGCGGTTATGGCCGAAGACGCTGGCGCCGAGGGCGTACGGCGTGAAGTTGGAGATGAAGATCGCGTCGGGGACGGACTCGGCGCGCATGAGGAGGAAGACTGGTGCGAAGAGCTCGGTTTGCGCGATCCGCATGTCCGGCGTCACGTCGACCAACAGCGTCGGGGCGAAGTAGTGGCCGTGGGTGTGCTGCGGATGGCTGTACCGCTTGCCGCCGGCGAGTAGGCGGGCACCTTGCTCGACGGCTTCCGCAATGAGGGCTTCTAGTTTGTCGAAGGACGCGGGTGAGATCATAGCGCCCATGTCGGGGGTGGTGGCCGTGTCTAGGAGAATAGAACCGAGACGGAGGGCTTGGATGCGTGGAGCGACGAGCTCGATGAGACGGTCGTATACACCCGGGAGAGCAATGACACGCTCTACACCGATACAATTCTGCCCGGCGGACTGGAACACGCCGCGCATGAGCACTGAAGAAATCGAGGCCAGATTCCGAACCGTCACCGCATCGTCCAGGATAACAGCCGGGTCTTTGCCTCCCAGCTCGACCACCACAGGAGTAAGCGACTTGGCGGCAGACTCGCAGACCTTGTGCGCGACAGGGCGCGATCCAATGAAGGTCAAATGGGCAATATCCGGATGCGAAGTCATGGTATCGGCAACAGCAGGAAGAGACACGACCGTCTGCACCAGATCCCGAGAATGGCCACAACTCGCGAGCGCGCCACGCACAATCTCCAAGAAGAAAGCGGAGCACCACGCCGTCTGCTCAGACGGCTTGACCACAACCGCATTGCCCGCGAAAAGACCACTGATCACAGGACCAATGAAGTTGTGGAAAGGATAGTTCCAGGACACACACGCGCCCACTACGCCCAGCGGCTCGTAGGTAACCATGTTCTTCTTGTACATCATGAGGAAATTGGTCGGCCGGCATTCGGGCGTCAGCGCCTTCTCGCCGTGGTCGATAGTCCACTTCAGTTTTTCGGCCGTCACGAGAATCTCGCCGAACGAGGCGTCCACTTTGGTTTTGCCCGAGTCGAGGCAGCATGCGGTGACGATGTCGTCCTGGTGATCGAGGACGTACTTCAACAATGTACGCAGCACTTTGCGCCGTTCTGCGAAGCTCGTCGCTGCCCATTCGACCTGTGCCGTTTTCGCCGCCCGCACCGCTCTATTGACATCCTCCACAGTTGCAGGCTTGATTCCGTTGCCTAGAACGCGTCCGTCCGCGGGGCAGTAGCTCATGATGAGGCTATCGTTCCATTTCTGCATTGATGGCACAAAGTAATTAGTTGGAACCTTCTCCCAAAACCATGGTCAAGAACTCACCCCGCGAACCTGATCCTCCAACACCCGCTTCTCCTGCCCCTGAGCATCCTCCCATTGTCTGCCAGGCGTGCCATTGCGCACCTCAGCCGGCAACGGGACATTGAATGAGACCGCTGCTTCTCGCCGACTTAGGATATAGAGGTATCCCACGTACACGGCGACGAGGGAGACCAACGCGACTCCGATGCACTGAGCGTGCTCTGTGGAGAGCGACGACGCATGAGTCTCGGCGAGAGACCGCACACAGGTCGGGAGGCGGGAGAGGAGACAGTCCATCCTGAAGAAAGGGTGTCGATGTGGCAATTGAGCCCCTCAGGGATGTGGGAGTGGTGGGTTGGAGGAATGTGAAGATTGTGGTGGTCGCGGTCTTTTTTCTCCGATAGAATGGGGTGCGATAAGGGGCACACTAGGCACATAACAATCCCGATCTATGCAAGTCAATTCAACAGAAACAAAATGGTCATTGAAGCAACATAAAATATAGAATTATCTCAACCAAGCCAACTGGGTACGCTAGTAATCATAGCAATACAGGGTATATATACTAAACATATAGAAATAGAGCTACCATCTCGCCCAGTGATAAAACACTCAGCAGCAGATCACTCAGTCGACACATCGCTCAGCTCACTCAGTTCACTCTCCTCGTCATCCAGCTCGTCTTCCTCATCAGACATCTCCTCACTTTTCTTCTTCCCTTTGCCACCCTTTTTCCGACCAACCTTCACCGGAGGACCCTTCCGCTTCCCAGTCCTCGTAACAAGATGATCAATAACACACCCATCTTCCCAACCCACACTCGACTGTCCCGTAGCAGCTCGGCACCGGGGACAAGACTTGCCATGCTGAATAAAGAGCTTATGGAGCGAGTATTTCAGATGATCGGGAATGCACACCTCCAGATGACTGAATGCCGTGACCTCGTTGACGGGACCCGAGGGCGGCAACCAGCCCAGCCACTTGCAGATGCGGAAGATGTGCGTGTCAACAGCGAAGCAGGGGCGCTGGAGACAGAACAGAATCACGCATGCTGCTGTCTTGGGCCCGATGCCGGGATACTTGACTAGTTCCAGCATAGCTTCGTCCGACGAGAAGTTGTGCAGGTGGTTCAGCGAGAGGACGTTCTGGTCCGCACAGGCGATTTCGTATTCCTTGTCCTTCTCCACCTTGACAGGCTGCATCTTTGTCGAACCAGCTGCTCCATTGTTATTGCCTACAGATCCCTCCTCTAGCAGCTGATCGCGCCGCTCTTGGTTGTCCTTGTGGACCAGATCCAGAATCGCTTTGAGGTTCTTGCTCTTGATATCCGCCAGCCCGCCGCTCTTAATCGCTTCAAAGACATCTTTGACGTCTGCCTGTCGCACGGCATCCCAGTTCACACTGCCCCTACCGACGCCTTCAGACAGAATCCCGAATCGCTGCACCAGGCCGTTGAATGCCCTGGCGGAGTTGGCGCCCGTGGTGGCGCCGCTGAGAAGAGTTCGGATGAGTGCATCCAGGACAGACGGGACTTCGCCACAGCCTGTCACTGTCAGAGATGGTTCGGGGATGGTCTTTGGCGCTGTGGCCTCTCCATGAATGCTGGACAGGAGTCGATTGACTTCTTCGCACTCCTCGACTGTGGGATGAGCCCAGTCCGGAAATGGGCTTCTACCAGGTGTTAGACCGTAAGGGCCTCTTTTGGCTTTCGGGTTGGCCTTGGTCCTGGTGGCAGGTTCTGTTTTGACCACGGTATCTGTGGCCTTGCTGTCTGTTTGCTGAAGCTCTGCAGCTAGCTCGTCACTGTTATCCACCTTGATTGCCTGATTTTCTTTGTTGGATTCATTGGTAGAAACAGGGGTACCAGCATCGACAGAGAAGGGAATTGTCGCTGGGCCCAGGTTGTGTGGGAGTTCGTCAGTATTGGTGGACGTCAGAGCAGGTTTCTTCTGCTTTGTGGAGGCAGAAGTTTTGCCAGTTGGTCGCTTGGAACCTGCAGAAGGCGCTGACGTGGAGGAGCTCTTCTGCTTTTTGCTTTGATTCTGGGAGGTACCTCGCTTGGCAGCAGGTCTTTTGGAACCGGCAGCCTTTGTTGCGATGGTTTTCTTGCTGCTGGTCGTGTTGGATATATCGGATGCCTGCAGTGCAGTGACATCTTTTCCATTGAGCGCCGTCGCCGGTACGGCTTTGCCAGCAGAACGGGTAATGCGAGGAGCCATTCTGCTGTTCAGACAAGATGCAATTCACATGAACTTTCTGTCATGAGGATGGCTGTGATGGATTGGGTGATCGGGATTCAGTGTGTGCGCAAGAGACGAGCTGGCACACAAGAGTGGTAATTGACAAATCCAGACATTCGTCTCCTGCTCGTTGGGACGAATACCAGCAATGCAATGGATTGATGAAATGGATGTTTGGCAGTAGGTGATGAGGATGGAAAGATGGGATTCTACTGGCCTACCAAGATCTATTGACAGGTATCACGTGAGACCTCTTCGTCTTTCACCGATTTATTCACATCTCAGGCCTCGGTGGTATTTATTTCAGAGACGAGACGTAGATCACCCACCAGAGAAAAGAACCCCCCTTCTAGATACATACAGATATCTACAGACAAACACAACGCCTAGACTCCAGATGCAAAAAAAGACCCGACCAGATATCATCTTCATCATCATTATGGGTGATCAGCAATGTTGTGGATGCTGATATCCATGCGGTCAGTGATCTTGGGGTCCTCCTCGGTCCGACCGGTATCGGTGGAGCCATTCGACATGGTGGATCCCATCATTGAGGCAGGTACGATTTTGCCATTGGTATCCATAGCGACTCCATTCGCAGCGATCTCGAAGTCAGTCACGCTTGCGAAGCCATGGGCCACAGCATCCTTGGCTTGGTCGAGAGCCTTGATCTTGCGGCCCTCGCCACGGAGCGCTTCCAGATGCGCGAAGTAGCCGTCCCGCACGGGGGTCACGTAGCTGCCGCAGAAGACACCAACCTCGAAGTTCACGGGTTCTTGCAGGCCGTTCTCGCGCGTAATCTCGGCACAGGCATCCTTGAGATCTTCTAGGGTTTGGAAGATGACGTTGTCGGCGCCGATATGCGACGCGATGGTATCCGCATTCCGGTTGTGGGCGACCAGCTCTTGGGGCGACGCCAAGTCGATGCCGTAGATGTGGGCGTGGGTGATTTCCGGCGCACAGCTGGCAAAATACACCTTCTTTGCACCGGCTTCCCGGGCCATGCTGACGATTTCCCGACTGGTGGTACCGCGCACGATACTGTCATCCACCAGTAACACGTTGCGGTCTTTAAACTCGGCTTTCATGGCGTTCAGCTTGCGGCGGACGCCTTTTTGCCGAGTCTTCTGTTCAGGCATGATAAAGGTCCGGAAGACATAACGGTTCTTGACAAATGCGTGGCAGTATGGCTTGTCCAGGTACTGCGCCACATTGGTCGCGGATGTGGTGGAGGTTTCGGGGATGGGGATCACGACGTCGATATCCTTGACCACCTCGGGGCCCAGAACATCCAAAATGCGTGCCCCCAAGCGGTCGCCCATGCGCTGCCGGGTGCGGTACACACTGATACCGTCCATGACAGAGTCTGGGCGGGCGAAGTAGACATATTCGAAAATATCGGGGGCATAGTCCTTCTTGGGGGCAACCTGCTGGAAGACCGGCTGGCCACCCTTCTGGATGATGACTGCCTCTCCAGGAAGGATGTCGCGGTGGTTATTGAAACCCAACTGGTCCAGAGCAACGGATTCCGAGGCCATCATGTAGTCCATACCGGGGCCATCCAGGGACTGGCGGGAGCCCAGGACCAATGGCCGAATGCCGTACGAGTCACGGAAGCCAAGAACACCAAAGCCTGAAGACTTTATTAGTTGAAATCTTGCGACAGAGTTGGAGCAACATACCGGCCAGCATGGCAGTGCAGGCCCAGCCGCCTTCACAACGTGTGTACATGCGACTCAGACTGGCAAAGAGATCCTCCTTGTTGACCCGAGCCTTCTTGGTCTCACTCAGCTCATCCGCGAAGATGTTCAGCATCAACTCGCTGTCGCTGTCGGTGTTGATGTGACGATGCGCCTCAAGGTCGAGGTATTTCTTCAACTCGGGGGCGTTGATCAAATTGCCGTTGTGGGCAAAGCAGATGCCGTACGGGCTGTTCACGTAGAACGGCTGCGCTTCGGCATTGGCACTGCTGCCGGCGGTCGGATATCGCAAGTGTGCGATACCCATCGAGCCGGGCAGGTTGGCCACCTTGGCACCATCCTGGAAGACCTTGGCAGCCATTCCGTTGGCCTTGAGCTGGTAGATACGACCCCCAGAGGCGCAGGTCGCAATTCCGGCGGCATCCTGACCACGGTCTGTAACACGACATAGATATACATCAGAAACATATCCTCCAAACATCTTCGTATCATTGCGACTCACGCTGGAGGAGGTAGAGTGCCTCATGGAGATCAATGGCGGCGGCCGACGAGGGGTTCGCCTGGATCAGAGCAATGATGCCACACATCCTGACTCGGGGGAGGGTTCCTGTCACGATCGAGGTGGTCAGCACCAGAGTTGCCAATGAGGTTGGGTGTCAATGTGAATGTGCAAGTCATCGATCAGATCGGGTATTCTCCGCAAAAATGCTTAGGAAGTCTAACATCTATAAAAAAAACCGAAATTCATCATAGAGGGGATGGTGGGTGGTGCAGATGAAGACAGGCAATACTCACCAAGAACCAGAGGATAGTTAAAGGGGCAGATCAAGGGCAGTCAGGCAGTCACCAGGCAGTCCCAAGAGACCCAGGAGCAAGAAAAGGAAGAGAAAGGTCCATCGTAGTGAATTTGTTCCACCTTTTCCGCTCAGCAGGCAAATTTTTCGGTCCGGTGCCGGGCTGACTCAGCCAATCACGTGGGGGTGACTGAAGTATAACGGACTGAATGAGAGGAGGGAGGACAACACAACACAACACAACAATCTCTAACGTCATACACTATTCACGATAGTTCAGCAGAAGAGGATAAATAATATTGGGAGTGTGTCTAGGCACATCTTCTGTGCACTGCTGGATGTGGGCAACTTTCATGACAATCTCGCTTTGTTGTCTGTGAGAGCAGGAGACTTGAAAGAATGAACGAAGCAGGCAGGATTAAAGAGGGTCTCTCCAGCAGTAACATCATCTGACCTGACTTTCTCTTCTGAATTTTGCAACCAACCTTTCCAATGACCATCTCATGCTACCACTTACCTCCATCGCACGATCCTTGGATTTGGATACAATCTGAACGATCTCATCAAGGACGCTGGTACTCTCCCAAGTCCGAATTACCGTCTCCTTGGCCTCAGTCTTCTGTCAGACAGGAAGATATGCATTCTCAGCACCCTCATCCTTCAACTGCCTCACCGTCGCAGCAGGCACTTCATGACATTGAGACAGGCTCATCACTGACTATGAGTATCTTCATTGATACTGGAGACTACTGGACTCAGAGTCAACCTGCAGGAACTGGTAAGCCTCTTCTCCCAGACAAAAACTCTCGATCGCTAACGATGATCACTTTGCAGCCGAAAATGCGCCAACCGAGGTGACCAATTCTCGGGATTCCCCCGAAATCATCGACCTTACTCTTGAAGACGAAGTGGAGATCGTCCTGCCTGACAAGCTCACTCGCGAATGCCGCATCAGTGGCTTCAACCCCGCGGACTTCCTGACAGACGGCCAGTACATCGAATACTTGCAGCATCTGGAACAGTTGGAACAGCAGCCAAAGGAGGTCCCAGAAGTTGTGGTTGACTACGTGGTCTACAAACCGGGCGTCTCAGTGCTCCTGCAGGACGATTCATTTCTACGCATTGAAAAGGTGCTGCAGAAGGCCGGAGAAGTCAATTTTCATGGTCGCCGTCTTTTTGCGAACGTGGACCCTCGCGTTACGAACCACATCGAACATGGCGTCCCAAAGAAATACTACGAGCTTGTCTGGATTGCTCACGAGGACGAGCCCATATCTTTGAATCAGGTCAAGAGAATTTGCAATATTCGCTTTACGAATCTTCGCACCACCAACAGCCAAACCGATTTGACCTGCCGCCTCAAGCTCACCTTCACGCCGAAGAACGTGGCTGGCACTACAAAGGACGAGTATGCCATTGAGTACCTCAGCTATGTGGAGGCAGATGAAGGCTTCCGAATGAGTTCTGTTGATCTGCGAACTCAATGGCGTGGCCACACAGTACGATTCGGAGAAGCCGAATTATCAACCACTCCCTCAGCAGCGATCGACATTGACCATCCTACAACTTCCGTTGTTGATCTCACCGACGAGGCAACTCGGACATACACATTCGGTGATGCTTTCTGCGGTGCTGGCGGTCTGTCTTGTGGAGCTCGAGAGGCAGGTCTGAGCATCCGATGGGCGTTTGATCTGAGCACACATGCCATTACTACATACGGCCGGAACTTTCCTGGCGTCTTGCTCGAGAATGCATCGATCTATGACTTTCTGACCAACGATGATGCGTTTCTCAGAGTCGATGTCCTTCATTGCTCCCCGCCCTGCCAGCCCTTCTCACCCGCACACACCGTCAATTGCGATCGTGACGACGCCAACTCCGCCTGCGTGTTCTCTTGCGAGAACCTCCTCCTTCGAGCGAAGCCGCGAGTTCTAACGATCGAAGAGACCCACGGTCTAGCGGAGAGACATAAGCTCGTGTTCGGAAGAGTCATCCTCGATCTTGTGGAGAATGGATATTCAGTGCGCTGGGCAATTTTGGATTGTCTGAACTATGGAGTTCCCCAGTCACGCAAGCGACTCTGCATCATCGCCGCTGGGTAAGATAAAACCCCTCAACATCTGTCATTCATCATTAACGCAGTCCGTTCCATAGACCCGGCGAAGCTCTCCCACGGCTTCCTCTCCCGACACATGGAGATAGAGATAATCTTCAACCGTTTGCCTCAATTTACTCCGCCATCCATGATATCCCCGACGATGCAGACGACCATGACCTCCCTTCAGCCCTTGAGCGCTACCGGCTCCTAGGATATCGCAATCCTTACGATGAACATGGCCCGGCAAGAACCATCACCTGCGGCGGAGGCGAATTTAACTACCACCCGACCGGGAAGAGAGTCTTTACCACCAGGGAGTTTGCGTGCCTACAAACCTTCCCACTGGAATTCCAGTTCTCGGAGCGAGAAGCTCGCAAGCAGATTGGCAATGCTGTGCCGCCCCGATTTGCGGCTGCGATTTACAGGCAGCTCTACCATTCGCTGAGGGAGACGGACCGCAGGGAGTCATTAGGTGATAGGAGCTGTCTTTGAAGTATTGGGGAGCGGCTTTGGTACTTGAGATTGGTTCTATGATTCTTAAGTTACGACCAGGGCCTGTAAATATTGCAGGATCAGTTGATCTGAGGAGCACGGGTGATTTTGTGAAGGCTGAACCGGGGGGGGGTTTTTTCCCGCAGGATTTGAGCTGCAGATTCGAGATGGATGATATTGATCTGGCTGATAGCGACATGAATGATGGACACAATTTGAATCATATCCCACAAAACGGTATAGGCTGCTTATTTCCCATGATCTGCTCTTTACATGAAAAGACAACTCTACCCTGACGCACCAGAAGTACAAGTCACCCCCAGATCCGAGGGTGTATTCGCACACAGGACCTCCCCAGCTCCCGACGGTGACTTCACCGTATAATCGGTGACAGTAACACCACAAGTCCCGTCAGTACCACAGTCCAGATTGCCAGTGACAGGCTCGTAAGCGGTACTGGTCGTTCCACTGAACGCATTGAAAACAATATCCGTCAAGTCCGCGTCTCCGGGATTCTCCTCGCAATAGCTCTCATCTTCACCATAGCAGCTTTGAATCTGGATCGCATAGTCACAGTTCTTGACTGTGATATCCGTCCAAGTCACGTTCGTCACAGTCGATGTGCCATGGCTTCCGCCCGAGGGATAGGTCTTGATGCCTGCTGCTTTGGTGGAGTTTATCATCGTTGCGCCGGAGACGTATACATTCTTGACGGCATCATCTGAGCCCTTACCTAGTGACCCAACGGAGAGGCCGTGCGATCCGGTACAGGTGATCTCGGTCACGGTGACTCCATCTGCACCGGGCTTGAACGCCACGCAGTCGTCGTCATTGGTCACTTTGATATTGGTAAGTGTGACTGAAGTGCTCTCGCCGATGTCGAATCCATCGGTGTTCTTGGGTGGATTGTCACTTTTGGACGTGGCATCCAGCTCCAGGTTTGAGAAGACTACATTCGTAGAACCACCCTTGATAGAGTTAAAAACATTCGGCGGGTTCTTCTGTCGGAACCCCGACACCTGAATGTTAGACCCGCCGGTGATATACAGCAATGTTGGTCGCTGATAGCTGCTATCTGCCGCGAAGAGATCGTAGCTAGCACAGGGCGTTAGAATTTAATAACCAAAACACACGTGAAGGGAAAAAAAGGAGATACATACGCATCCTGCCCATTCCCATCAATAACCCCATCCCCCGTGACAGAGCGAATCTTAATCCCATCAATATCCTCAACGTTCATCATGGCCGTCCGCCCTCCCCAGTAACTCGTCGATGAACTGAATTTGAGCAGTCCCTCTATCTGAAAGTCACACTCGCTGCATCCAGAGAAATCGAGTACGCTGTTCAGATAATAGGTACTACCAGATGGTATAACAATCGTGCCACCATCGCCGCAGGATTGGATTGCAGATGTGATGGCGGGGACGTCGTCGGTGGATTCAGACCCGCCAGCCGTTGGGGTGCAAGTTGATGAGCGGGCGTGGAGGGTACGTGATGGGTTTGGGTGTGCTAGTGTAAGGGTGAGGGTTGTGAGAATTATGAGGGGTTTTAGGTAGGAAGTTGCCATGATGTTAGGGAATGTTATTGTGGTATTATGATTTAGGGAATTTCCTCTCATAGACAGGCTTGTACAACTATGACTTTATAAAAACCTCAAATTGGAGAAATCGTAGTATCATCAGTCTGGTAATCAATACTAAAACAAACACGGAGAGATGACCCGAAGATATGAAACCATACCTGGGCTACACGCTCCGTGATTCGAGGAATATCTTGATCGGTGATCGCCCTGTCCTTGTCGATCAGCTTGGCATTTAATGTACATTGCTGGCTCGGGAATTCCGCGAGAACATGTGGAGGTACACTCCTGATTGATGGAAAGAGAGTGCATATTACATATTGCTTTGTGGTTCTAGGACGCATTTATTGCACTTATCCCGGGCATCCTTGAAGAATGACGTCCCGCCGGGGGACTCCACTCCCGTAAGGCCTGTATGCAGAAGAGGCTTGGGAACATTAGCATGCATAAATTGTTTCATGTGGAAATGTATTCTCCCGATTTGTGGGGTATGGAGGAACCGAAGCTCTGATGCAGCGGACGTGGCGTTATAACTCCGATACGGAAAATATGATGCAGGAAACATACATGGCAACTCGGTGGTCTTGCCGTGTAGGTTTTGGGTGCCGATTGATTCAATCAACTATGTAAGTTCATTAATACTGCATGAAGGCTCATCCTAGAAGTGTTCAAGTCAATAGTGATCGGACCGACAGTATCTTTGGAAGCTCCATACCGGTCACCACCGATGCAGCTGTATACACTTATCAGAAGTCTCGCCCTCGTCGGTGCTACCACCGCCGCCCCGGCAAGTCTTCATCGCCGCACTAGCAGAACGAGTGCACCCTCAGGATGTCTCACCGTCGGATCTGGGGGAACGTACTCAACTATCGGGGATGCATTGGATGCACTGGGCTCGTCCTCTAATGCAGCCTGCGTCTACATTGCCAGCGGTACCTATGATGAACAGCTTACCATTGACTACACCGGAATCCTGACCTTGTATGGCGAGACGACCAACACTGGGACCTATAAAGACAATACGGTGACTATCGCGCATACTATCTCCTCCGAGGAGGCAGGGTCACTGGACTTGAGTTCCACTGTCAATGTGATCGCTGCCAATTTCAAGATGTATAATATCAACGTGGTAAATGGATACGGTGAGGGAGCACAGGCTGTCGCGTGAGTCTCTTTTCCATATTTGATACATGCCACAGCTGACCCATCGTGTGATAGTCTCACCGGCAACGCCAACCGGCTTGGTTTCTATGGTTGTCAATTCTCCGGGTACCAAGATACATTGTATGCCAAAGCAGGAACACAGTACTATTCCAACTGCTTGATTGAAGGTAGGCTTCCCCTTCTCTTCACTTTGCCCCCTCTTCTAACATATTCCACGTGCTCACGTCCTTTTCCTCTCCAGGGGCCGTGGACTACATATTCGGCGATGCCTCCGCCTGGTTCGGCGAATGTGACATAGTCTCTAACGGCGGTGGCGCAATAACTGCCAACTCGCGAGAGACATCCAGTGACACTGCGTGGTATTGTATTGACAACAGCAATGTCCAGGCCGCGTCAGGCACCAGCCTCGACGGCAAGGTCTATCTTGGAAGGCCGTGGAGAGTGCTTGCTCGTGTGATCTATCAGAACTCGCAACTTGGGAGCTTGATAAACGCTAAAGCGTGGACTACAATGGCTGAGGGGGCGACGCCGCTGTTTTATGAGTACAATAACAGTGGTGATGGTTCGGATACTTCCGGAAGGGAGTACGAGACTTCGATATCGGCGGCTGTAACGAAGACCACGGTTCTTGGGAGTGATTGGGGAGATTGGATTGATAGGAGTTATTGATGTTGCGCCTGGGTAAGGGCGGGTTTCTGGATATAGCTTAGTACTCTTCTAGTTATCCACTTTTTGACTTTCCAAGCTTCAAGTCTTTACATGCTATCCTTCTAATTGAGTCAAGCCGCGAGACCCCCTTCGCTCATGATATAAGGCAATAATTTCCGTTGCTCGCACCTGGCGGATTTTAACGAGTTGTTGTCTCAAGACAATGGAGATGGAGAGGAGAAATGACAGATTGAGGTGATTGCTTAATAGATATGCTAATCTATGATTAGTTGGGGGTGGGAAGCTGAAGATGTTGATTTTAGGAAACGCATGCGATTCCAGGAGCATCGCGTGCGATGATTAAATGTTTAAATTCAGCCTTTGGTGGCCTAAATGATACGGTTTGGGTTTATAATCAAACTTGAATAGAGATAGGCCCCGGTGGCCCCAGATGTTTTACTGCAGATCGCGGGGCCAAGCCCATAACTAACTCGATCTAGGAATCGATTCGACACCACGCCACAATGCGATCCATGAATAATAATGCAAGAACATGATGTGGTGTTAAATTTAACTCACAGCCATGCGACCATATAACTAGAATTGCCTTTGAACTTAAGATCTATTAGCCACACGGTGTTTGGCCAATGACACCTCGAACGTCCATCGGTGATCTATGAAGATCGACAGGGAGATGACCGATTTTCCATAGCCAGGGGAAACGGACGAAAAGCCGCCATTATTCGATACAATAAGACCATTCCTGAGCCAACCTCGGTTCGTACATCTCTCCCTTTTATTTTTACATAGTTAGGTACGGTGTACGTTTTGGCTAGACTGATGGCATTTAAAGTATGGAGAGCATATATTGAATGGAAATGATAAAAGTCATGGCCTACCTCAAATCATACTGAAAGGCTCTTCAGATACCTCGAGGGGATTATGATATAATAAAAATAGTATCAGACATTGGGGACATCGGGGCTTTCCACTGTGTTCTTTCTCTCTGGTTCTCCGTTTTCAGATGTAAGAAGTGTCCACCCAGTCGGCATAATCGCTCCCCAAGATAGTACTGATAGAAATTGCCGATGACAACTTAGTCGAAAAACTGGCACGAGTCCCGCTGGCTCCGGCACCGGTATTGTCATATTCTTGGAACTTCACATCGTCCGTATTGGGTTCGCTGGTGCTCCACTCGGACCAGCCGGCCGGGTTAATGATATCGGATAGCGATGTCTCCTGGAAACAGACAGTGGCATACTCAGACCAGGGTCGGCCGAGATAGACGGTCTCAGCATTGACCGTAGAGCCGGAAGCAGCGGCTACTGTGGACTCATCGATGACATAGTAGCTCGTGTCTGAAGAGCTCGAACGACCGTTGGCAGTGATGCAACCGCCGCCAGCGCTGACGCGGATATCACTCTTAGTGACCCATATCCTAGCATGCTGGCCGAAGATGAAGTCGACCGCACCCTGGATATAGCAATAACCGTAGAGTTGGTTGCCGGTCTCGGCTAGAAGGGTATCCTGATAGCCGTATAAGCCGACACCATAGTAGCCCTGTTGTGTGTTATACGCAGAAAGCGCAATTGCCTGGCTCCCTTTGCCG